TCTACCTGGCGACCGCAAAACAGACATTGGGGCTTGTTCACAAATGTCCATAGTTTAAGACCTAGGTTGAAGATATGGATGTGATCAGTGTTGACGTCGAGAGAGAAATAGAAGGTCTTGATATGTTTCCAAAATTTTTTCCATTTGTCTGCCGAGCAAGAGGCAAGAGCTGTGAGCTGTTTAGACCCAAGTTCCGCGTCGTTGTCTTGATATTTGGTGATTTGGTGCTTATAGCTGGTCTTTTGAAAGAAATCCGGTTTAATCGTAGGAAGATTTGCAAAAGCCGTATCTGGCAATGGTTGCGTCATGAGTGCGTTGTATTCTTCCCAACTTTATTCAGTTGGAGGTAGAAGGTTGAAGTTATCTTTGAGGTGTGGCTTGATGAGTGTTCCCCAGGCCTTGACATATTGTTGTTCTGCCTTAGTGAAGTCTGGGGAGGTGATAATGGGGTTTTGAAAATAAATTCGGTAGGTGACGTGGAAACCCAAGAGAAGAGCATACCACGGAACCGTTTTAATGGTCAAAGGAGTGATTATTGTTTGGCCATATAACTTATTCACGTAAGTTTGAATCTTGTGTCTCAAAAAGATGTAGTGGTCGTTGTTGTAGTTGGTTAAAACATTATAAATGTATGTATAAATTTGATGAAAAATGCTTGAGAAAATGCCGATGAAAATAGGCACCTCATAGTAAACCACCAAATAAGAAATTTCGTACTATCTTCGGATAGTACATTCGTCAATTTTAACAATACAGAGAAGATTAGCATTGTCCTTGCATAAAGATGACACGCTTTACAAAGAGATTTTACCATTTTTTTTTTGTCTTTAAAATACCATCAACATTCCATATTGGACTACGGCCAAGAGAGTCGTAACGATATAGCTATGTAACTCATAATATGATTTAATTAATCATTATGAAGGCTGCCATCGTACTTTGGGTGTTGCGGTGCGGCAGTTCGAATCTGATGCGTGACACGAAAGTTTGAATCACGAAATCGAGCGCTATCAATTGAAGAAGTGATTCCCCTGACCCTGAATAACTACATTCTCCAAGGTATAAGAGTTATCAACAGAATACAGATAAACGTATTCTATAGGGGTACATATGGGGAAACCACAAAAGACTTTATTCCCAGATGAACCAGGGATTTCTAATAGTTTATTAGGATTATCCAATTCCGTTCCTAGCACTTCATCAGCATCGTCATATATGAGTGATGGTTATATATTGGGAGGAAATTTACACGAATTGAATGATAAACACATTAAGAAATTGATACATTTAAAGTTCAATGACGATCCCATCCTGTTGATTAGACAATTATCGCAGGATCTCACGAGTAAAGAGACCGAATTAATAATTCTAAGGAAGGAGAAATTTTTACGAGAGCAAGAATTATTAAAAATATGTAATGAATATGGGAACCTATCAAGCCTAGAGATTGATAGGAAACTTAATAACTTAAAGTTTGATCACAACATTGATAAAGTCCTAGGTGACTTGATTGAGGATGCAATTGAAGATAATTTATTGGACTCAGGAACCGACAAACCGGCTGATTCTCAATCAGTTGAAGAAAAAGCAAACGGATGGTTAGGTCAATGGTTTAACAAGAGTAGGTCTACTCCAAACTTGATTCAAAATACAATAGGGTCAGGGAAATCCATAAGTCGTGAACCCAAACCAGTTGAATTCGAGAATCCTGGTGATCCTCCGGCACCAGTAGAGTTACATGATATAAACTTCGACCCCAAGACCGAAGAAGAAGATAAGTTGAAAAAAGAACTAAACACCGATAAATATGGATTTTTCAATGATCCAGAGGACTTATTGTTTAAGATTAAGAAAGAGAAAGATACCAAAAAAAGTGAACTTAGTTTAGATGAAAAGAGTAAACTGAATATTCCAATTAATAGATTGAAAGAATTGGGAAGACTACATGATGATGAGAAAAATCAAATGAGCCAAAAATGGGACGTATTTATCAAGGAAGTATTAAAGGCATATTATAAGAAAAAGAAAGGAGGTAAGGTACTAAACAATGATGAAGTTTTTGGTATGAAGGGGTTAAATTTAATTAAATACAACAAAGCACAGGAGACTGAAGGAGAAGAGCATAACAAAATGTATGATAATCTAATAAAGTTAGTTGAACTGGGGATTCCCAATAAATACCGTAATAACCTCTGGATGGAATTACTGGGAGCAACTAATCATAAAATCCCTGGAGAATACCAAAGATTAGTTAAGTATAGCTTGAATAACGAACCCACCAATAACATGAATCAAATAAATCTAGACTTGCATCGTACATTACCTTCGAATATTCATTTCAATGACTTACTCAATTCTCAACCAGGAAGAAATTTTTATAAACTACAAAGAATTTTATATGCTTTTGCTAATTACAAACCCGAAATTGGATACTGTCAAGGAATGAATAAGATAGTTGGTAATTTATTATTAGGATTGAATCATAAAGAAGAAGAGGTGTTTTGGTTATTTGTTGCATTAAATGAACTGCTTCCTCAATATATCACACCCAGCAATAAAATTATCAACTATTTTGATAATGAATCATTAGAATATATAAGAATGGACCAAAAAATAATGATAGATTCCTTCTTCCCAAAAGTCATGCCTAAATTATATAATCATTTAAATTCACTTAAAATCCAAATCGAATTTATCACTTTGAATTGGTGGTTATCACTATTTACTGAAAACTTCCTCACTCTAGAAATTTGGTTCAAAGTCTTTGAAAATTTGTTGATCAGTCAACATATAGAAATAAAGTTAATTAGCTTGACACTTTCTATTTTCAAAATTTTTGAAAATTTGCTTTTGAGTATTACAAACAGTGACGACATTTACCTCATTATGAATAACCTAAATCTCAACAACTCTACCAAGATGAATCTTAAATTCAGTGAAATCATAAGCATTAATAATTCCATTGAAAAAAGACTCAGCATAAAAGAGTTATCTACCAAGCGAGTTGATCTAAGACGTTCGTGCCAATTGAATGACTGAATTTTCAATGGGATGTTTGTTACGTTTATTCGTAATACACAGAAGATAGCCGCTGTTCGCTATTTGTATCATTCTACAAACTACTTTTACTCCATCTTAAACCGTATTGACGCATAATATCTCTGTGTATTGGTTTTATATAACACTTTTTCTAAACAGAGCTAAAGCGTTCGTGACGATATTTGTTCACACTCAATCAAACATCATTTCCTCTTACTTTACATAAAATAACTTTCGTAAGAAATTCTTTTGGAAAAGTAACAAAATCAGGGTCTCTGGAGACAGTCGAAAACATGATCTCTCGAATAATAGGCTCCAATAGGCAGTGAGCGAGGAGGCACCATAAAGAATAAGTTCCCATTAAATTGTACGTGTTGTAGTGGTAATTGAAAGATTTTACTAAATTAGCATAATAATTACTTTCGAACAAGAAGATCAAGAATCAGACAAGAGAAGAAGGGAGAAAAGTTTTAGTAATAATCAACTAACTCTCTACTAGCCCTTGTACTTCCTTCTTAGGCTGTAGTTGATGGTCTTTTGTCCTTCTTTGCTTTGGGAGGCGGTTTAAGTTTACAATCTTGACCAATATGCTCTCGACTTTTGCAAAATACACATGGTAACTTGGGACAGGAAAATCTAGAATGGTTTTGAGTGGAACAACTGGAACAGTAGATAATTGGTGAAATTATCTGGAGCTCAGTTGATTCATTCTTCTTTCCCAAATAAGGTATCGGAGTTTGAGAAGAATTGAGCAGAATTATCCCCTTGAACTCATATTCAGTCCCGAAAACCACAATACTAGAATCAAATACGTTGTCGTCAAATATTTCAAAGTGAGGTTTCACACTCATATTGGCAAGATGCTTTGAGAATAACCCAAGTAAATGGGAATAGTTGTTGGCTTTGGCTCTAAACTTAAAGAGAACCACACTTCCTGAAACATCATTGAGAATGAGATGAACATTTGGGATAGGAGGTAGGGAAGCCGGAATAGTGGTGTTCCTAATCAAGTCATGGTAACTTTCTAGCTTGTGCCTTTCAATTGAGTATTTTTGGTGTTTCCTGATAAGAGAAGGAGACACATTAATGTTTGTCGCTATTCGAAAACATTTGATAGTATCAATATATTCGATTTTAGAGGAAACCCAAGAATTGACAAAGGCAAAGAGCAAGGGTATTTCCTCCCTTATGGTTTTAATTTTTTTCCCAATATCTTCAAATATTGGTTTAAGCTTAATCCTATGGTCTCCCAATTCAATTTCGTCAATATTTTTCTCAAGGGAATTCATTAGCAAATCAATCTTCTGAATAGTTAGGTCACTCTTTTGAAGGACATATTTATCTAATTGGAGACTTACCAATTCTCTAGTTTGATCGATAGTCGGAGGTATCCAATGATATTCTGGAACCCGAAAAAGAATATTAGAGTTTTGTCCCTCGTAGGTGTAAATCACATAAAGTGCCCTTAACTGATAAGGAACCTTTTTAAGATAATTTATAAGATCTTGCCGTTTAGAGGTACGTTTTTCAACTTCAAAAATATGGAATAGACATCTTTCAAATTCATAGTCTTTCCACATTTCGGGTTTGACGGCCATCGGTGCTAGCATATCACGAGGAGGATCTTCTTTCGAAGTATAAAGGTGGACTAAGGCCCTAATAACTAAATTGTGGAATAATTGAGGGTCCCCCTTTTCACTTAAGATTCCTATCCAGAAGAACTTTTGGCAAAGAAGCTTAAATTTTCCTGACTTGGGCGGTCGATAAACAGGTCTAAAGTCAGATGATGTAGTATCTAATGGAGCATCTGGGGTGATAAGCTTTAGGACAGTACGATTTTTCGAATTAGACGATAAGTTTGGAGACTCAGTAAAATCAGCAGAAGCAGGAAGGGTAGTGGATGCAGTTTCTTTTGAGATTTCGAAATTGTTTATTGTATCAGTCGACGGACTGTGGGAGGTTTCAACATCTCCTTGGGAATTGACTTGAAAGCTTTGTAGTGAAGTTTTGTTATCCAAAGATGCAGAATTTCTTTTGATATTCGTTTTAATTTTTTCCATATTCGGTCTAATGTTTTCTTCGATATTTGTTCTAAGTTCTCCAAGGGTCGATCTGATATTTTCAATATTTGATCTGATATATTCTTCGCTATTCATTAGAGTATCTTCACTCTTTGATCTAATGTCTTCACTCTTTGGTCTAATATATTCTCTATTTGTTTTATTGTCTTTAGTATTCGTTTTATCTTCAGTACCTGATCTGATGCATTCATTACTTGATTTGATATTGTTTCCAGTATTTGTGTTACCTTCACTATTTGGTATGATGTCTGCATTATTTGATCTGATATTGTCTTTGGCAATCGTTTTAATATCTTCTCTACTTCTTTTATTGTCATTCATTTTATCACCACTATTTGACCTAAGGTCTTCATTGCTTGGCTTGATATTGTCTTGGGTATTCGTTTCATGTTCGCTATTTGAGCTAATGTCATCTCCGGTATTTCCTATATTGCTATTCTTTCTGTAATTTTCCTCAGTATTCGTTTCAACTTCACTATTCGAATTTATACTTTCACCATCGTCCATGAAATCTTCGACACCCATAAATTCGGAATCTGAGGCAAAGCTTACCTTACTTAATGAGATTTTGACCATATTGTATCTAATATCTTCTTCGATATCCGATGTGACACATCCATTTAAGTCGATTTTTTCAAGAATGTCAAAAAGATCGTCTTCAAGATTCGGTCTGAGATTTTCATTAATGAATCGAATCTTGTCAATTGCCGATCTAACAGCTTCTTTCGTTTGCCATATGAAATCACCATTTGAAAGACTATGTTCAATATCCGATATGATAGAATCTTCGGAATCCAATGTTTGAGGTAAAGCCAATGTGAACTTTTCAAAATTCGATCTTATATCTTCTCTACTTCTTTCAATATTGTCCTTTCTTCCTGTTGTTGCCAAACTCGTTTTAGTAGCTTCAAACAAGTGTCTGATCAGATAACCAGTCGCTCTGAGGTGATCAAGACTATCCTTAATATCTTCGATATCCGGTTTCTTATACATAGATTGCTCTATGATATCCCCGAAACCCATAGACCTGAAATCAAAAGTTGCGCAGGACTCTTGATTAATTAACATGATTCCGTCGATATTCACGGTGATATTCCATTGGATTTCCGATATGTTATATTCATTTGAGCTGATTTTTTCAACAATCGATCGGATATTTGCTTCGATTGTCGGTCTCAAATCTTCATGAAATAGTCTAAAATGTTCAATATTCGATCCAATTCTTTCTTCGACTTCCCACGTGAAATAACCATATGAAAGGATCTTGTCAATATTCAATAAGTTACCCTTTTCGATATTCGATATTTCATATACTATCGATAAGACACTTTCAAGGAGCCCCTTAATAACGTCCATACACGGTTGCCTCTCCTCAGTGTGTTCATCAGTGGTAACGACATCCGAAGTCGCTTTAATAAGTTTGCAATATGCTTCGACCAGGTCACTATTTGAAATGATCTTTTCAAGACCCAGGCCAATATTTATGATATTAGTTCTAATCTCTTCGAAGTTCGATCTGAACTTTGCAACATCCAACCTTATCTCTTCTTGCACTTGCGGCTCGAAATATTCTTTCGCTATGAGCTCTTCAATAACCAACCTAACGTCTTCTTCGAGCTCCAATTGGCAGCATTCACTCTCTATGGGTTCACCAAGAACCAGTTCCTCTTGCGTATCGGAATCTTCAAGTTCATCTTGTGACCGTCCGTCCAGCGGAGCCAATAGATCTAGGGTCGACGACTCTGCTGAACTCGAAGTCAAGTACGGAAGCATGGGATCGCGTGGCGGTCCACTACTTATCATATCAACAGGAGTAGTCTTGGATGCCAGATCTGACGTTTCTGGTGTAAAACTAGTGGAGCCCTGTTCCGGTTCCTTAGATTATCTAGACAAGGACCGAGAGCCAAATTCATGGAGGTGGTTCAAAGAATCATCTTCAATAAGAGCCGTTCGTTTACTTGACAACATATTCAAAGTACTTCTTGTGCTGTTAAACTCTCGACCGTTTTGCAGCGCACATCGAGGCTGTTACTATTTCTGTATATTTGTTTATTTGAACGAGTTATAATAAGAAATTGAACAGTGGGCAACTACACAGCATTTGGCGTTGTTCTTTGGCCGCTTTTTTTCGTTTTGTCACTGTGTTTTCTTCTCAATATTTTTTTTTTTTTTTATTATTTCTATTATTTTTCATTGTCCTTTCCGATTTCAAGTTTAAGCATTTTTAAAATTTGATTCGAATCTTCTTCTTCTTCTTCTTCTTCTTCTTCTTTTCATGTTCTATCTTCCTTAACCATTGCATTTATTCATAGGGTGAACATGCCTAGACCACACCAGAAACAAGTTGTGGCGATTGTCATTGCAATTTTAGTCTTTTTTGGATTTGTTCATTTTGTAACCAACTCTTCTCCAGGAACTTTGACAGATCAAGCGGTTGTTTATGTTGATACTCAAACCAATCAGATAATTGAGAATTTTGATGTATCCAAGATACAAGGAGTGAAAGTAGCGAGTGAAAATAAGGTTCAGGAGTCGATTAAGGATGCGGCTAAAGAGGAGTTGGTTGGAAATCAACAAATTAGTCAACCTAAAGAAGAAAGTAAGAGTCCAGAAAAAGCGGAGGACCAGTCAGCAGTTAAAGCAGAGCAAGCAGAGAAACCGGGGAAACAACTGGCAAATAACGAAGTTGCAACTGGTGAACGAGTAAAGGCAACTTTTGTTACCTTAGCTCGTAATAGTGAATTGTATGAATTAATCAAGTCGATTCGTAGAGTTGAGGATCGTTTTAATAGAAAATTCAATTACGATTGGGTTTTCTTAAATGATGAACCATTTACTCAAGAATTTAAAGATTTAACCACTGCTATAGTCAGTGGTAAAACCAAATATGGCTTAATTCCCAAAGAACACTGGTCATATCCCGATTTCATTGATCAGAACAAAGCTGCTGAATCCAGAGAGAATATGAAGGCGCAAAGAATAATCTATGGAGATTCCGAATCTTACAGACATATGTGTAGATTTGAAAGTGGATTTTTCTGGCAAAATCCTTTATTAGATGAATACGATTGGTATTGGAGAGTGGAACCAGGTATTCAAATTCATTGTGACTTGGATTATGACTTGTTCAAATTCATGCAAGATAATAACAAACTGTATGGTTTCACCATTTCAATTTACGAATTTGAAGCTACAATTCCAACTTTATGGAAGCATACTAAAGATTTTCTCAAACTACACCCCGATTACATTGCAGAAAACAACTTGTTAGATTTCATCAGTAATGACCGTGGTGAAACTTATAACTTATGTCATTTTTGGTCAAACTTTGAAGTTGGTAATTTAAATTTCTGGAGATCAAAACAGTACAGAGAATACTTTGATTACTTGGATAAAACCGGGGGGTTTTTCTACGAAAGATGGGGGGACGCTCCAGTCCATTCTTTGGCGGCTGCCCTCTTCTTAAACCGTGATCAAATCCACTATTTCGAAGACGTTGGTTACAACCATGGGGTTTATACTCAATGTCCTCTCAATGCCCAATTCAGATACGACCATAAATGTCACTGCAACCCCGATACTGACTTCACCTTCAGAGGCTATTCTTGTGGTAAACGCTACTACGACGTCATGAATATGAAAAAACCTGCTGAATGGGAACACTACACCTAATCTACTTAATTATAATAAACCTTGATTTTAAATTTGGCAAGGCTTCTTCCCAATTAGTAAAATGTAGTCTTTGTAAGAGAAATCTGCAATCCTCCTCCAGTATTTTTTTTAGCAGATTTTCTTAGTTCCTGACGCGTGTCCTTACTCCAGGCGTCGTCTTGTTATCTCAGACCTTCTACCAGCAGAGGTGAGTTCTGGAGGATCGAACTGAAAGCCGGCTCGTGTTCTTTCAGTGGGTAAATGGTCTGTCTATTTTTGTCTCTTGGTTGTTGTTTGTCTGTTGTTTGTCCCTGGCGTATTGTCTCTTTTCTTTTCCATTTTTCGTGCATTTTTTTTTTTTTTTTTTTTTTTCTTTTGATTAATATTTTTTTTCTTTGGTTAGTTCCTTAGAGGACACTATTTCACTTTGGAAAACCTGATTACTTTGTTTTTTATTACACCTTCTGCTATTAGTTTGATCATTATTTAGTACTATCCAGGATGGCTACCAACAGATCAACAGCACGTTTGGTTAGGTTTGCCATTTTTGCCTTAGGGTTGTTGGCTTGTGGTTATATTCTTTCTACCGGATCTAGTTTTAGTACTGGACCTTCTACTGCTCAAACTGCTGCTAACGTAGATAAAGCAGCAGGGAACGTTGATAAAGCGGCTGTCCCAGCTAACGAAGCCTCAGTTCCTGCTGCTGCCAAACCAAAGACCAATGAGAATGTTGCATCAAACGGTGAAAGAATGAAGGCTACCTTTGTTACTTTAGCCCGTAATTCTGATTTGAATAGTTTATTGGGCTCAATTAGACAAGTTGAGGATCGTTTCAATAGTAAGTTTCATTACGACTGGGTTTTCCTCAACGACCAGCCATTTTCCGATGAATTCAAAGCTGCCACTTCAGCCATTGTTAGTGGTACCACCAAATATGGTTTAATTCCTGAAGAACAGTGGTCATTCCCTGATTGGATCGATAAGGAAAAGGCTGCTTTGGCTCGTGAACAAATGAAAGAACAAAAGGTTATCTACGGTGATTCAATTCCTTATAGACATATGTGTAGATACGAAAGTGGATTTTTCTGGAGACATCCATTGATGGATGAATACGAATATTATTGGAGAGTTGAACCAGATATTAAGATCTATTGTGATATTGATTATGATATTTTCAAATGGATGAAAGATAATAATAAGAAATACTCTTTCACCATTACCTTACCGGAATATAAGGCCACCATTCCAACGTTATGGGATACCACCAAACAATTCATTAAGGAAAATCCTCAGTTCTTAAATGATAATAACTTGATGGAATGGATTAGTGATGATAAAGGTGAAACCTATAACGGTTGTCATTTCTGGTCGAATTTCGAAATTGCCAGTTTGGATGTTTGGAGAAGTGAAGCTTATAGAAAATATTTCGATCACTTAGATAAAGCCGGTGGGTTCTTCTATGAAAGATGGGGGGATGCTCCAGTGCATTCAATTGCCGCTGCTCTTTTCTTACCTCGTGATACCGTTCACTTTTTTAATGATGTTGGTTATTACCATGTTCCTTTCCATAACTGTCCAGTGGATCCAGAAGTTAGACTCGCTAAAAAATGTGTCTGCAACCCACAAGAAGATTTCTCCTGGAAAGGATATAGTTGTACTGCTAAATTCCATACTATAAACAACGTACCAAGACTTAAAGGATGGGAAAACTTTGCCGATTAGAGAAGGCAGTTACTTATCGACTGATTATTCTTTTGCAATCGACTGGTTATTCTTTTTTCTTTTTTTTTTTAAAAAATAACTATTTTGACGTTCTTTCCACTAGTTATAGTGTGAATAACCATTGTTATATATTATTGGAGTAATAGATTTTGTATTGGAAATCATACTGTAGATTGCGAAAAAGTGTTACAAAGCACAAATAACAAGTTAAATGTTTAAAACTATTTAAATGAACTATACATTTGCATTGATTTGTTTTTCCCAACCTTTAGGTTTAGGGATGTTTTTAATATCGTAATACTTCAGGGTACAAGAATAACCATGGAAAGTCATATCGACGTTTGGATCGCATGCACATTTTCTTTCGAGTCTAACTTTTTTATCAAAGGGACAATTATGGAAAGGAACATGATAGTATCCAAGATCATCGAAAAAGTGAATTTGTTCTTTATCTAAAAAGAGAGCGGCAGCAATTGAATGCACTGGAGCATCCCCCCATCTTTCGTAAAAGAACCCACCGGCTTGATCTAAGTGATCGAAATATTTTCTATAAGCATCACTTCTCCAGAAATCTAAGCTTGCAACTTCGAAATTTGACCAGAAATGACAACCGTTATAGGTTTCGCCTTTGTCGTCACTAATCCATTCTAATAAGTTGTTATCATTTAAGAACTGAGGGTTCTCTTTAACGAATTGTTTGGTGGTATCCCATAACGTTGGAATAGTAGCATGATATTCGGGTAAACTAATGGTGAAAGAGTATTTCTTATCATTGTCTTTCATCCATTTAAAAATATCATAATCGATATCACAATAAACTTTAGTACCAGGATCAATTCTCCAATAATATTCATATTCATCCATTAATTGATGTCTCCAGAAAAATCCACTTTCGTATCTACACATATGTCTATAAGAAACAGAGTCACCGTAGATGATATTCTGAGCCTTCATATCCTTACGAACCTGTGCAGCTTTATCTTGATCGATCCAAGATGGATAAGACCAGTGATCAGTAGGAATTAAACCAAATTTGACTGGACCACTTGCAAATGCCTGGACTGTTTCTTTAAATTCTTCAGTGAACTCTTTATCGTTAAGGAAAACATAATCATAATGATATTTTTTATTGAAACGATCTTCGATTTGTCTCATGGCATCAACCAAACTAGATAATTCTTCATTACGAACCAAAGCAACAAAACAGGCCTTGATTTTTTCATCTAAATGAACATCCGACCCTAATGGTGTTTGATCTCCGTGGGAAGAAGTGTCCTTCAATTGAGCAGGAGTATTCTTGATAGGGTTAGGAGCTTCTTTAACTGGAATTTCTTTTGGTGCAATTGGAATTTCGTTTACTGGAACGTTAGCTACTGGTTGACTATTTTCAACTACCCCAACCGTTGGTTTTGAGTTACCAGACCCAGACGACAAGGTGTAGCCAAAGACAATCAAGACCACAGCAAAGATCGCGAACTTGATCAACCTAGTGGCTGATCTTTGGGGTGCCATTTTGATGTTTGAAAAGATGGTTGGGATAGTAAGAATCAAAGCTGAAAAAGAAAAATACGTGGTAGCACGAAAAATGATGCGCGTAGCACCTCCAGCAGTACACCCGTACCACAGATGCTCCCACTTTGTATCCACAACGACACGACGCTTAGTCTACTTATAGCAGTGCTAAATAAAGAACTCAATATCAAGTAAACAACCCAGGTAAATAAGGTAATAAGCTGAACAAATTAAAGCTTAGTACATGAAGAAAGGAAAGTGCTTAGTACATGTAGAAAGGAAAGTGCTTACATGAAGAAAGGAAAGTGCTTAGTACAAGAAAGGAAAGTGCTTACATGAAGAAAGGAAAGTGCTTAGTACAAGAAAGGAAAGTGCTTAGTAGTGAGGAAGTTGGATTAACGATGAAACCAGGTCTGTATGGCAACCCGAAAGAAGGAACAGATTCCATTCGTATATGTAAGAGGATTAAGCCATACGTGTCGATGGGACTAAAGGCCAGTCTATCCTGGAGATCCAAATCCCTCTGATCTAAAGGATGTTACCGAGTCGGTGACAATAGGCGAACAATATTTAAACCCGGTCTCAACACCAATGATCCATTGGCCCCCCTCCACTCACCATCCTGCACTCACCGTGAGGTCAAACGGAGTGACAGGCACCAGCTGAGTTCCATACCGTAGTTAAACCTGAGGAAGTCGGTGAATGCAACGAAGGATTCTGTGAACAACAAGGCTTGCATTTTGTAATTAACCCAAAAAGTATTGTGTACATGCCATTTCATGCATTCAATATACGTGCTTGCCAATGCTCCTTTCAAAGTGAAACACTCTTCTTCTATTCCGGCTGCTCAACTAGTCGCCAAATACCACCCAAACAGTGCTGGCCTCCTGGACAGTACCTGAACGGTACCTGGACAGTACCTGAAAGTACGAACACCTAGAATACGTTTGAGTCCTATTTAATGTACCACCTGCAATATGCTATTGATTATGTTTCACTTGATTGTTTTGCTATTGTTTCATATATCAGTGCGTTAATCAATTTTAATCTGTAACTCAATAAGTGTATCACCTACGAATTACTTATTAACACACTTTCTGGGTTTCCGTTCCTGTGATGTTCCGTTCTCCTCGGTGCACTTATATTTAATCCTACACTTGTCCCTGGTATTTCTCTTCACCGTGGTACAAGGCTCCTCAGTATAAGTGTTTTGGTCTGCAACTTGTGTTTTTCAGTTGTGCTCCGTTAGTTTTTTTTTTTTTTTTTTTTTTTTTTTTTATTTTTTTTTTTTTTTTTTTTTTTTTTTTTTTTTTTTTTTTTTTTTTTTTTTTTTTTTTTTTTTTTTTTTTTTCCTTTAAATTTTTTTTTTTTTTATTTGTTCTTCGTTTTTAGTTACAAAAAATCACTCGTTTACCGCCCATTCGAGTCTCTTCATCTTCAAGTAGCAGTTTATTCCTGGGAGTCTCCATATCTCAAAGCATCACTCTCTGCCAGCTGCCCTCCCTGTCACTGCAATCGTCGTGCTCGGTTTATCTTTGCCATTGGTTGATTCGCGTCTCGTCAATTCCTTTTCAGCACTGTTGGAAGACGTCAATTCCTTTTCAGCACTGTTGGAAGAACTTAGCGGAAATATCCATCTTGTTTAAGTCATATGATCCATTACATCATTCGTCAGCTTCCAAACCCTTTTCATCTTTAAACTTGAATTCGTTTTACGTATCTGAGCTTTGTGTGTGTCCTTTTGTCTTTTTGTCTTTTTGTTTTTTTGTTTTTTTTTTGTTTTGTCTTTTTGTTCTTTTGGCGGTTCAAATTGAAGGTTTCACCGTTTTGATTTGTGGATTTACTTGGAACATTCCTGTTTTCTTCTTAATCAACCATTTGACTCGTGTGTGTGCTTCCAGTTTTGTATATATTGTGTGAGTGTTTGAGTGTGGTTGTTATCTGATTCGATCCAGTTTGCTCGTCTAAGCTACCTAAAATAATAACACCTTCTTCTTTTAAAAGTTTAAATTTATCTTTCATCGTGAAAATTTTTGACTCCTTTGATCTTATTGAAAATAAAGATTTTACCATGCCGGAAGTTTCATCTCTCCCAACAAGTTCAACTTGCTCATCTAATATTTCTCCCATTCCTTTCAATAATACCCTTTCAACATCTGATGAATCCCAAAGGAAAAATCATAGTCTAGATCGTATAATGAATAATGAAAAAGATGATAACGCTTCAAAAGTTGACATAACAAACTCAAAGCATAAGTCGAAATCTCCAAGTCCTCCAACTGTTACCGTAACGTCTGAAGATGATACTTCTAATAGTGTTTTACAGAATATCCCTTCTCCTACTTTAAATTCTACTGCGACTTCAAATGAATCGTCTTCTAAAAAACATAGACCTTCTTCTTTAAACTTAAAGGTCACTGATAAATCAAATTCAGACGTTGCATTAAGAATTGTTAGCCCAGGTCTACCCCAATTAAATGAAGAAATGAAAACAACCGTTAAAATCTCCCAAAAAATTGAACAACAACAAAAAAATTTGATTGCTGCAAGACATTTAAATTCTGCAAACTCTTCTTCTGAAAAAGAATTGGTTCATGAAGAAAATAATAACGATGTTGATCTTTCAGAACCCCAAGTTTCAACTTCAAATAATAATGAAGACTTTGATCGCTTAAGTACTCCTAGTTCTGCTAAAAGATTGAAAAGAAATAATATCCCTACTCCTTTAAACATACCCAATAAAAGTTCAGTTAGACCTTCAATCCAATCTGCTCCAATAAGGCCAGTTAATAATCGTAATAGACCACAACCTTTATCTAATTCAAACCACCAAATCTTAACCTCAACCCCAACTACTGCTGCCCCAACCCATTATATGCCAATGACGGCTCGTTATTCTCATTTTCCTCATCGTTATGTGGCTCCATTAACTCATCAACCTCCTTATAATCCAAGAGTACCTTCTCATCAACAACATCCTCCACATCAACGTGTTCATGTTCAAAACCCCCAAAATCTTCAGAGTCACCCAGTTCAAGTGGTTCAACAACAACAATCGTACTCTCAACCTATACGCCAACAAAACCCTCATGCCCCTTATCAAATCCAAGTTCAATCATATGGTCAATATCAACAACAGTTAGCTCAACAACAACAGCAACAACAGCAACAACAACCCCAACAACATATGAAACGGTCGTATAAACAAGTGGCTTATGCATATCAACCTCAACCTTCTCCATCTTTTGCTCAACCAATGGTATCTTCTTATGGCCAATACTATCAAATTCCTCAACATCAATATTTAAATCCTTCGATGCAAGTTCCACAGTATTCTTATCAAAATCATCCTTACAAAAGAATCCGAATGTACGCCCCTCCTTATACTTCTAGTCAGCAGTCATTTCCTCGCCCAGTTTCTCGTGGCGCATATCCTTCTCAATACCAAAGCCCATCAAATATACCATCAGTGACTACTTCTCCTGAAAAACAAAGTAGATCCTCGGAATCTCCTCATACCACTCCACCTAAAAAGTCGCCAAATCAGTCTTCTGTTACTGACGTGTATAATGGTGATTATACAAAAGCTGCTCCACTTAATTCACAACCATTATCAGCACAACGTGATTTTTTTGAAAATGGTCCAAGCTCCAGACTGGCTCTGGCTAAACATTCGAAGAGAAATATTCATGATGATGATCGTTTACCGGTTTCCGAAGAAGAAGTAAGAGAAATGCAAGAAAAGTATAATAGTATGGTGAATAATAATAATGACGATGATTCCAAAAATAGAGACTCTCGTGGTCTGAGCCTAGTAGATGGTGATGATATATTTGGTTCGATTAATTTAATGAATGAAAGTGTTTTCAATTTCAGAATCTTCAATTCAAAATCATCTACTTCGGAGAACACTCACAATAACTCTGCAGCACAAAAGAAAGGCGACAGTCCAGAAACTTCATCTGGTGCTACTTCTACTTTAACTACTGGTTCCGGTTCAACTACTGTAACAACTCCTGTAAATGCCACTTCTGCTGCAAATACCTCGACTTCTTCTAATTCCAGCGATAAAGAAAATAGTCGTGGTCCTATTCAAGACCGTCTTTCCAAAGAAAAGGAAAAATTCTTGAAAATTTGTGAAACTAGTTGGGATGAATTTGTTAGTAACAAAATATGAAGTTCCTTCTGTTCTCCGTTCTATTTTTCTCCTTATTTTTTCTTTCCTTCCTTTTTTAACGATTTCTTCAATTACATTTCGTGAGTATTTGGCTAGTGTCTAAATTGTGTTCATCAATCATGAAAGAAAATCTCTTCTTGAAAACGTCCACAATGCGTCCGTCAGTATTAGTCTTTGTTCATCAAACTTCTCGTGTGGGATACTTCATTTTAATGTTTTTTTTTTTTTTTTCACTAATTATTTTCTCTAACGTTTCTCTTCTGTTCATATTCAATAATAATGATACCTTTATAAAGCTAAATTGTTTTATTTGTAAGTTTTCTTGCTTATTTGGTTTTTGCAATCAATTTCCGAAAATCCTGTTCACGTGACTCGTACGGTGGTACGGGCTCTGACAGAAAAATATGGAAGGCAATTTTTTCCACTCGAACCTCAGTTAACCAAAACTCAAGGTCTTGAAGTTGATTTCTGGAAGTTAACATTTACTTGTCATATCCTACAAAACATAATAGATGTATCTATCTAGGACTTCAGCCAGCCAAGTGGCAAGTAGTGGTGGTGGCTTATCCATCCTTTCCAAGTCACCTATAATTCTGTCAATAATAAAATCAAAAGCACCATATAGATCAATATCATCGAACACAGCTAGATTGATACTGAACAATCATAAAGCATATCATTTACAAAGTCCAAGATATTTCAGCTCCTTTGGGAATGTGAAGTTTCATCAATCCAGAATAAATGCCAATATCTCCAAGGATGAAGAATCGAAGAAGGCTAAAAATGAAAAACCCCAGGACAACAATCAAAATGACCCTAACAAAGATATAGATGAACACGATAAACAACAAAAGGAAAAGAAGGCGAAAGGTCCCGAAAGAGATATGCAAGAAGACGAACGGGCCATCAGAGAGGAAATTAGAAAGAGATTGGGACAAAATGCCAATGTCAAGATTCATCGTTTACCGCCTTTTAATAAGAAGTATGCTTTATACTTTCTTCTCCCACTTGTTACCTTGACAATATACCTCTCTACTTTAAAGGAAGACAATTACTTATCTTTCCAAGATTTTAAAACTAGATACTTAGAAAAAGGTTTAGTTACCAAATTAATTGTTATAAACAAATTTGGAGTGGAAGCTCAATTAATTCCTACTGCAGTTTCTGATGAAACATATACTAACAAGAATAATGCGCCAGCTGTTGCATTCACTATTGGTTCTGTTGAAATTTTTGAAGAGCAAATGAATCAAGTTCAAGATAAATTGGGAATTCCAATAAGTGAAAGATTACCAATAAGCTACGAAGAAAGAGGATCATGGTTGAATTACATTCTTCCAATCTTACCAACCGTATTATTGCTAGGTGGTTTGTGGTATATTACTGTTAAGAGAGTGGGTTCAAATGTTGGTGGTGCCGGTGGTGCCAATGGTATCTTTAAAATTGGTAAATCCAAAGCTAAATTATTTAATCAAGAAACTGATGTTAAGATTAAATTCAAGGATGTTGCTGGCTGTTCTGAATCTAAGGAAGAAATCATGGAATTTGTTAAGTTTTTACAAAACCCTTCCAAATATGAAAAATTGGGAGCTAAGATTCCAAGAGGTGCTATCTTGTCCGGTCCACCAGGTACAGGTAAAACTTTATTGGCTAAAGCGACAGCTGGTGAAGCTGGTGTTCCTTTCCTTTCTGTATCTGGTTCTGAATTCGTAGAAATGTTTGTTGGTGTTGGTGCTTCTCGTGTTCGTGATTTGTTCAAAACTGCTCGTGAAATGGCTCCTGCTATTATCTTTGTTGATGAAATTGATGCCATTGGTAAAGAAAGAGGTAATGGTAAAGTTGCTGGTAATGATGAAAGAGAAAATACGTTGAATCAACTTTTAGTTGAAATGGATGGTTTTAGTTCCACCGATCATGTTGTGGTCTTGGCCGGTACTAATCGTCCGGACGTGTTGGATAAAGCTTTATTAAGACCTGGAAGATTTGACAGACATATTTCCATTGATACACCAGATATCGAAGGTCGTAAAGAGATTTTCAAAGTCCACTTGAATAAGTTATCTTTGAAATGTGACGAAGATATTAAGGCATCTAAAAAAGAAATTGATTTCAATCAATATCAAGAATTAAAATCTAACGCTGTTGATCAATTAGCAGGTAGGTTAAGTGCTCTTACTCCAGGGTTTGCGGGTGCTGATATCGCCAACTGTTGTAATGAAGGTGCTTTAATCGCTGCTAGAGAAAATGCCAGCTCTGTTGATATTTATCATTTTGAACAAGCCATTGAAAGAGTTATCGCCGGTTTAGAGAAAAAGTCCAGAATTTTAAGTCCAGATGAAAAGAAGACTGTTGCATATCACGAAGCAGGACACGCTATTTGTGGTTGGTTCTTGGAGTTTGCTGATCCATTGGTTAAGGTATCCATTATTCCTAGAGGTCAGGGTGCCTTAGGGTATGCTCAATATTTGCCAAAAGATCAATATTTAGTCTCTAAGGAACAATTCATGCATAGAATGATCATGACTCTTGGTGGTAGAGTTAGCGAAGAATTACACTTTGAAACAGTTACCAGTGGTGCAGCTGACGATTTCAAAAAGATTACCCAAATGGCTCAACAGATGGTTTTGAAGTTGGGTATGTCAGAAAAGATTGGTAGTTTGTATTACGCAAGCGGAGGCGAAAACGGTGGATTTCAAGTCCATCACAATTATTCGGAACTGACTGCTAGGCTTATCGATGAAGAAATCAAACGTTTCATTGATGAAGCTTATGAAGCATGTACCAAATTATTAACTGAAAAAATCGAATTGGTTGACAAAGTTGCCGAAGAAGTTTATGCAAAAGAAGTTTTAACTAGAGAAGATATGATCAGATTGGTTGGACCAAGACCGTTCCCTGAAAGAAATGACGCTTTTGACAAATATATCAAAGGAACTGACGCATTCAGAGGTAAAAAAGATGAAGATAAGCCAAAGACAGATCAAGACGAATCTTCTAAAGAAAAAACTGAATAAATCAGCGAAAGATATTCAAACCAAAAAAAAAAACATACACACAAGTAAAAAAATGCTTATGATTCATACATTTTGTAAATAGTCACATAAAGATAGTACTAATGATAAAATTTTATATTAATTATACATGTATGTAAATATATCTATAGAAGAACTAAAAATGCTAAAACTTTGATTGACACCAAGTAAGACTTTCTTATACATATTTTTAATGCTTTAGATGTTCGGTGAATACAGGATCAAGTTCATCATCAGAAGGTTCAGCTATGTGTGAAGATTCAGATTCGGATTGAATGGCTTTCTCTGAGGAAGATTCATCTGCTGACTCGCAGTCCTGATCTGAATCGCTACCACTGACTGATTCACTTTCTGTATTATCGCTTTCAACATCAGCTTCACTGAACATCTCATCAATTTCTTCTTTTATATGCGAAAAAGGGTCGTCGTTACTCCATTTCCTTTTGGATTTGACATTTGAGACATCAGGTAATACTGAGGCCGGGGACATTTCATCTAGACTAGGCAGATTTCTTAATTTGACTGGCATATAATGCTTACATTTTAGGAAGTGGTTTTTCATTCCAATGTAACCTTTTTTAGTCGAATAGTTGCAGCCTAAAACAGGACATGAGAATAGATAATTTTCAAGCTGATCAGTGGTTCCGGCATGCCTTTCATCAGGTAATGTATAAACTAAAGGAAAATACTTCAAAAGTTTTGATATAGATGATTCTGATATATGATTGGCAATTGGTCCAAAGGGTATGGGATACCCGACTAAACGAAGGGCGGCGGAATGGGACCGAAGTAAATGAGATCGGTAGTGAATTTCTCCCTTTTCAACGAATGAACATTCAGGAAACGCACATTTATACCAACTATTGTTACTTATGTCATCATCCCGTAAGTAGCTTATACGTCCGCTTTCATCGACTTTTATTATTGCTTCTTTCGCATATGGAATGATTTCTTCTTTCTTGGGTCTTTGTTGGTGTCTTTGATGGGGTCTTTGTTGGTGTCTTTGATGGGGTCTTTGTTGGTGTCTTTGATGGGGTCTTTCATTGGAATTATTATGGACTCGATAAAAACTGGAACCAAAAGGAGATTGCACAGGCACATCTTCAGAGTCGATGATACCCAGGTGAATCTCATCCATGATTCTTCTTTTCGTTTCATATGTAGACAACGAGGATTTCCTGACATCCCCCCATATTTGCTCTGAATAATCTGACGCATCAGTCTCATGAAGATCCTGTTTCATTTGATGATCGAATTTCTGTTTAATTGCAGAGTTCGGCGACTTTTTAGTGGGTGAAGGATTAGGACTATGTATATTTAGAGTGTTTAATGTGATCTTGCTTGGAGAGTCATCTTTTTTCAAAGACTTAGATGGAGACAACCTATGAGCTAGACTTTCATTGAGGCTTACGTCAAATGAGTTAAATTTTGTAGGTGATATACGTTGTTTCTTGGTTGGAGAAGGTTTTGCAATTATTAGATTATCCTCTGGAGCACGTCCTTGTCCACGGGAGATATTTCTATAAGAATTTGGTGACTTCGTTATATGAAACATTTGTTTCTCTTTCAACTTTTCTTTCAAGTCTTGTTTGGCTAATTGCTTTGATTTCTCTAATTTTCTTCTATTCTGAATATCTTTTTCTGAATCATAGGTACCTGACCATATGTTTCGTTGGACTGCAACTTCTCCCATTTTCACATCATCGGAGAGAAGTGAACGTAGATGACCATTGTCTGTGATAATCTCCCCTGTGAGTAGGTCTATTTCATCACTTTCCTTTTCATCATCTATTTGAGAATATTTATACAAAATTTCTTCCCATTTACTTTTGAATCGAATATTACTTTGTTTTTTAAGATTGTTGATTTCCTGTTGAAATTGGTAGGGGGATTGATTTAAATGCGACGAGTCATGTAATGAGGGCAATTCTGAGCCGCTATCAGTATTTGAATCATCCTGACTTAAGGATATCAGATATTCATCGATGCTAGGACGCGGTTCATTGAGTAAATCAGTGATATTTCTATCTGAAACCGTTTCTTCCTCTTGGAATCTTGGCTCCTCGGCCATTTTTAAGTGAGATTTGTGTGAGTTCCTTTACTTGGACACTTCAAAGTAGTTCAAGCAGGCTAGTTATAATAAAGGTCTTTGATGTTTAGTTTCTGTAGTTTGATATTTTTTTTAAAACTCTTTTTTTTTTTTTTTTTTCTGATTAAAGCCTTCCGCTCTTTCAGCAACCATTTTGATAATTTGCAATACAAATTCGAATTTTCAATAATCTGATAAACTACAGCAATGACCGAGCGGAACTATGATCCCAAGAAGCACATAGAGTACCTTATGAGCAAGCGACCCGAAATTCTGCTTCCAGGTCTGGAAAAAACGGGGAGCGTTGACGATAAATTGAAAGAAAATCGTACGTTTTTATATAGTTCTATTACTAATACGTACTAACCATTGGAAAACAGGTCAAAAACAGTCCTTTGATTATTCGAACTACATAAGAAATAAGAGACTGCAGTTTGAATTGAAGAAAGAAGAGGAACAACGAATCAAGAGCCTGGAAGAATCAAAGGAAACCAAGACGAAAAGTGAACTCAAAAGACAAAAGATGAATGAAAAAACTGCTAAGAAGAGGGAGGCTAGGCAGAAAAGAAAGAGAAATCAACAAGCAAAGAAGCTAGTTAAAAACGATAATGCATCACTGGAAGCGAACGCCTCTAGTAAGTCTTAGATACATGAACAAAGGTTACTTTATTACTAACAAATCTATTTACAAGTATACAAGCAACTATACATCCTCGTTATTCACAGTACTTGTCCTTTCATTATTCTTATTTGCATCCCAACATTTTTTGAAAGCTTGCATTTCTGGTATACATTTTCGCCAATCGCCAGTATCAGCATGACAAAGTTGAAGCTTTAGGTTTTCTTCGTGGCAACCGGTTTTCATGATTCTTTGATCCCATTCATCTGGCTCGTCATCGTCATCTTCGGGTTGGTATGCTTTAGCGGGTTGCATTTTATTCAATTGTGGAAAGAAGAACTGAATAAATTTGAAGTGATTCGATTAAGTTTTCATTTTTTCGCTATCGAATTTTTCTATGTACTGTATATGAGAAGACGATAATTTGGAACCAATCTATATACTACGAGAGTTATTATACAAAGATATTAATACATTTTATGTGGAGAATTATAGAGCATAGTTTGACGAGATTAAAATCCAAAACCACTTTTAGAATATGCCATTGGTTTAATGTCAGGATGAGGAACAGCAGAAAAATATTCTGGTTCCAAAGTCCATGGACAATTTTTATCATCAACATCACGGTAACCTTCACCATTATCCTTTGATTTATCATAAGAGTTGTTTTCAGTGATGTGGACCACACCACCCAAGTTTCCACCGGCGTCACAGTAATTTGGAGCACTGAAAACTGTGAGTAATCTGCCTTTATGTTCATATTCAACACCACTCATTCTAACTTCATGGGATCTCAAGATTCTTCTGATCTTATTTGATAAACAGAATCTTTCAGTAACGTCAGGGCCGAATTGAACTCCACATCCACGTTTAGATGGCAGACGACCATTTTCGGGTTGTGGATCGGTCCATAATAAGTCTCTGGCAATACTATCAGCAGCTGGCTGAGAAGAACCAGAACTTGGGAAACGATTAATCTTTTTAATGTCTTCGACTTTAACGTCATCATCGCCAAATAAACCACCATGCATAACCAAGTATGATCTATTTATCAAAGTAGCATAAGGCAAAGCCCCAAATGACTCTGAAAATGCATTGAAAATCTTTCTGGAGTATTTAGCTTCACATTCATCGGTAAAACCATAAGTTTTATTCATGTCGTTAGTTTCATGATTACCTCTATTAATATAAACAGATTCTGGATAAATGATTTTCAAAACGTATAAATATAAAGCAACTTCACAAGACCAAGAACCTCTATCAACAAAATCACCATTGAATAAATAAACATGCTCGTCGGACACATAACCAAATTTTTGGAATAAATTCAATACATCATAAAATTGACCATGAGTATCACCCACAACGGTAAGTTTTTTACCATTGTTAATGATAATTTCATCCTTGGGGAGTTCATCATTATCGATTTGGGAATGAGGAATACTCAATTCAACCAATGAACTTTCTTTTCTAAATAACTCATAAACTTTAGCAATAATTGCAAAAACATGTTTTTTAGGTAATTTACCACCTTCTTTGAAATGCTTGATCATGAATTTAAGATAATTCTCATTAATTCCATCAATTTCTATGGAGAAGCCATCATCCTTTTTAACAGAATTTATTTGCAAGTCTGGTCCGTTCCAATTTTTTTCAATCAATAAGGAATCATAATCAATTTCTCGAAGAACAGACGTAGGTCCAGATCCAGCAATAGCTTTCTCAAAAGCTTCCTTCTTCAAATAATTCTGGCATTGCTTAAGGTTTTGAGCAGTAACGGTATCATTGGGGGCTCTCTTCAATGCATTCTTAAAATTGTTTTGAGCTTCCTTATAATTCAACAAAGCCATGAAAGCAACCCCTTTCCTATAGTAAGCTTTAGCTGAATTAGGGTCTATTGTCAATGCAGAGGTACAATCAGCAACAGCTGCACCATAACCTTCGGACTTTATATGAGCTTGGGCTCTATTGGTGAAAAAGATTGCATTAGTCGAATCTATCTCGATTGCTTGGGTATAAAGATCAATGGCTTCCTGGTATTTTTGTTCCTTCATAAACACATTGCCTTCGTCCTTGAGCTTCAAAGCTTTTTCTTTATCAATAGACATCTTTTGAATATATATTAGGTGGTTATGGTGAGCTCCCCGGAATGAATATAGTCTTGAAATCTAGTTGAACTTTAACGTTTTTTTTTTCTTTTTTTTTTTTTTTTCCACATTCTCAAGTCGCCATTTTTTTTTTCTTTCAAAATCTTTCGCCTGTAAATCGTTTGTAGGAAGAGATCTTGTGCTATTACTGAGTACTATTTCTACATAGGAATTTGATCTAAATTTCGTAAAATCAATATATAATAACAAAAACAAGAATGGAAACGAGGGGATTCCCAGAAAATGAAGAAAATGAAGAGTTAAAGAAATCGATTCTATACATCAACAAAAGTCTAGAAGACTTCTGTAGGATCAGTTTTTATTCTAAGCTCTAATACGTAAGCCAGAAGCAGGAACCCCAATTTGGGTTATACCAGTAATTCTGCAAATTTCACCTTTGAATTCAGGCTTGTATTTGGCACCAACCAAGGCTTCAGCAACAACAGGGGATGATTGATAAATTGGAGTGAATGAGGCTGCACAGATATCAAAGTCAGCATAAGGATCAAAATCAATTTCGATAGCATCACTTGATATTGATTCGGCTTTTGCTTTAACCTTTTGGGCTTGCTCAGCTTTTGGACCTGATGGATTAATAGACAATATTTCACTAGCGAAAAATGAAGCACTTGAAAAATTTTGGTTCTTGAAAGATTGAGACATGGCAACATTTAAAGCATTAAGTCTGTGTGGGTTTTGAAGTCTAACTTTAGTGAAATAAGCGGCAAGCTCTAAGTTACGTTTAACATCTGATGGATCTAAAGCACGACGAGCTAATTCTATCGATAAACCTAAGACATATTCACGACATAAGATCAAGACATCTTCACACTTGGCTTCTTGTTCATCATTTTCAATGGATAAAACCGTTATAGTATAAATTATTTCTCTGAATATTTCAATAGCTTCTTCTAATTTGTTTTGTTTGAATTGTTTGAAACCAGCACTGAGTTTTTGTTCCAAAGTATCAAATCCAGGGATATGTGGTTTGAATTTGTTTGGATTGTCTTCATCGTTATCAGCACGAATATAGTCCTTCATGGCAGGTAAGTCATCAATACCAGGCAAGTACAATTTAGAAGATTGATAAACTTCTAAAAATCTCTTACGTAATGGTTCGAACTCAACAACACCTAATTGTTTATGTAACAAGGAAGCCGCTTGATCGAAAGATCCTGCTGCCACATAACCAGCAGCAGTTTTGTTATTACGAAGCCAGTGGGCTATTTCACCGTCAGCGACAGCAACATCTGGTTTGGTGACACCAACGTCTTCAACAGATGCTTGTACGTCATCACCAATATCCAAGTCATCTTCATCCCAAGCACCATCTTCTTCACCGTCGTCTTCTTCGATGACAGCTTCGGTGAAATCTAAATTGTTCACTTCTTTAGTTTCTGGTTCGTCAGATTCATCAACTTTACCAGTAAGTAAAGCAGTTTCAAAGAAGGATAATGAGGACTCCTTTAATGGCCAGTTACCAAGAGGTTCTGCTACTGGTTCTGGTAATGAGATGGCTTCTCCAATTTCAGGTAATTGAATATCATTTTCTTCAACTCCGGCTTCTTGTAATATTTCCAAGGCTAGTTCATTCAAGCCGTTGGATATCGCAAGAGTATAGGCCAATGGTAACATACCACCTTGAATGTAAACCTGGCATCTCTTTTTGATATCATTATTATAGAAGGTATTTTGAACCAAAGAAGATAAATTACCACGATGTTCAGCAATAGCGGCCATCTTGCTCAACTTATCAGAATCACCTTTATATAAATAAAGGAAAGACAATTTGTCAAATAAGTACAACTGCTGGTAAACAAATTCAACAATCTCAAGGTTACCTTGGTTCAACGCTTCTTCAGCTAATTTTTCCCAGATACTATTGTTATTCAAGATTTTGGCTTGATCTAAGGCAACTTGTAAGTTACCACACTCCAAAGCTAAATCAAATCTAGTTTCAGGGTCTTGAACGAATTGTAAGGCAACTTCAGGATAACCTTTCTTTTGTAAGTAGGCAATTATATTTTGACCAACTAAGTTTGAATTCTTTATAATTCTCAAAACTTCATTAAAATTTTTATTTACCAAAGCCTTCTTGAATCTATATTCAGTTGGATCAATAGTAACAATTTCAACTTCACCTGCACGATTCAAACAGAAAACTTGTCTTTGGATAACTTTGGTGATATATAAAGTATTTTCTAAGGTTTTTATTATACCATTATCACCATTTAATAAAGTATATTTAATATGGTTCAAAGTTGAGTACAATAAAACTCCTGAATCATCCCATGCAGCACTCTTAATTCTAATAGTTTCGTGCATAGCAGTGACCAATTCCAAATCTTTGTTAGCAATTGTAATAGTATGCTTGGATAAAAGGGCCAAATATTGACCATCATTTGACCAAGAAACATACTTGACATTATTAACATTGATTTCAGAAATTTCTTTTCTTTGTTGAACATCATAATTAATGACAGAATGAGACTTCACTAATAAAATACGACCAGGGCCACCATATAAAACATCATTTACGGAAGAATCCAACTGAATTGTTTTAGTGACATTATTACTCAAGTCTTTAACGTGCAATAATTTTGAAGCTTTGATGAAACTTACAAATCTATTACGAGAAATAAAACAAGCAAAATTACTTTCACCTTGTCTGATGTCAGTTGGTTCAATAGCACCAGTAACATGTTTAGGTAAGGTAATCAAAGCATACATTCCATTATCACCTTCACCGTGGGTAACAAGAATTGAGTTATCAGATTGATTATAAGATAAAGTTCTCATAAAGGACCAAGTTTTACCAATTTTTTTCAAAGACAACATTGGTAACGAGCTTTCACCTCTATTGAAGTCGAGGGTTTGGACTTGTTTTTCGGAATTCACGTAATACAATTTATTTTGGAAAATGGTATGGGCGGGTCTTTCTCTTTCTAATTTGAAAACCATGACACCAGAATCATGACAAGTAGCAAATAAATTGATAGTTGGGTGTGAAGCAACCAACCAGAATCTATCATGTTCACGTCTGAATTGTTTAACTGGAGTTCTTTTATTTAAATCCCAAACTCTTATAGTTTTATCATCAGAAACAGATAAAATTAAATCTTGATGAGGATGGAAGACCGCACTCAATACATTACCAGTATGACCTCTGCAAGTATCAACTTCCCAGGCTTTAGTATCACTCATTCTCCATAATTTGACTAATCTATCATCAGCGGCAGAAACAATCAAAGGTAAAGTAGGATGGAAAGCCGCCCAGTTGACACCTTTATCGTGACCTTCTAAAACATATTTAACAATGGCATTAACATTTCCAAAGATATCTTGTTGAGGTAATTGTTGTCTTTGAATTTGTTCTTCAAAAGATCTCATAGAAGAAGTTGGAGCTGAATGTTTTTTTCTTAAACCAGAGATATCCCAAACTCTAACAGTTTGATCCAATGATGCAGAAACAATCAAGTCATCACTTGGGTGGAATTGAGCAGACATAACATAATGGTTATGACCAGTCAAACAAGCAATTTCTTGACGGTTTTGCCAATTCCAAATTCTAATTGTTTGATCATCAGAACAAGATAAAATCCAAGGTAAATCATGATGGAAGGAAACAGTACGAAGATAATCCAAATGTCCATTCAAAGTGAAGATACATTTACGAGTATTTAAAGACCAAACTTTGATTGAATAATCATCACTACCACTAACAAATAATGGTTGAGTGGGGTGGAAATCAACGCATCTAACTGGGCCATCATGGTCTTCAAAACGATCTATCAAAGTCCCCATACGATAATCCCACAATTGGATGGTGGATGAATGTAAAGCAACAAGAACCCAAGGTCTTTTAGGATGGAAAGCAACCCCCTTAGCCCTTGAGGACTTGGATTCGAATTTAGTTAACATCTTCATGATGAATGAATTTGTTTATTTAATTGAGGGAAAGAAATTCAACAAATTTTTAAAAGAATTGCAGCAAACCAAAACTTAGCCAATTTCTCTATCTTTTTTCAATAAGCTTTTACCTTAAACTTTTCCCCTCTAGAATTAATTGATTGGTTAATCGATTATAAACTAAATAAAAACTTTGAATTTTCAAATTTTCGCTCAGTATTTGATTCGGTGGTCTTTGTTATGGGAGAAAAAAGAGATTTGGACACGCCGAAAAAAAAACATCTATATAAAACAGCCCGTACACCATGTAAGAGTGTACGGGTTGGAAGTGAAGAAAAATGACTGCAAACGATTCCAATTCCATGAAGGTAAGAAGGCTTACACTGGGCTTACAAGTAAAAAAGTACTATTAGATGAACATGCTATTGGGCGCCATAGCGCTAGAATAATTAAAAGTTAGTGAAAAAAAAATAGAAGAAGAATAGAAGGAGCAAATTAAATAACAAATGAGATGGTTGCAGCAATCAATGCAAATAAGGCACCGATGATACCTTTTAATGGATAGTTGATGAAAGCTTCTGAGCTTGAGGTACTTGATTGGGATTTGGAGCTTTGAACGAAGCCACCGATTGAGCCTTTTGTGTTGTAACTGTCATCGGAAGAAGAAGAAGAAGAAGCGGTTTTATGAGCTTTAGTTGAGACTTTGGTGGCCTTTTTGGAACCAGAACCCGACACAATGGTGGTCGTTTCATCTTCATCGTCGCTATCATTATCAGGATCTATACCGGTAGCGTCTTTACTACCTAACCAAGTTTTCTTGGTAGTTAAATAGATATCAGTTTCATTACCCTTTGTTGAATTATATAAGAACGCATGGAATTTAGATTCATCATCTTCATCTTCATCACTATCATCTAATTCGACAGCGAAGGGCAAATCATAAGCTTCGACGGTGATATTTTTGATGTAAGCATAGTAATAACCTGGTTTTTTAATATCTTCAGAATCCCAATCAATTGGACCACCAGCCCATTCAATAGTACCTGGGGCATTAGCAGAGTCCCCACCAGGCCATAAGGAGAATTGGATACGGGAAGGAGTTTGAGGATAATCATATCTTTTAGTGGTTGAATTCCAAGTATCTTCTTTTTTCAAAGTTCTTAAATGTTTACCATCGATAGACCATTCTAATTTATCTTCTTGCCAATCAACTTCATAAGTATGATAATTTTCGAAAGTATCAGTAGTATCATGCCAAACACTATTATTATAATCGGTGATACCCAAAGCGTAATAATTGGATTGATAGGCAGTTAAATTATAACCAATGAATTCAGTATCAATTTCATCTTGAACATCTGAAAACAAAATAAAAGCAGTAATGACCCCTCTACCACGAGAGGATTTCATGGTAGCAGTGATTTTCCCATACCATAAATATTGAGTCGAAGAAATAACCGTACCGGAAGAATGTTTTTTCATTTGCATTAAGATAGCATCTTTATGAGTGGTTAAATCACCGGTGTAAACCCAATCGGTTTCGGTATAATTACCCAAATAATCTTCTTGTTTCATTAAAACATCAGTAGTATCAAAAACAGTTGATAAGTCAGACATTCTTGGTGCTGGCATACATGCCGTTAAGTTATAAGAATATCTTGGATCACATCCCCCTAAACATAACGAACCGGTCCCACAGACACCATACTGAGAACAGCATGGAGTCTTTTCTGGACACGAATGGGTAGCATTACATTTGGTTGTGGCATAGGCAATATTCATTAAAAGGCATAATGCCAGTATAATAAACCAGCAGCTCTTCATTTGCAAGGAATTATGGAAAGTTGATCCGACTCAGTTGAACGAATATACAGTTGAAACCCAACTACTTGAACGAATGAACAGTTGAACGAATGAACAGTTGAACGAATGAACACTGAAACCGAATTAACAGTTGAAAAAACGAATGAATCAACAAAAAATAGAAAAACGAAAAGCAAAAAGGAAAAAAAAAGACTCGAATAAGTAGAAGGAAATACTTTTTTAATACCTAATCCACCAAGTTAGCCTGTTTAGCCTGTGGGTTCCATTTTTACAGATTAGCTATCGAGTTTCTAAAATTAATTGGATTTCGTGAAAATTTTTTATTAGATCTTGATGTTTTTTTTTCTTTCTTTTTCCCACCAATTTTGTACTCGAACGTTTACCTCCGGTTAGGCGGCCCTACAAGCATTGTTACCACTATCTCTAACAAAGTCGGGTCTTATGATTATTCGATTAGTCTATGCTAAGGGTTACTTAACCTGCAAATTCACAAACGAGGAACGGACCATGTCAAAGGCGTTCTTGGTGTCTGAGAAATTTTGATGAGAATTTGCTAGCCATTTTTTTTTATTTGGTTATTTTTTTGGATCGTGTTTTGTTAATTCCTCATTGGGTTAATTTGATTTGTCTATTAATAACCCCAATGATCGTTACCAAGGGTTTATCTGTGCTTGGGATAGACAGCCTCTGCTTGGGATAGACAGCCTCTGCTTGGGATAGACAGCCTCAGCTTAGACCGCACGGATGCTCGTGTTCGTGGTTACGTTTTTAGATCAATGGTCGTATTCTTATTTTGAGCCTTGTAGTGGCGATTGTTTAGGTGTTGTGAACGTCTGTAATGGGACCTTCCAAGTACTACAGAATCAACTAATTTTGATATTTTATATAAACAAAAACATTTATGACCCATTAGAGAAAAAATTATACATATTGGGTTGGTAGGTGGACGGCTGGTCGTAAATTAGATTACTGGAAGGGATGTTGGTGTTTGGGTGGGCAGGTTGGTTCCCAATGGAACCTCCGGTTAGGTTTGCGTTTGCAGTCGCAGACTGCTCGGATGGTCTCTTGGGTGGTAGGGCAGGTGGACGGGAGTAGTCGTTGCCAAAGGTGCCGGTGGCCGACGTTGGCTGCAACATGGGTGGTTGCGAATAGTAGGGAGCTTGGGTTTGTGCGTATTGTTGATTGGAATATTGTTGTGGATATTGTTGGTATTGTTGTCCCGTATATTGTTCTTGTCCCGTAAAATTAGGTGATTGTATTTGACTTTGGTTCAATGACATCTTTCCGAGTTGCTCGGTTATTGAGGAACCACGCATCAGTTGTTGTTGTTGTTGTTGTTGTTGTTGATCGTTAATGAGCTTAATTTTGATTCCTTCGACGTATTGAACCAATTGCTTATATATTTCAACTCCTTTCTTCAATCCTTCGTGGTATGGCTGCCAATTATTACTGTAGAATGTATTGATTTTATCTGTTTGGCTCTTCACCAAGTCATTTTGAAATTGGTTCAGCGATTGCACTTCTTGAACCTTGGGGTTTTTATTCAATTGATTCCATCTCACTTTAAGATTTTCAACGTATTCATTCTGTTTACCAATTAACTTATCTAATTCATCACTATATGGCCTAAATTTTTTCAATTCCTCGGGGAATATCAATGATTTGATTTCACTGGTTGACTTGATCTTGCAATTCAATATCAAAATATCAGAGATATCATCGTTATGAATTTCTTTCTTGAATGTTTCGATCAATTTTTGCTTGTTGGTCTTGATAACGTTCAAATCATGTAAAGTATCTTCAATCAGTTTGATTTCTTGTTCAATACGTGTTTGTTCGTCCTCTTCTCTATTCAATTCACGATCGTCGATATCCAATAAACTAACCTCGTTCTGACTGGGCTTTTTAGTTTCAGCCTTACTATCAAGATGGAATAATTGTTTGAACTCACTAGACTTAGAGCCTTGGCCTAGCACTCCATACAAGTACTGGTGTTCATTGTTAATAAGACCGAATAGTTTGGTATCGGAATTACTAGCATCGTATAACCATTTCTTCACCTTAATCAAATCATCTTTGTATTTGAGGAAGGTGGCATTAACTCCAATTAATGAATCAGTTTCACTAATTAGCCCCATGGCTTGTTTACGCAATTGCTCAATTTGACTCTTGTTGGATTGATCTAAATTAAACCCAAAATGAATCTTGTCAACTTTTTCAGCAATACTTGGATCAATTCCTAATTTTTTTTCTTCTTCATTGATTTTTTTATTATTGACGATTTCTTTCAAGTTTATTAAAGCCTTTGGCATTTTTAAATACTCTAACACCAGTGACAATTCTTCATTGGATACATCTACTTCATCTAATTCATTTCTTAATAATTGCAGTTTCTCTTCTGAATAATAACTAAGTAATTCATGGATATTTATTGGTACGACATTGTTCAAAAAATTACTATAATTTGATTCATTAATTTCATTGAAAATAGGAATTTTGTTTATTGGAATGATTTTGGCACTATCCATTGGTTTTATATCAGGTAATGTCACGGTTGATGGAACAATTTCATGATAAATCAAATCATTATCTTTATTTAAATCTTTAAGCTTAATCAGAACGGCATCCTTGTGATACTTATAATTATCCAATAATTCATAAGTACCACTAATACCCGCTTTCCCAATTTTCAGAAGTAAGGCGGATGGTATTTCACTGATTATTTCTTGGGATTTGTTTAAATAAGCAATTGATTCACCATATTTTCTCAGTGTTTCCAATTGCAATCCATGGAAATAGAAAGCTAGGGATTTATAGTAGTAACATTTAAATTGAATTATAGCAATCCATAATGAATCAATTTGTGCAGTGACCTTATTGTCCGGAACTGAATTTGCTTGAGAATCTGGATCATATTCATCCGTTGGCTTTGAATCAGAGTCTTCTTCATCTTCATCATCAAGCCCATCTTCTACAATTGCGTAGGTAGATGATGGGCCAACTGAGTTTTCATGATGATTTAATAAGTGACTAACACAATTGAAACAATCATCATAATAGTTGGATGTGCTTCGACACAACTTGGAAATTAATGAGTTTTTACTTTGATCCAAATCTCCACTAATAACTTTCAAATTGAAAATTTCTTGACTTTGAGCTAGATTTATATTCTTGAGAAAATTAACAGTTGACAGACTCAAATCTGGTGATGGGGCATGAAGAAAATTCTCATTCAAAAATTGATAGATTCCAGCCAGTTGTTGAAAGTACTGAACAGCTTCTTTGAATAAAGAGTCTGCATTTTCATTTGATGACTGCGATAATTCATACTGGTGAATGGCATATTTGGATAAAATTGACCCTAAATTAAACAAAATACATGCCTTTTCAAATGGCAATGCATACTGTTTATGCTCCGATAATTGATCAAAAGCATCGTACCAATTGAATGTTATTTTCTTGTGCCTGTTGACCGTAGTAAATGATATTCTCAAATCTAGTAACTCTAATTGACTGTAGTACTTGAAATATAATCTTATTCCAGTAAGATCCGCATGTACACCCCTTATGTCCTGTCTCAACTTGTTGAATTGGCTAAGATCTTCTTGATATTCACTTGTATTACCATAAATCGACAATAGATAATTGTTGAGTGGTTTAGTCCAATTAACGTCGTCAGTCTTCTTACTTGGAATTGGGAAAAGATAAGTTCTCATGGTAAATATATCCTATTTAAATGAGACACTGGGAAGTCTATCTGATATATATAAGCTGTTAGGATCCTATTTGGTAAAAGAACTTGCCAATTGATAGTATCTTGTCCATTGCTTGATTAATCTATTTTAAGGGGACATTCCATTTAGCACAAAACTTTAATGCGACATGAGACATTGCGCGACATTCTGTGTAAATAGGCTGCAAATTGTTAATATCAAACTATAAAGAAGTAATTGATGGACTTAATTCGATTTACAGTTGGGTTTAATTTTACGTCGAACTTAATATGCTTGTTCAAATATTAAAGTTTGACGACTGTCAAATTAGTTTACTTGATTTCCCGCAAAAAAAAAAAAAAAAAATATAAAAATAAGATCACTTTTTGATATAAATAATAGTATAACAAGTACATAAAACAAATAAGCAAGGCCAACAACGGCCAAAAAATAAAACTTAACTATCAAGATAACCACCTTCTCTACAGAGAGAATAGAAAATGGAATCTTTATTCTCCAAAAGTTTTTTCGGACTGTCAAACTCTTTTATTTCACCTTTATCAAGAACAAGAATCCTATCACTGTGCATGACTGTATCAATTCTATGAGCAATGGAAATAATGGTTCTATCTGAAAACTCATCTTTTATAGTTTGTTGGATGATTTTATCAGTTTGAACATCAACGGCTGCAGTAGCTTCATCTAAAATCAAAACTCTTGTTTTTTTCAAAAGAGCTCTAGCCAAACACAAAAGTTGTCTTTGACCAGATGATAAATTGGAACCACTTTCCAATACCTTAGCTTTTAATCCAACAGCTTCCTTGTCATCTTCACCTGAGCTCATATTCTCGACATAATTTTTCAAATGAGCCAACTCTAACACTTTCCATAATTCTTCATCAGTATGATCATCAAAAGGATCTAGATTCTGTCTGATTGTACCTTCAAAAGCATGTGCTTCTTGGGGAATGATATTAAGATGGTATCTTAAATCATATAAACCAATATTAGATGTGTTAATTGAGTCAATATCGATATTACCTTCAATGGGCTCGATAATACGGAATAAGGCCAAGGTTAAAGATGATTTACCAGCACCAGTTCTTCCAACAATTCCAATTTTTTCTGATGGTTTGATGTTCAAACTAATATTTTTAAGAACGGGACTCAAGTTTTCTCTATATCTTGTGGAATAATTCTTGAATTCAATACTACCATCGGAAGGCCAAGAAGCAACAGGTCTATTATTTTCAATTATCATTTCAGCTTCTGATTTCAAGTTACAATACTCAACCACTCTTTCCAAAGCAACTGATTTTGATTCAATATCAGCCCAGAATCTGACAATAGCATTCAAAGAACCTGTAATTTCCAAGACATAACTCATGATGAAACCAACTAAACCTGGACTTAAAGGTGTACCATAACTGAGACTACTCATAATCATCACAGATGATAAACAGATAATCATTGAAGAAATGTATTGTAATCTCATTGATAACCATCTATTGGCTGATATCATGGTATTATCTGCACTGGTTACGGAATCAACATTCTTCTTATTCATGAAAATGAATCTGTCTTCTTGTTGATAAGCTCTTAATGTCTCCACCCCATTGACAGACTCTTGAAGATGAGAAAAAACTGGACTCTTCTTAACACTTCTAATTCTTTTCAATATTCTTGAAGCTGGAATAAAACAAGTTCTATAACTGTTATACCAGAAACTTAAAACAATAAGCACTAGGGCCATAAATGGAAGATTATAAACAATTATCACAAATAATGAAAGAGCATGTAAGAGAAAATCCGTGAAACCTAAGATAGTCCAAACAATAGATCCATCTATAACGTTTATATCTTCAGAAAACCTGTTCAAAATTCTACCTATAGGAGTTGTTTCAAAAAATGACATTGGTGATCTTAAAACAGTTTGAGCCATCTTATCGTGGAAATACCTTGCACTACGGATAGATGAATAAGACCAGACCACAACGGAACCAAATAAAGAACAAGCACAACCGGTGATTCCCGCAAAAGAATAGATTACTAAGTAAAAAGTAGGATCCAAGGTTTTATCGGCACTGGCGTTTCTTTCAGACCAATTTTTCAAAATGTAGGTACTTAAAACCCCAAGACCAACATTAGAACCATACATTACCAAATAAAAGATCAATGAAGAGTAGTTGCAGGCTTTGAAATATTCCAAATAAACAGCAAGTTTGATTCCACCCTTTGCACTTTTTTCTTCACTGTGACCCATCTTTCTAACCACTCCGTCTTCATCTTCATCGTCATCTCTATAATTATGCCCAAAAGAAACAAGACTAGCAGCACCGATTGTTGTGTGAGTCTGCATTCTTTCAAGCTCGTGGCCTTCTTCATCAGGGTGAAACTCTTCAATACTTGTATCTTCGGAGTGGTTTCCATTCTTTGCTTCTTCAACTTCGCTTGCTTTTTCGATTTGACCAAACTCTTGGATTAATTTGGTTAAATGGCCTTGTTTAGCAATAACATCATCAAAACATCCGCTTTCAACAATTTTTCCATCTTCAATATAGTATATATTACTAGCAGAATGCAAAACAGAAACAGAATTAGTTGCTAAAATAATAGTCTTTGTTGCCAACAAACCATTTGAGCCTAAAACTTGTTCTATTAAAGCTTTACCAACATGAGAATCAACAGCAGATAAAATATCATCCAAAAGGTAAACGTCAGATCTTGAGTAAACGGCTCTTGCAATTGAAATTCTGGCTTTTTGGCCACCACTTAATGAAATACCATTTTCACCAACCACGGTACGATCACCATCAGCAAAAATATCAAAATCTGGGAGTAACTGACATGCTTCCACAGTTTTTTGATAAAAGGCTTTATCGTAACGGTTACCAAACAAAATATTTTCTTTGATCGAAGCATTCAAGATCCAAGGGTTTTGAGAGCAGTAAGCCTTGGTACCATTAACCTCAAACTTAAAATTCAGACCACTAGAAGTTGAATCGAATGGAACTTCACCCAATATAGCTTTAACAAGGGCAGATTTACCAGCACCAACTCTTCCGACAATACAAGTTAATTGACCCTTTTTAGCAACGAAATCAATATTTTCTAAAGCTTTTTTAGATTTTTCTTCTCTGTTCCAAACAAAAGAACATTTTTCCAATTTAACAGAAGTATCATTTAACTTCAAAGGATCATAAGATTTCTTGATATAATCAGTATCTAATTCATCACACAGCAAAAATTTCCTTAATCTTTTAAGCGATACATTAGCTTCAACGAAATTAGAATAAAGATCTGGAAGGATCAATAGAGGTTCATTTAAGGAATTAAACAAACCCAAGGCAGGAAACACAACAGCTGGAGTCATGGTGACCCCGGAATAATAAGCAAATATAATGAAAGAAGCACAAGAAATGAAAAATGGGATACTAGACCATAAAAACAGGGCAACAGCATTAAGTATACCGATTTTTTTTGCATTAACTAATTCACGACCATTTCTAATTTCAGAAAGCCTGGCCAACATTGGTTTTTCCCAAGAGTATAATTTAACACTTTTCATTGAAGTCAAAATTTCACTTGTTAAGCTAGTTCTTTCATCTTTAATTTGCATTTGGATATTATAAAATTCAGTAACGTAGTTACTTACGAAACTACTAATCGGAATCATAATAATCGAAACGAAAAACCCACCCCAAAGAGCATTTCCAACCACACTGTATAAAGCAGTTAAACATAGGATCAATTCAATTGGTTTAACTAATAATTCTGTAGTAATTTCAGGACCATAAGATATCTCTGGTACATCAACTGATAAATGATTAACAATATCACCAGTAGATTTACCTTTTCTAGCTTCCGGAGATAATTTCAATGATTTTGCATAGACTGAAGAAGAAAGAAACGATTGACACTTGAATCCAACAGCAAACATTGTGAGATAGTATCTGTTAAAGGAAATGAATCTTACAACTGAAAAGAGGAACAAACAAACAGTAATAAAGTAACCAAGAACAAGAGGAGGTTTTTCAACATCAGAAGTGTTATATTCCGAGAAGAAAAGAATGAGTCTTTTCAATAAAAGAGGTTGACCATAACTCGTAACAATCTTTAATAAAGACCAAAAGATACCAATAAGAACTTGCAACGAATTTGCTTTTAAAAGAGTCCAATATAAGGAAGCATGAGGTTCTTTACCAGTTTTCTTTGCTTTTAATTTAGATTTTGCAACTTGCTTTTCCCAAATCTTATTTATTCTAGGAACAACAACGTCTGCGCGTAAATTAATATCAAGCTGAGGAAGTTCTTCAAAAGTAAGATCGTTTTGTTCATAAGCCTTCATAATAGTAGGAGTCATCCAAGTCAAGGCAAACTCTGAGAAGACATCACGGACCGTTTTTGGGTCCCATTCATTCAAATCAAAATACTCGGTTAATTCGATTGAAGGCGAGTATAAGAAATATTCCAAAACCCAAATTAAAGTAGAATTCAAAAGTAAACCTATTTCAATTGTATGAGCAAATGCAATTCCAGAAGTAGTACTTCTAGGAATGTATATTTTATGAGCACCAAAGTAGTCTTGTATTAATACTACCAAACAGAAAAACACACTAAACGACCAGTAAAGCAACAATGACGCATGACCCACAACTGATCTTGTAGGTTCAAGAAGATGAAGTGGGAATAAAATCAAAACATTAACCAAAGCAGAAACTGCAAGACTGTAAAATCTCAAATTAAAAGAGCTAAAATCAATAAGAATTAAAACCAAATAAAGAATAGATTGTATCACCAAGTTGTTGAATTTCAATAACTGATATATTCCAACACTTTTCACTTTGAGAATCGACCCAAATGAGTATTTAATTGGGAACGGTCCATAATGATTGGCAAAAAGAACTTGGAATATCTGAACAAGAGCAAAAAAACCAAGTACACCACTGATAAGAATATTAACAAACGAGATAAAGCACGGATTCAATGAGTTTCCTCTATTATCATATAACGGGCTAGACCAATCTGCATTGCAGTCGTTGACTGGAGCAAACGCAACAAGCCTGTCAGGCTGTAGTATCTGTTGAAAGTTCAGCATATCGTAGAGAGTGAAAATTATTCAATTCCAATTATCTGGGATAAAAAGGGTATCTTAAATAGAAATCATCTACTCCGTAGGGGTTTTGTCTTGCGCTGTCTTATGAACTAGGTAATTTCCTAAGGTGCTTTTAAGCCGAACTACCTTGGTTATGCTTCATAGTACAAAGATTTGCGATGGCTGCTTATTTGACAGAGCCATTATTGTGCGTGGCTTTGATTTAACTGATAGCGGGCTAAAATTAGCCTGGTAAAATGATTCATTCGCTGCTCGGTGGTCGGGTTTAATTCTCGTGCGTAAACTGATGAGTCACTCGGGCTATGGACTATTTGGGAAAGGGTTTAACACCATCAAGGTTTGGCTATGGTTGCAATCTCTTCTTGTTGGTTGCAATCAAGTCAAGTTTGACCGTTCGATGTTATAACGAGTATACTTCATGATTGACAGGTTTTGCGGCACGGGTTTTGCACTGGTGAAAATTGGTTTTTTTTTTTTTTTCTTTTAAAAAAATACTATATCGATTTAGCGATGAATTTATTGAATCCTCCTTCTTTTGCATCCATTGATTGATTGCAAACGATTTTATCTAAGAGATGGGTCCCAAAAGGAAAACTCCTAATCCGCAACTGCGGAAACGGAGCTTACCTAATTCCCTGGTCCAGTCAATTTATCAATTCACCAATGATTTAAATCAGCTCATACCAATTGGAACGTTGAACTTTATTGACATGCCGCTAGGTGAAACGCTGCTATACGGGTTGGAGACTGGTCATGATGGTCTTGGGAGCAGGTGGAAGTGGGCAGATTTGGATTTTTTGCTCAGTACAATCAAAGAAAATAGACTAAACCCTCTTGCAACCGATTTACTACATCTTATAAGGTTTCGGTATTTGATGGCAACTTATAAAACGTTCAAAGTAAGGATACCACAAAAGGCCAATGACTATACAGTTGTGTGTAAGGTTCGACTATATGGTGTTCCAACGGATGTGGGTGGATCTTTACAGATACTTCGATGGAGAGATGGCCTTCCCAAAAACTGGTTTGTAGAAAGTAACTATAAGAGAATATGGACTCAGTATATAAACATCATTGATTATTCTGAAGAAGGTTGGAATACTCCCTTAAATGGGATATTGTTGCTGGAACTAAGCAAAACACCCATGCTACTTATATCATTCATTTTCGATGGGGCAGACGCCCGAATGCCCAATCATAAAATAAGGTCACCTAATTTCCATATAGATCGTTGGACTTCAAACAGGCCATTTCTTCTTAGTCCAAAAGACGCTTCACAGCCATTGGGTTTGAGGTTGCAAGAAGTTTATAATAGTATAATGACTCCAGAGTTTCCTGCCCTTAGTGCAACTTACACCAAAGCTTATGGTACGGTACCTACACCAGAAGAGACTTTGTCGAGAATCATTAAGGAGTCAGAAACCGGAGAAGTTGCAATTGACGGTGTCAAGTCCAAGTTATATCCATTTCAAGTCAAGTCTCTCTCTAAAATGCTTGAGAAAGAATCATCCCCTAAAAGGGCCCTTATTCCGAACATGATCAAATTGAAATGTCCAAATCTGTTCAACAATTACTATTTCGATTTATTTAATTACCGTCTCTATACCTCTCCGGAACTTTATGCCTTACCAAGAGGTGGGATCTTAGGGGAATCAATGGGGGTTGGTAAGACCTTGATTTGTCTAAGTTTGGTTTGTCTTACAAAGTTCGATGTTTCAACAGTGCCGGAAGACTTATTGTTATACGATGACTCGGATGAAGACATCAGCGTGCTATACCCCGATCAGCAAAGAGAATTGTTTTCCCCAAAGCCTGCTCTGATCACTCTGTTGGTTGATATTTGCAAGAAAACTATCAATCAATGTTCATTGCCTTGGAAATATTATTTAAATGATTTACCGACTTCAGTTGTTAAACAGCTTCTGGGATCAGCGGGATCTTTCAAAATTCCTTTGAAGAATCTTCAATACGCTTCTGCTTTCAGCCTTAAGTCGACTGCCCCGTTGACAAGATGGAGACAGACGGATATTAATGCGCCAGCTGAAGGTAACATTTATAGAACATTATATCTTTGCAATACCACTTTAATAATCGTTCCTGATAATATCTTCCATCAATGGAATAACGAATTGAAAAAGCATATAGAGCCAACCTACCTCAAGAAATTGTTCATATCTAATCATTTTAACAAATCTGTGAGTAACACTAATGGAACATTCATCGAATCCGTCCCTTCAGATGTTAAAACACTCTTGGACTATGACTTGATTATAATTTCCACGTCGCTTCTAGTTAGCCAAATTTCTAAACTTAGAACTGGAAACTCCCCACTTAATAATGTGTATTGGAAACGATTAATAATTGATGAAGGTCACTCCCTATCTTCAAAAAGTAAAACAAGCGACCTTTGCAAAAATTTCCATGCAGAGCGTCGTTGGGCAGTAAGTGGGACACCTACTTCTGGATTAACGAGACTTCAAATAGACGAACAAACCGATGAACAAGGTGATATAAACTCTTCACCTGGAAAGAAAAACAAATACCTTGTGAAAACAGACTTCAATGAAAAGGAAGATCTTTCAAAATTAAGCAATATAGTTTCCAATTTCTTAAAGATAGAACCTTTTTATTCCCAACCTAAGGCATGGCAAAACCTTATTGCAAAACCATTCATCAAAGATTTATACGGATCTAAAACTAGTTTGACTAACTTACTAAACGAAATAATGGTAAGACATAATTTGGGCGATATAGACCAAGATTTAAAGTTACCTCAGCTACATCATGAAGCGGTATTTCTCGAGCCATCTTATCATAACAAGATATCAATTAATCTCTTCACTGCAGTATTGGCGGTGAATGCAGTATCCTCAGAAAGAACTGACGTTGATTATATGTTTCATCCCGCGAATAGACCACAGTTAAGAAGACTTGTTACCAATTTACAGAGGGCTACTTTTCATTGGACTGGTTTCCAACAGGAAGATGTGGAGGGTTTGATACATGTTTGTGTTCACTCTTTGAAGAAAAGAAGAGCAAATGGTAAATCTATATATTCTGATTATGATTTAAGCTTGGTGAAACAAGCACTAGAAGCCTCCAGGTTGGCATTATCCAACCCTAGGTGGAGAACTTCGGCGTTGTTGCACGAAATGAATTATTACTTATCTAAACTTCCAGATATTTTCACCAAGTCTTTCGGAACTGGGGTTTTACAGACAACTGACTCATCTGGGAGAACAAATGATGTCGGGGTTTTTGGTGCTCCACATATTCAAACCATGCAAGAGTTCTTTTATAAAAATCGATTTCTCAATATGAGTGATGCAGAAAAGTTGAATGAAAAGCTAGATGCTGCTGCGAAACCCTTTTGGTCCTCTTACTGGCAAAACGCAGTAAAGCGCAATACTGAAAAGTTTAATAAGCAAGATACAAATCAGAGTTTGAGTGCAAGTGTCATGCCTGAGCAGATTACTAATGCTATTGAAACACCTAGTGTTCTTGATAATCTTGACGAAAATTCACGAAATGTACTTACCACTCCGAAACGGAAAACTCAAATAAAACTGAATGATGTTAGTCCTGAAGATAAATTGAAGCGAACTAATGGGGAAGGCTTGAAAATGACAGACGATATCACAAACAATTTCTCTGCCCTGGGTTCAAGTACTTCATATCAATCTATAAGGGAGTCGAGGTTGTTGGGTACCGCGTCCTCTAAGTTGTCTTATCTAGCCAGTAGGTTGTTGGAGCACCAAAAGGCCAAAGTTAAGTCGATTGTTTTTTTTGAATTTGAAGATAGTGCATACTACCTAACTGAGTTACTCGAATTAATGGGCATTGGGTATATCCTTTACGCAACATTTATTTCACCGACAGAAAGAGCTAATAATCTTGCTGAGTTTGGCGGATTTGACTCGGAGAATAATGGGGGAATTACCCTTATAATGGACTTGAGATTAGCTTCACATGGCTTAACCGTCATTTCTGCCACTAGAGTTTATTTTATCAGTCCAGTTTGGCATAGGTCAGTTGAAGCACAGGCTATTAAAAGAGCTCATAGAATCGGTCAAACGAAAGATGTCTATGTTGAAACATTGGTTTTAAAAGGAACTTTAGAAGAAGAAATATATAAAAAGAGATCAAAGGAAACTGACTCAGAGATAGATAACGAACAGGAAAAGAAAAACAAGTTCGTCATTGATGATACTGGAATGCAAGATTTCATTTTAAAGCATAAGTTTTTGGATGTTGAAGAGAACGATCCTGAGTATAGCCCTTTTTTTGCACCCGCTCTAAACAAAAATGCTTTTTTTGATCCTCTTCATGATGAGGGTGACATTCTGGAGTATGCTCTATTGGAACATAAGGATATTATTCACAAAAAAGATAATGTTCTTCTGTTGAGAGAATGGATTGTGTATGTGTTCAGCAAAGAATGTTTGGATAGACTGAATCTGATTAAAGCATTCAAAACTACGAAACGAAAACATAAAGATGAATTCTTATTTGAATTTGCCGAAGCCGGATACAAAAGTGAAGTTAATGAAAAGATGGATCAAGAAACAGAAGCGATCAAGAAGCTGGCTTCTTTACTTGATCTGGCTCTTCCTAAACGCAAAAAAGTAAGATTTTAAAGTGATACAAGAATAGAAGTTGGCTTTACATACATTCTTATTTTTATTTTATTAATGCATTTATGAACTATTTGTTTAATCTATTGTACAATAATTATATATGCCTCACAATTACCAGGCCATCTGTGGAACTTGTAAGCACTATATTCTCTGTAGGATGATAATCCACATCTAAAACTGTACCACGGTGTCCTGCAAGCTTTTTCAAAATCTTCCTCGAATTATAATCGAATTGAGTTACAGTTTTATCTTCTGACCCCGAAATTATTGATACGTTGTTATTACTGAAAGTCGTCCTTATCAATTGCATCTCATTTCCTGAAGGCGCCCCGTCATATACGTAAGGACTAATTCTAGATATACCATCAGGAACATGATCTTTTGCACTGTAAGTTCTAATATCACCATTCATGGCACGACTTATTAAAATAGAGTCGTCATTATTGATTGCTATTGATGTGATTGAGTCCGATTGACCACTGCTTTCCCAGAGTGGTTTATCAACAACCCTCATATCATAAGCTTTGATAGTCGGGTCTATCCCACCAAAATATATTACACTTCCATGATTATTGAACGAACCGGTCAATAATGGGAACTCAGTTATAATTTCAGCAGAGGACGTCTTTTGTCTTTGATCCCATAACCTAGCTGAACCGTCGTCACTCACGCTTAAAGCTATCGAGTCTTTTGATATATCAACCTCATTTATGGTTAATTCATGGCCAACACATTTTCTAATTCTTTGACCTGTTTCACCGTCCCAAAATCCGATGGTTGTGTCAGCACTAGCACTCACGACAGTTAGATCATCATACAACCATTTTGCAGATGTAACCGCAGACTTATGCCCTGATAACGTTCCATAGTTTGGCTCATCTCCTTCTCCGGTTGTGGGCAAATTCCAAAGTTGAATAGTTTTATCGATACCTCCGGTAACTATTTTGGAACCATCATTGCTGAATTTAGAGGATAAAACACTTCCCTGATGACCTTCAAGTACAACAGCTTCTTCATAAAGATTACTGCTAGTTGTTTCCAGGACCTTAGATTTAATCAAAGATGCATTCTCATTCGAGTCCAATTTCTGTCTTTTGACCAAGGACATTCTTTCTTTGGCTCCACTAAGCTCAATTCATTTCTTTATAGATATACTTTGGTGCAAAACTATTTTGATGCGTAGTTTTTTTTTTTTTTTTTTTTTTTTTTTTTTTTTTTTTTTTTTTTTTTTTTTTTTCTGGCTGAATTGAATCTGCCTCAATAAGAGTTCTACACTCTATGGCCATCTTCTTCTACAAAGTTATGTTTACTCGAAATATTAAAATGCTGTATTAAACTAAGCCAAGTATTCATAAGAATCATTGTCGCAACGGCGAATGTATTCCTTTTCTATCAAAAAGTCAATGACTCTTTTTATATCAATGATTTTAGCACGGAATCTAGATTGTGCTTGAAGTAAGACATCATTCATTAATTCATTATGTTTCATTTTCTTTCTTGCTTTCATGATTCTGACGATACTTGCAGAGAGATAATTCTTACGAGATTCATCAATTTCTTTGTTGGCATCATCTTCTTCTTGTTTTTGCTCAGTTTTGATTGAACTGACAAAGCTTACTTTAAGTTTTTTAGATTTATATTCATCAACGATAGTGAATACAGTATCATCTTTTGTGAAGGCATCTGGTTCAGGTGGCAGTTGATCGAGTAATTTATATTTGGTAAATGGTAGTAAGTGGGCTTCAAATGTATGTCTTGCAGTACCAACTATGTCATGTAATTCTTTAAGAGTATAAGATTTTTTCTTATTAAATGCTAATAAAATGACTAATTGAGAATTTGTCACAGTGAAAATGAAAGGTGGTTTCCCCTTTCTTGATAAGTTTGCTTTAACTTCACTCCTACCATGATTCCAAAGCCATTGAAGTTGACGACCGTTGTGCTGTTTCGTATAAACTTCCTCTACTTTATTGAATGCAGGCAATAATTCGGGAGCTAATTTCAATTCATAATCTTCAGAATAGTTGAAAGGCCACATACTTTGAGCCAACACTAATGGTGTAAAATCTTTAATATAATTGTTATCACCCAATTGGTCTTTAACATGTGTTTTCAAATCACCAGATGCTTTCATATCTTGGAACATCTTAGTCATTTTAGAAGTATATTCTAAAGAATTTTCATCTTGTAATCTTTGTATGATACCTTCTTCTAATTCATCGGACTTAGTATTACTGTGAATTAATCTCTTTGCCAATAAACGACGATAATGTTCTTCAAAAGCATCTTTATCATTAACAAATTTAAGAACAACCATTAAATGATCTGCATTCATGTCAGCTGTTTCCTGTTCTTTACCTGTAGCTTTTAAGAAACCATCAGCATATTTAGCCAATAAGTCTGGAGTTTTACAAGGGGATTTAGGAGTTGGTAACGCAATAGAGTTATTATTGACAAAGTGGGCACAGGCGTTATCCAAAGATTTGATGAAAAAGGGATCTTTATCGAATGCAGCAACAATGATTTCTCTAAATTTATAATAGATATTAACCAATGTATGAATATAAGTTTTTGGATTGATAGCTCCAGATGCAGCTCTTCTTGTAACTTTAGCACCGGTACCAGCGGCAGCATTTCCTTCTGTTTTTGATTCAACAGAATTATCTGAAGATTTTTTTATCTCTTCAATTGCTTTTGCAGCTTCTTCTTTAATGTACTTTTCAAAAGTATCTGCCAAAGGGGTTAAAGTAGAGGGAACTCTTGATAGTAATTTGTACATTCTTTGAATATGATCTATTTCATTTTGTTCTAATAATCCCAAGAATTGATTATACATTTCTTGAGCATGGTCTTTTATAAGAACTTTATTCAATGTTTCTAGTAATAATTTTTTGGTATGATCTTCTAAATAATTATTGGATCTTGATATTTCTTCTGCTAATCTTGTTTCACATTTTTTCATATAATCAACCACGTTATGTTGGGAAAGAAAATTAATGGATTCTTTACTGTAATAATCGGCAGTACTGTTCAAGAAATCTTGTTCAAAGTGTTTGATATATACAACTAAATTAGGTTTTTTCAAATCTTGAACATCAATACCCAAGAAAACCAAGGATTTAATTGCCACAGAAATAAGATTGGTTTCAACAATTTCATTATTTCTTTGTTTTTCAATGAGCTCAAGTACTTCACTGATTAATTGGTTTGCATTATTATTAAACATATTAAATTTCCATTTTAATAAAGATAAAGTGTTGACATCAAAAATATCTCTTCTACCATCGGATCTTTCTTTTTGAACCCAATAACGATTCATATAATCAAAAACGTTATTCATGTAGCCTGCTCCAATGGTAAAACGAGTCCATTTTTTAACATAAAATTCCAAAAAAGATTCATTGGGACTTTTCTTTAAACCAGAGATATAACTAACCAAGTAATCATCCAATTTTGAATAGATTTCAGCACCAGCCAAAGAATAAGAGCTATTATTTGATGATCCGCCAATCATACTATGACTTGAAGCACCAGTATTTGGAGAATTACGTGATTTGGTGGTACAGTAATTATAAATAGCAGTATAACAATTCATATACATTTTGGAAGTCACACCTTGATCACCTTGGGCACCTAGAATGAATTCTAATCCAGGTTGGATAAAACTCCAAGTGGCATTTAAATCACTTGCAATTGGGAAAGATTGTTGAGACATGTTAAAAAAGGGGATTATGCTTATAGGTTTGAGAAAAGGACAAGAATCAATTATTGGATATAACTCGTCACCAGACGCTTATATCGAATCAAAGGCACTGAAAAAGAGGTCTATATGTTACTGCCTTGAATATCTAAACGATAAAACGATATTAAAATCAATTGAATGATTTGAAGCAATAAAATGGTCTAATTGATTTAAAAGATCAAACCGAATAGATCAATCGAATATATCCCTAGATCAATACAGTCGATATAACTTCACAAGGCTAATTGGTCAAGCTCTGAAACAAGTCGGAAACAAAGCTAGTGATCTTTCTTCTCAAACTAGTCTTTCTGTGGGATGAAGTGTGAATGTTTTTGGATTCAAAAAAAAATTCAGTTAGCGGTTTTTGGTTTGCCTCACAAAAATGCTAATGATTGTGGTAACTACACGTCATTTGCTTTATTGCAAAATTCACTTCATGGCAATTACAGTAACTGATTTGATAATTATTTAGATTGAAAAGAAGGAATGTTTATGAATTAAAGCTAAAAGTCTAACTATACGGGGAAGAAAAGGCACTCACCATAAAGAAATGTACGAATTGAATGGAAGAAAAGAAGAAAAGGACGAAAAAAAAAAACAGTATATTAATCAGATCTGGGGGAAGAGGTGCTGACCCTGTCAACAACACGAATGATACTGATTGTAAACGTAAGAACCCATAAGCAAAGAACCAAGAACAAAAAGGAAGCTAAAGCACGTTGTCTGCGACAAATTGAATTGACGGTGGGGTAATAAATACCAATTGAATTTAAATCTGGAGTATTATCAACTTCACAAACCCATTCATCATCGTATAAGGTATTAAAGGTTAAGGATAAATTTGCTGAAGAGAAAATAATGAATAAAAGATCCAACATAATCAATTTCATTTTACCTAAAGGATCTCTTAAACCCAAAGGTTTCCCACTATATTCATCATAGGAAATATAGATAACATACGCAATGGCACAACATTGGACCACAATGGCCATGATTGTACTTGGTTGTTGTTCAATTACTTGATCATCGTATTTACGTTTTGAGAAAACAAATATAGTACAGGCTAATGCCAAAGCACAAGCTGAAAATATTATGATTAGGATTCTTAAAAACAATGGTACTAAAGGATTTTGCACAAATAATCTTTTCAAAGTTGGTAAAACATCTTTTCTTTTTTCATCAGACATCCAATAACCAGCTCTTGATCTAACTTTTGGATGATCAGTATCGAATTTAGAATTTTTCTTATTTGATTTTTTACCAAAAATTTTGGTGAAAACGCTTCCATTTTCATCTCCAACATAAGTATCTTCATCACTTGAAGGAGAACCCAAGAGAGCCAGTTTAAGACGGTCGTCCCCACCCCAGGACTCATTTAATAATTTTTCTTTATTATTAAAAGATTCATCAAATTTAACTAAATCTGAAGTATAAGCTGTAGGTTGTTGAATTGTTGATAAAAAATTTTGCCATTTAGCATTACCCAAAGACTTTATAAAAGCATCGTTGGCAAAACTAAGATATTGTTGGTCTTCATCTGATTGGGCCAAACTTTGACGATTGACAGAAACTGGTGTATGAGGAGGTTGAGGAATCTGTTGTGAATCTGCTTGAGCTGATTTTTTTTTTGTGGATGGATTAATATCCGATTGGTTATTATTAACATTTGTATTATCTAATTGATCCTTATAATGAGCTTCGGTTAAACGATCGAGTACATATGGAGGAACTATATTTGCTTTATGACTGTAAACTCGAACATTTGCATTATCGAAAGGATCTTCATTTCTCGGAGAATAATTAAGTTGAGATCCATGTTGGGATCCTCCTTGTTTTGCATGCAGATATTGGGAGTTATGAAATGAATTTGAATTTGAAAGAGCACTTAAATTGGTATTAGAATTGGAATTAGAATTTGCATTTGCATTTGCATTCGAATTGACCGTACTGGATATGTTATTAAACTTATTACGGCCAGGACTATTGAGAGTGGGTGATCCCGTTGCTGAAAGTTGTTGATAAGAAGAAGGTGATGAAGGTGATTGGTCTTGATCTTGAGCTAACCGAACGTTTATTTCATTTTTGGGTAATTCCTTCTGTTGTCCGTAATATCTTTGCGGATCGGTATCACTATCACTATTAATATTACTACTATCCTGACTATCCCCGGTATTCATGAGACCCCCTGGCATTCGAAAGATATGAGAAGACATTTATCAACCTATTTTAAACGGAAACGAGTGGAAAGAAGAATTAAATGGAAAAGAAGCAAACGGAAAGAAAGAAGGAAAAAAAAAAAAAACAAGATAAAACTGTTTATGTTATAGTCGACTATCGAAACGAGAGAGACGAGACCGACAAAATCACTGCCTGAGACAATCAGAAATAGTGGAGACCAATGAAGTTAACGGAATTGTATCAACACACCCAATGAGATGAGGAAGATCTTTTCGTTTAGATATGAATAGGGATCCTTGCTATGTCAATGAATTTTTTATGAGTTTACAAATGCTGAGGACTCAATAGAAAAAATAGACAGACAAAAATGGCATAAACAAAGGAGAATTTCGGATACTTGAACTACAAGGGCATTGTATGAAAGCTTAATAGAGTAAGTGGTCGAATACAAGCTTAGGAACTGGAACCAGGACCCGAGACCCAAAATCAAAGAGCGAAGGAGTCCGACAGCTCAAGCAGCCAAAGAAAAGGAACGGACTAGCAACCACGGAACCGAAGACTGTGCCGCAAAAGGCATAAGCAACACCAATGCTAGTAATGCAAGCAATTGACTACCATTCAAGTGGATGGGACTGCCGGTATTCTGCTTGTAGACACTGGGAGCTCGCAGGGCTGAATTACGTTAGAGTATTAATATAGATGTAGGCACAAGATGCACATCCAGATGTAGGATCTTACAAGGAATACACTAGAGTAGAGGACACACTAGAGTAGAGGAAATACACTAGAGTAGAGCAGAAGAACAACAGTAGAAGAGAATAACAGTAGAGTAGAATAACAGTAGAGTAGAGGAGCAGAGGAAGTTGCCATTATTACCTAATGTGAAAAATCAACAGAAAAACTTGCGAAATTTGCCATTGATAACCAGACCCATAGTTCCACTTTATCATTAAAGATTGGCTAAATGGTTATGCTCAGGTTGGTTAGACCTGCTGTCAAGTATGATATAGCCTCGTGTGGTATAGTTTCTAGAGCTTCTAGTATCCGATGGCAATCCACTGGTTTGAAACCAACTTCTGATTCAACATTCAATCCAAATTCGATATACGTTGTTTCATTTCCAATAACTACTCATAAGTCGTATATCTATTGTAATCATGAACCTTCGTTATTGGCCCAATCACAATTATCAACGTACCCAATCTTAACCAAGGTGGAAACCAAGATTACGGGATTGGCCCTGAAAGCATGGAATAAATTAAAACTGTCAGAACTTGAGATTAATAAGAAGATTACTAAATTAGTCTATTCGTTATTGAACACTGTTCCTTACGATGAAAGCTGTTTAACCTCCTTCCCATCCCAAAGCTCTATGATTAGAGAAATTAATAAAGAGGTTCTTTCGAATAATGAAAAAGTTAATACCATGGTGCAATCGCAAATTGACCATTTAAAGATTCCTCAGAACCAATTAAAACCTATTCCTCTATACCATCCGACTTTCCAGCATTCAAATTCTATTATCGACCAATTGAAACTGTTTAAAGATGACTCATATGCAAAACATATGAAATACGCGATTTTATGTGGTATTGGGGTACCAATTAGTTTACCTTTGGCAATAATCCCTTTGGTTCCAAACGTTCCTGGTTTATACTTGGCTTATAGGCTCTACTGTAACGTCAAACTGTTGATGGGTGCAAAACATTTGGATTATCTTCTACAAGATGATCAGCATCTTCTATTCAAGCCCCAGGGCAAAATCGACGCCATCTATCGTCTAGATAACTTTGCCAATGAGTTACTCGACCAAAGCGAAGTTTCAAAGAACTTCGATGAAGAAAAAGTCCTCATCACCGAAGATATCATTGAAGGTTTGGTCAGCCATTTCCATCTTCATCACTTGAAATCAGAGTTGATTAAAGCAATGAATCAGGAATCAAAACGTATCAACCAAAACTTGAAAGTAAACGATATCGTCGAGTGATGCTCTTGTATATACTCAAAATTAACATTTCTATATTTATTAACTAACTGTCGATGTAAATTAGCAGCCAATGGCTTTTTGTATTCTCTGTTAATCACTTCCTTTCCCCCTCTAGCCCTCGCTCCGCGCACGTGACACCAGCAGTCACAACCCTCGTCCCGGACGGCGATATTTCCAAACCCAGCACCCGCGCGCATAGAAAAAAACCCCGCCCGTACATCCCTCCCGTCTTAATACCAACCGTTAGTTAGTCCTTTGGGGGTGGTGCCTGCACACAGGATTGTCCGCACACACACACTGAAAAAAAAAAAAGGTTGAGAAAATTTTTGTTCGTCGAGTGCGCTTTTGCTCTGACCCCTCAACAAGTATTATAAATTTATATTAGTTTTTCCTTCTTCCTTTCTTTCTTTTCCTTTCCTTTTCTACATAAACACATATATCATTCAATATGAGAGATAAGTGGAGAAAAAAGAGAGTTAGAAGACTTAAGAGAAAGAGACGGAAGGTGAGAGCAAGATCCAAGTAATCGGACAGTGAATTATGATGAAGACTGGCTGAATCTGATTTTCAAAATTTGATTGAAAAATTCAAACAGTGGTCTTTGGGAAGCTGTTTATCTTGCTTACTTCCGTCTCTGATGGTGTGGTTCTGCTTGTGGACAGTGTTCCAATTGACTTTACTTTTGTTTTTATTAATTGAAGCTTAATTTTGAAGATTGGGTTTTGGCTGGGTTTTTGTTGTTTTTTGGGTTTATTATTCTTGCTCTTATTAACCGTTTCATTTCTGTTTCTTAGGTTTATCTTGCCCATAAAGCTTTATAAATTTTAATCAAACTTTAATGATTCGTCCGTATATATATTTCAATAAAAATTTGGCCATTTATGGTTTTATAAAAAATTTCGGTCATGTAGTGTTTAAATGCTTTGCAAAATTGGATGATCATCTCTGGAGATTTCTGCTGGTGCACGGGTGGGTGTGGCGGTGAAGCAAAATGGTTGCAAACACAAATGGGCAATGCAAAGAGAAATCATGGCCATAGATTATTGATTTCCAAGAATGCAATCAAGATTGGTTCCTCTCTTGGGGAGTGGTGATATTGGTGCATCTCGTGGATTCATTCAAGAAAGCCCTTTGTTGGAAGATGGCGAGTCGGTTTCGGAAAACTCGATTTCAATCACCCCTCCATCGAAAGTGGCTAGTTGCAAAATGGCCAAGTCGCTAACCCTTCCCAAAAGTCATAGGAACGTTGTTGTTCGCTCCCAGTCTACTAGTGAAATCAAAACGGGGGCAGTGGTAAAGCCTTTGAATTTAGAGTTTTTCGTATCAAATACTGATCCTGCAAACGCAACAGCCTCTTCTTCGGGATTTATCATCGAGTCCGTATCTGACATCACTTCGAGTGATATTGACCAGGTTAGCCCTGTTCCGTTCATAGAAGACTTGACGGTGGTGAAGTCCCCCCATGAACCGCCGTTTGATGCAACCTCCCTTTTACATCAGGGCCGAACCTCAATTAGACAATCCCTCATTAATGATCAAAATGATATCTTCCCAACTCCAGTAGATAATTTCCATGGCTATTTGAACGAAAGAATGATCCGATGGAAACCAAGTGATTCCCAATATAATGTCGAAGCAACCATGGAAGGTAAGCATCCCTTCCAGTCGAAAAATTTTCATCCAATATCTTCAAAACAGTACGGCTTTCTTGGTGGACTTACTAACTGGATACTTCCTAGGAACCGAGAAGACGGTTCAGAAACCGTAAGAGCAACTGGAAACACAGACGATTCAAATACAACTATGTTTTTCTCTGCTGACGATTTTTTACAGAAAAATCAAAATAATAAAGATTCACCAGATTTTACAAAGCTTTTACATCAGCATATCTTAAAACCAAATAGTTCAAATTCAATAATACCTTCTCCTCAAATTGAAAGACCGTCCCCAAACTCTTTGGCTGTCTTTGTTTCTCCTCCCACGGATATAATAAATGATGAACCTCTGAGAGTCAATGAGCCAGCCTATACTCCATTGGCGGTTTCTTTTAATGAAATGAGCCTTAATTTTGAAAAACGAGAAAACGATGAAAACGGTAGTTACAATGGCTTAAGGGTTGAAAATGATATTTTGACTTCAATTGATGGTGATGTTAGAGATATAATAGATGATTTTGATCATGTATTAGCTGGATGTGTTAACGGAATGAAAAAATTTTTCAATTCCATTGATACATTTTGCAATCGAATCTACTGATTTTTTTTATAAAATACTGTATATTTAATTTTGATGAAGATAATTTTTTAAACAAACGATCAAATGTAAATGTCAAAAATGATTTAAATTAACAAATGAAAAAAAAAAATGAAATATAATCATTTTTCAAAACTCTTGAAATGATGAATTCAAAAGCAATTGTATAAAGTGGAAAAGAATTAAACAAAAAGGTCAGAAGGGAAACTTGAAACTAATATAAAAGGCAACTTGAATAGTGACGTACGAAGTAAATAAGAAAAACAAGACAGTGTTCTAATTTGCTTACTCAGAAGCTTCGGCAAATCTTTCAGAAATGCTGGTCAATAAATCACCAAACTCTTTCTTAGCTTCATCTTCACCTCTTGATGGCTCGAAAAATTTACTTGATGAAACGGAATGCTTAACATCAGAGGTAGCTTCAGATAACTTAGACCATTGAGCACCATTAGCAACGGCTTTTTGAGCTTCATCATAATAAGAAATGAAAGATCTCATCATATCAAAAGTTTTCCAAATTGGACAGAATTGATCGTAGGTAGAGTAACCATTTTGTTGTAAGAAATCTTCTTTAATCAAGTTTGCAACATCTAAAGTAATCTTATCGGCGTCAGATAAGGCTGATTTACCAACTAATTGAACAACTTGTTCTAATTCTTCAGCATTAGATAAAATCTCTCTAATCTTAGTTCTTAAAGCTGGGAATTCAGGGTAGTTGGCATCGTAATACTTATCTAAAACATTGGTATATTTAGAATAGGAAACACTAGTGTTAATAGATGGGAAATGCTTTCTTTGGGCCAATTTTTTATCCAAACCCCAGAAAACTTGAGTAATACCTAAGGTGGAGGTAGTAACAGGATCTGAGAAATCACCACCAGCTGGAGAAACAGCAGCAACAATGGAAACCGAACCAAGTCTGTCTGGAGAACCTAAAGCAACAGCTTTACCGGCACGTTCATAGAAAGAAGCCAATTTGGCACCCAAGTATGCTGGGAAACCTTGATCAGCAGGCATTTCACCCAATCTACCAGAAAGTTCTCTTAAAGCTTCGGCCCAACGAGAGGATGAATCAGCAATCATAGAAACATTCTTACCTTGATCTCTGAAATATTCAGCAATAGTAATACCAGTATAAATTGAGGCTTCTCTAGCAGCGACAGGCATATTAGAGGTGTTGGCAACTAAAGTAGTACGTTTCATAATTGGTTCTTTTCTACCAGAAATTTCAGTATGTAATTCTGGGAATTCCATTAAAACTTCCGCCATTTCATTACCTCTTTCACCACAATTATGAACAAGAGCCAAGTTAGACAACAAGAATTGATGGTCAGACTCACTTGGAAGAGAGATACCATAATAGTCAGCTCTTGGAAGTTCTTTGACAGTAAAGTTGAAAGCTTGGGCGGAGCGAGTAAAAGTGGCGGGAGCTTCAAATCTTTTGCGGTCGAGAGAACATTTGCTGAGTACAGATTTCAAAACATCACCACCAGACATATAAACTGCATAGCTTTCTTCGTGTGAAACACCCTTATATACCGAAGCTATCTCTTTATTCACTGATACACGGATACCAAGAGAACGAGCAAGTCTGGTCAATCCATCCCTAACTTCTGGATAAATGGTTTTTACGGTAGCAGAAACATCATCACGCTTGACATGGCCATCGGAGTCAATAATACCGGCAAGGAAATTTTCACGAACAGTGAAAGGAGCTGAGGCTAAAGAGTATGGTACAGCTTTACACTTTTCACCCTTAACACCAAAGGTCTTTACTGCTTCCCAAAGAGCATTTCCAGTGTTTCCACGAGTTACTGGAGCGCGAACATTTACAGTAATATCACCACCTTTGTGGGTTTTCTCTTGCGAGATGTCTTCACCAACGAGAGTAACTTCTTCGTCATCAAAAGAGGCGGAAGCTTCAGCTCTATCTTCTTGGTCTGCAAATTCAGGATCTTCAACATTGGCTTCTTCAACAACCTCATTACGTGCACGCTTATATGGATCAGCATCGCTTACTAAGTCTAAATCGGATGCATATTGACTAATACGTTCAATAAGGTCCACATCAGCAGGATCAATTGAGAAGCTAGAACGGTCAGAATAACCATCACCGACCCAAAGACCGAGCAAATAAGAAAGCTGGTCACGGACAGAAGCGTCTGCACCGATGGCCTTCATGTTTTCAGCAAATATATCATTTTCATGTAACACAGGGGAAATAAGTTGTTGAGTTGCCTTACGTGCATGCACGTTAAGTCTTTCTAAGTCACGAACTTCAAGAGTCCAGTCAATGTCATCACGAGGAATTGTAGACATGAACTTCTCAGCTTCTGCGTGCGCGTTTTCCTTGCCACCCCAAGTACTGTGTTGAAAGGAACGGGTTTTTTCTTTCACCAATCTAAACTCACGCTTATCTTCAGTAATCACAGTTTCCATTGCAAAGTAAACTACTGAAGTTTGAGCCTTACCTCCCACAATGTCATCTGTCATTTTTACGTGCTGTTTAGTTTTCAACACTAAAATATGCTTAGCGTTACATGTGTAGCCAACAGAAGCGTGGTCTTCATGTTTATGTTGGGTTTCTTGTTTAACTTCGTACATAGTTTCAGTACCTCTTGGAAGAGCAACAACTTCCCTAGCGTTACCATCTTTACCCATAACATTTTCACCAACAGTAATGTTTTCAATGACCTTATCGGTACCATCAGCCATCAAGACCTTGGTACCCTTTGCGAAACAACCAACATAGATAATGGTATCAGAGTTAGAGAATTTAGATAAAGATTGAGAAATAACAGTCTTACCACAACCAAAAGCACCAGGAATACAAGTGGTACCACCTTGAACACAAGGAAATAAAGCGTCCAAGACTCTTTGACCAGTTAATAAAGGATAATCAGCGGCAAGTTTTTCAGCAACTGGTCTTGGAACTCTAACTGGCCAAGTATGCATCATGGAGTATTTTTGTTTTTTACCATCAAATTCAAGCTCTAAAACAGGTTCTTCAACGTTATAAGAACCAGAATCAGCAATGGAGGTAATGGTACCTCTAGCTCTTGGGGGTAGTAAGATTTTATGATCATCTAATAAAGAATTTTCAAAAACAGAACCAAAGATATCACCACCAGTGATATGATCACCAACTTTTAATTTACCTGGAGTGAAATCATAATGAACATCTCTAGATAAAGCAGGGGCATCGATACCTCTTGGAATATAAATGGATTGGGATAAATCTTTAATGGATTTCAAAGGTCTTTGAATACCATCATAAATGGTTTCCATTAAACCAGGACCTAATTCAACTGATAATGGTTTACCAGTTCTTAAAACTGGATCACCAACAGTAACCCCGGCGGTTTCTTCATAAACTTGAATGGTAGCCTTATCACCGTTAATACGAATGATTTCACCAACCAAGGTGTCATGACCAACCTTGACTAACTCGTACATAGCACTACCAATCATATTTTCAGCGACCACAACCGGACCTGAAACTGAAAAGATTTGACCATATTGGGATTCTTCAGCATCTAAAGAAAGACGCTTGATTTCTTTACGGGCGTTCTCTAAAGCACCAGCCTAAATAAATAAGTTAGTAATTGGATTCAATTGATTAATATTGTATCAATGAAATTTTGAATTCTTTGATAATTAAGTTATCCCATTTCCAATCTCCCATTAATTCATCAAAATTCATCAAGTTCAATTCAAAAGAGATCCATTGATCCACTAGTATCAACCAACATACCATTTTCCTTCTTTTTTAAATTGATGAGGAAATCTGATGATTACTTATTCAACTTATAAAGTATCTTCTTTTATCAAAGATAATTTTTATTAATGATTAAAGTGAAGGTGAGTGCTCACTTACTGCTAACTAATTTTGAGGAAAAGGTCGTGGCCAACGTGACAAAAAAGGAGTTACCCGCTAAATTTTGTCTGAAGCCAAAGCTTTTGAATGATAAGCTTTGATTGCAAAAACTATGTACTGACAACATGTTGGCTTGTGTTGGTGTATTGGTGACTGTGTTGGTTTGCGACCGTGGTGGTGACTGCACCGATAGGGTTGCAATTGCAGTGTGGAATATCTTTCGATTTGCATGCTGAGGTTTATCGGTAGGAGTACTCGGTTTCTTGTAGTGATCAATTGATGCCAATTGATGTCCATTAAGTACCAGAGAGTATTTTGTAGGTGTAGCTCGAAGTCATTATACCATTTGCTATTTGGAAAAGGCAATTGCCCGGTTTCTGCTACTATTGCCAGATTTATACAAAATTTCGCCAAAATTTGAAACTAATGCTTACAGTGGATGAACATGTACTTAAAAGTTAATATTAATATCTATAAACATTCGAGGTCAAAGCTTAGCACCCAATTTCTTTGCTCTATCCCAGGCAATGTCACACATGGCATTGAAGGCTTCTTTTCGTTCCAAAGTTATATCTCCCCGTTGAATTCTTTGTTTCATATTACTCATAATCAGCTCTCTTGATCTTCCATTGACAAAAACCACATATCTCAAGCCAGGAAACGTTGCCTCGTACTCTTCGTTCAACTGCAAAAGCTTTGCAGATTCCTCCTCAGATCCCTGTAAGGATTTTTGTTCGCTTGATGAATGGCTTGACAATTCTGTTCCAGTTTTTTTAGCAGGGCCCAATCTTGGATGAGCTGCAATGATTTTAGAAATATCTGGACTTATATCATTGGCTTTACTCTCTTCCGAATGGAGAAATGAAAGAAGCTTTGATCTCACTGTCTCTATGAAGTCTTTATACGATTGAAAGTTTTGATCTGGCAAGACGTTTTTTATAATGAATGCAGATAATGTGGAGCACGGCTCAAATAAATGATTCAATACTTCAACCTGTTCGTTTTGGGCCAACTGCAGAAGTTGATTTATTGGAGGTAAAGCATACACCATGGCTAGTTGATTTCTTATTAAAAAGATTGCAAAAAGAAGAATATCTGAGGTTTTTATATGGGGTTGAAAAAAAAGATAAACCTCAGTGCACACGGAGAAGTCCGTGTCAAGATACGAAAATACAATGTGGAAATACAATTGAATAAATGTATATATACTATAAAATTATACAGGGAGAACTGAGTTAAAGGAAGAAAATGAAGGATAAATGATATTAAACAAAAAAAAAAAAAATAATAAAAAAGATAAAGGAAGAAATAATAAATAATGTCATACTGATGAACTAGTAAGTTTGTTTTTTTATATTTTTTTTTTATGCAATGCTTGAGTTACTACTAGGTAGTATTAAGGATGAGATTAGAGGAAATGTTGCATTTCACGTAATCTTTTAATTTCCTTAGCAGAAGGAGCCCCCTTTTGAGCAATTAAAGGATGTCTCCAGTGTTTAACATAAGTGAAAAGAACATTAGCCAATTGATCTAAATCGGTGAGACCTAAATCGGCAAAAGTTTTAGCATTTGGATCAATTGATTGATTAATTAAATGTCTTTGAACTTGATCAGAATTAGTTAATTTCCAGTAAGCAAATTGTTTTAAATCGGCCATAAATTTAGCTAAAGGTAAAGGAATTTGATAATCAGCAAAGTTATAATTAATTGGACCAGCTTGAGAAAAATCTTGAGTAATACCATGAATCATTTGTCTAATTTCTAAAAATGAAAGTTTTTCAGGACCATATAATTCAAAAGTTTGACCAATAGTTGAATCATCAAAACCAATTTTTTCTAAACCTCTTGCAACATCAAGAACATGAGCAGGATAAATTTCTTTAGCATTTCTATTTGGAGTCCACATTTTCAATTTTGGACCTAAATAATTTAATAAGTTATCTTCACGGCCATACATTGGAGCAGGTCTAACAATTGTTGAAGTTGGTAAAATATCACGAACAATTTGTTCAGAAATACCTTTAGTAGCATAAAAGATAGAATCGGAGGTTGGATTGGCATTATAAGAAGAAACATAGACATATCTTGGATTTCCAGCTTCTTTAACTGCCTGGGTAATTCTTTCAGTAATACCAATATTAACATCAGCCATTGAAAAATTCTTAGTTGGATAATCGGCACCAATACAATTGAAAACAATATCGGAATGAGCAACTGATTCTTGAATAGATTCAACATTTCTTGGATCAAATTCAACAAAATTGACAACACCTAAATCACCAGTAACTTTTAAAAATCTTTTTTTCAATTCATCTCTATATGGAACTACAGTAATAGTACCATGTCTGGCTAATTTGGAAACTAAATAACGTCCCAAAAACCCAGATGCACCGAAAACTGTTGCTGAATATCCTGATCTTGATGAACGACCTCCACTTCCAACAGCGGTATTGACTTTACCATTCTTCAAAATATTAACATCCGATTCTAAAACTGGTGTATAAATCGATCTAGTTCCTAGTTTTTTAATTATTGGTTTCGAATTAACTCTTAACATCATTTCTAACTCAACCTATTCAAGAACCTATTCAAGTAAACTTACTCTTTTATCCTTGTTTTAATACTGGAAAACTTTTTCTGTAATTTTTTTTGTGCTTATTTGATTACTCTCAGGGAAAACTCGCTGTTCTGGTTGGCCAAAACAGGTTACTATGGGGGACGGTGTAGACACGACCGAGAAGGCACGGGTGTTTTTTACCAGGTCCAATACTACTATTACTATTACGATTACTATTACTACACCACCATGGACAGTTAACGATATATTTAAAGCTAGTAGATTTATAGAAAGATACAAAAAAAAAGATGAGAAGGAAAGGAAAGATTAGAAGTTACCGAAGTTGTTCAGTCATTGGATAGATCGTCAATTTTTTATGAAAGCAGAATTATTAATAAATGAAAGGAAAGAAAAGAACAAAACAACGGGAACAAGGCAAACAAAAAAGCAAAAAAGAAGGAGGTCATGTTGGGTTATTAAAAAAAAAGTAGCAAAGTGAAGAGTGAAAGAATCGAATGAAAAACTCAAAACAATTAACCCATTATAAGAAATAATCAGGAGTTTTTCTAGTGACGGTTGGTTCACCAGGTCTTACTGAAGGATCATACTGTAAGAATTGTCTATGATGAGATTCATCAACTTCCATTATAGCAGCTTGATTACCACATCTATAACAATAATTTGGGGCCGAGAAAATGGTGACTACTGATTCTTGATGAGACCAAGAATAACCTTCCATAACCAATTGATGGGCTCTTGCGATTAAACTTAAATCATTAGTATGATTAAATTGTTCTGAGATATCTTGACCAAAAGTGAAACCTGCACCTCTTGGAGAAATACCCCATCCACCTCTATCATCCGGGTCGGACCATAATAAATCACACATTGGACCTTCGTGAGGAACTTCTTGAATACGATTTAATTCTCTTACTTGATCAATAGTTTCAATCATTGGAGATAAACCACCATGTAAACAAAAAATTTTATTATCAACTAATGCAGTAATTGGGAAATAATCAAATAAGTCAGTGAATAATTTCCAAACGGTAGCAGAACCATATTTTCTTAAACATTCATCATAAAAACCATAAACTTGGGTAATTTGTCTTGATTCATGATTACCTCTTAATATGGTAATTCTATTTGGAAATCTAACCTTCATACAAACCAAATAAGAAACTGTTTCAACTGAATAATAACCTCTATCAACGTAATCACCCATGAATAAATAATTGGTATCAGGACAAGGTCCACCAATTTTAAATAATTCCATTAAATCATGAAATTGACCATGAACATCACCACAAATAGTAACAGGAACTTGAACGGGTTGAACATTTTCTTCAAATTGTAAAACATCAATTGCTAAATCACATAATTTTTTAACATCACTTTCTGATAATGGTTCACAATTTGATAATTTTTCAATCCATTGATCTAATTGATTAATAGATTCATGATTTAAATCATTTTTTTTATTAGTTTGTGTTAGAGATTGGCCTTGATCTGGTTTTATTGATTGATTTAATTGATCCTCACTAACATCTTCCATTGGAACATCAGTATCTAAATCCATTATGAAACAACAAAATTTAAAATAACAAAAAAGGAACTGAAAAGAAACTTAAAAAAAGACAACAACAAAAGAAAAAAAACCAATTAAAGTTAAAGGAATTGAATAAAATGAATAAAATGGAAACAAACACTAAACAAGTCCAACTAATCAATAAAAATGATGATTAACTAATGAAATAAGTAAAAAAAAAATTTTATTATATCACTTTGTTTATCGTGTCGTATCGATCTCAATCTAATGGTTAAACTTCAACCTGACGATGGATCAATTGATTCGAAATGAGTATGATCTGTTTGAACTGGATATGCTATGATCCAAACGGTGTTTAACTGATTGTTTGTAAAATGAAACCGTGAAAAGAAGAAAGGACAGAAAAAAGAGGAAAGCAAAAAAGAACAAAAAACTTGTATTCGAAAAAAGTTGTTCAAGGGAAAAAAAAAACTATACAATTTTTCATTTCTGACAAATTACTGAAAGTATACTCTCTAGCGCCATAGAAGCTTATATGGCTTCTTATATACTGGAAATACCATTAGATGGATAGCTAAATGGTAGCCCTGTAGAATGCATGCTGGTGAACGTTCTCGTAAAACCATCTTCACCAGTCGGCCGAAATAACGAAGCAATGAAACATCAAAATAACGAAATTACAAAATTACAAAATTACAAAATAACAAAATAACAAAATAACAAAATAACGAAATAACAAAACAACCACCAAACAAACTACATCATACACCGGTCAGCATCACCAATGCTATCTACAAATGATTGGGCTGCCCTTCGAAAAGACAGCTAGTCGTTAAACTCGGTAAAAAGACAACGAGTGGGAAAACTGCACCCGTGCACCCAACAAACTGCATCCGTGCACCATTTATACGTATCACACGACCACTTGCAACCATAACTAAAATATTAATTTAATCTATAAAAAAACATAAGAGAAGCATGAAATTCGTAATATTTTATAAAGTCTATAAAGAAAAATGGTTTGACTTGTCACTATTGGCATTGTTGGACGGAGGATTGTTGCCAGAAAGGATATTATTAAGATTAGCCGAAGAAGAGGACATGGTATTGAATTGAAATAAATTTGTTAAACTATTATTAGCGGAAGTAGTAGTTAAATCATCAGTGATTTGATTGAATAAATTGTATAAGTTTTTGGTACTTTCACTTAAGGAAAGATTTAGGTTAATATCTTCTTCTTTGATACTATCGTTATTAATATTATTATTAAAAGTTAACAAGGAAGTGATTGAAGAAGAGTTTCTAGGAACCAAAGAGGTATGACTTCCACTATTGTTTAATAGGTGATGATGAACTGAAGGAGGAGGCATTTGTTTTTTATTTTTATTTTCCACTGCTAATCTTGCAGTAACTGCAGGAGGAGGATTAACTTTTGATTTGTTCGTTGAAAGAGATAGAAATCCATCATCTTCATCATTACTCTCATCATTACTTTCGCTATCATTAGATAGTGAGCTTTCACGTTTGAGTGGAGCAGTACTGGTAGCAGGAACCGTAGCAGGAGGAGGAGCCATGGTTGGAGCAACAGGGGTGGTGGCGGTAGCCGGAACAGTGGCAGGAGCAGCTGAAGTGGCAGGAGCAGCAGGAACAACTGGAGGAGGTGCAGGTTTAGCAATAGATTTAACTGATTTTTCCAAGTCATCTAATAGATTGTCTAAAAACGTTTGATTTTCAAAATTTATTTTATTCAAAGTGATAAACCATTCATTTAACAAAGGATCTGATTTGATTAATTTATTTGAATTAGTGAAAGTAATGAAAAATTGGGTTAAATGATTTGAAAAAGTAATAATGATATCATTTTTAGCAATATTTGATAGATTTTTTAAATCAAGATAAATTTTTAATATTTGTAATAAATGAGGTAATAATTGATAATTTGATAATTGAATTTTCAAAATAACGCCATCATCATTTTTTTGATTATTAAAATTATCTTCATTTGTTGTTAATAATAATAAGGAACTCAATAAGTTGTTTAATTCATTTATTATTAAAATTAATTCATTTAAGAAAAAATCATAATTAAAATCATTCGAATGAATTAATAAAGACTTAAATAGAATGATATTTTTAATAATAATTAAGATTGATTCTTCAGTTGATAATTGATCATTTTGTTTCAAATAACTTAAATAATTTTTCAATTTTAAATAACTTAGCAAATTACCATTTGAAGATCCAATTAAATTTTTAATGTTAATATTTAAAAATTTTGATATTTTAGAAACTTGATTATTATTAAATAAATCATCATCAATTAATGAATTATTAATTAATTTAAATAAATTTGAAACCAAATTATCTTTTATTTCATTACTTGAAATGGAAATGACTTCTTGATTCCAAGTATTTAGTATTAAATGATTATTTTTAATAAATAAATTATAATCTAATAAATGATTCAATTTTTCTAAATTAAATAATGATTGATATAATTCATATAATTGGATTAAATTTAAATCATTTTTCACTGGTATTTCGATTAATTGATAATAACTTATTGCATTTCTTAAATAAATCAACTTTTGTTGATCTTTAAATTTTGGATTATTGTTAAATGAACTTGTAATTTGATAATAGTTAAATAAATGAAACGAACTAATCGACTGATTGTAATTAATTTGAAAATGATTCAAAGTATTTAATTGATCTTCATTATTAATATCATTAGTTGGGAAAATTAAATTTTTATTAATTAAGGTGAATGTATCAATAATTTTATTTTGTAAGAAAAAAACAAAATTTTTTAATTTAAAGATATCATTATTAAAAATTTGAAAATTTTGATAATTAAAATAATTAAATTTTATAATATTTTCAATAATTAATAAACAAAGTGTTAATATAGCTAATAATTTTGATGAAAAAATTGGATCATTAGAATTAAACTCATTTAAATCATTAATTTTATTGTGGAAATTATATTGTATAAACTCATTCAATTTATCAATATTATTCAATAAAGAAGGTACAGTTAACGGTTTTAAAACTTTGATTAAACTTGGATGATTAGCAAGGTTTAAGATTTCCGATAAAACGGTTGGAGTCACCAAAGTGCTATGGATTACTGGTTGTTGTTGTTGTTGTTGCTGCAGTTGTTGTTGCAGCTCCTGTATCTCTTTAAAAGAATGTGATCTGGAGCTATTTGAAGTAGACGTTGACAAAGTTGGCCTAGCCAACTCTTCATTACTCAAATGATCATTTGAATGATTATTCAGTAAGCTAGGTCTTTCAATAATTGTATTTTCTCTCAAATTATTAATGGAGTCTAAAGTTTTCTTTCTTAAATTTTTAGGTCCAGATTTTTTACGTTCTCTTAATTGGGTACATTCTAAACCGTTATTTATACAATGGGAGCAAGGTCTTTGTTCTTCACATCTAGTTTTCCTAATAGCACAAGCGTCACAAGCCCTTATATTTGATTTACGTTTTTTTGTTGGATTTTTGGAACTGGTTCCATTAGCAGAATTATTCATCTTATAACCAAGAGTATCTTTATTCAAAAGAATCGTGGGCGAAAGTGGAGTCATATCAATACAGAGGGGGGTCAAGGATCTATTAAACGAAGAACCAACACATTATCTTATTGATAAAGTAAAGAAGAAGAAGTAGTGAAAGATTGAGCTGTAATTAAAAAAAAACTTAGCCGCTGACTCCTTATAAAAATGAGAAAAAATAGCCGCCGACTTTAAAATCAGATTTTTTTTTGGGGTTAAAAAACCCATTCCACCAACCTACATTGAATTACATCTTGTACATCTTGCCATCTGAACCGCTGGCCATCTTATCTAGTACCGCTGGCCATCCTGTTATTTTACCTTTTTACCATCCTGCCTTCCTATCCTACTACAAATGTTAGGCTAGCACGGCGTGGCTAGTCTACTTGAGTGAAGAGTCTTCTCAATCAACGGTTGTTTGAGGTGTTAACAGTTTATCGGTTAATGGTGTAAGTGGGGTTAAAGTGGGGGGAAAAGGTTACTAATCCAAAAACCAAAGAAAAAAACTGGAGTAACTTACCGTATAACTCAACTTATTAGGATAAAGTATTGACTCCGAACCGTATGGGGTGCGTGCCTTTAAGAAGTAAATTATTAAGGTAAAAATGTAAAACAAAAAAAAAAGAAGCAAAAATGTAAAAAACCAATCAAACCAAAATTGTAAAAAATATGGAATTGAAAACAAAAAAAATAAAACAAAAAACAAAAAGATTTGGAAAAATAAAATGTAAAAAAAAAAAAAAATTAAATGTAAGAAAAACCAAAACAAGATACAAAACAAAATCAAAACAGATACAAAAAATACAGGGGAATAAATCGCGATACCACCGGAATTACAAAACAGAACAAGTTCAGCAAACTAATATTTTTTAAAAACAATTATTTAATAGAAAAGGGTACTTAGTTACCAACAGAGGCAGTTGAACCGGATTTGTTAATCCAGTTTTTAACAGTGCTACTACTCAAAGAGGATTCGAAATCGTCATCAACTTCTAAGATTGAGATATCTTCACCGCTGAAAACAATGGCACCTTTCATGGAGTTAGAAGTTGGTCTATCAAAGTAATCTTGAGAACCACCACCACCATTGGAGGTACCATCATTACCTTGACCATCATGTAAATGACTGATTAATTTATCAGAACCGTCACTTAAGATTTCCCAAGCATCTAATTCACCACAACCAGATTTCCAACAAGAACAAGAAGCATCACCGTATTGTAAGGTTCTTGGGATTTTAGCATTTAATAACCAAATAGCTGGCATATCATGATTGATGGTAGCATCATCATTAGCAGAAGGCATTTCAAATTCAAAAACAAAGATTTTTTGATTACCACCAAATCCATGATAAGCTGGAATACCATCTCTGTAATAACCACAACCATCACCGTCATCACATGATTGGGAAGAGAAAATCATATATTCAACATTTGATTTAATAGTAGTTTCTTCCAAAGCAACAGCTTTAGAAGAACCACCACTGGCATCTTTGTTGGCATAACTAATAGAGTTACCAAATCCTCCAGACCAAACACCGGAACCTGAACCACCGTAGTAATTCATGAAGGTAACATTATCAGTAGAACCTGGTTCATACCAAGCAACTCTTTCCCAATCACCAGAAGCAACTGAGCCACCATCAGAAGAAGAAGAAGAGGAGGAAGAAGATTCTGAAGTAGAAGCAGTTTCAGTACCAGAAGTATAAGAAACATTTTGTTCACCAGTTTCTCTACTATCAGCTAATTTAGCTTGATTGTTGTTTTGAGCACTAGTGGTAGATGGAGATTCTGATGATTCTTCTTCTGGAGCAGATGAAGCTTCATTGGTAGCAGTAGAAGTAACAGTGTTACCATTACCATCAACAAGAACGGTTTGAGTAACTTCAACGGTGGCTCTTTTATGTTTATGATGAGCATGTTGTAAAGTGGTGGTACAATCTTCTTGTTCATCTCTCTTTTGGTTTGATCCATCACTTGGATAATAAACACCAAATTTTAATAATTTAAGAGGACCTCTGAAATGGACAGATAATTCTTCATCTAATGGAGATAAGTTACCAGAGAAAGATTGGGATTTTTGAGTACATTTACCTGAGCTTTCATCCATATTGGTAACATCTTTATAGCTACCAGAATATCCAACATTTTGATAAGTAACCTTATTGGTTGATGAACAGTAGTAGTTCCCACCATCTTGAGTACATCCAGCTTCAACTGAAATAACACTAGCTAAAATAGCTAATAAAGTAGATTGACTAAATTTCATTTCTACAAATAATAACTTTTTAAATTTTTTAAAGGAATGACTTGGGTAAGTTTTATTTTAATGAAAGAAACAACAAGAGAGAAAAGGGAAAAAAAAAAAAGGTTTAACAAGTAACAAATATTAAGAGGATTTTATTAAGTATAAATAAAAAAGTAACAAGGCAAAATTCAAAATAACAAGAAACTGACGAATGAAAAAGGCAACAGGAATGAGACAAGAACCATAACCAATTGTTAAGCCATTTTTCTATATAGGTTACACTACCTGCCTTTCTATTCCCAGGTTTTTGTCTCTGTCCTCCCCCTTTTGTCTACGTCTACGTCTACGACCCCGGCCATGCCCATATTCTCTCCGTTCTCCTTGCTACTGGCTACATTCGATCCTCCTGGTGATGGTTGTTAATACGCGATAAGGTAGAGAAGTTTCACTTTTTTTTTGCAAAATGTGCGCTTGCTCCTGACACCGAGGGTAGCACCGAGCCAGCATTTTCTACCAAACAGCAGCGACAGCAACACCTGTGCAGGTATCTTCCCAGCTATTCCGAGGGCTTGGTTCGTTTTGTGATGATAATTATTTTTTGGTTTTATTTTTCTTTTTTCTTGTTCTCTTCCCGTTTTGTGCAGGCCATACCTCGAGGCAATTTTTTCCTTTTTTATTTTGTTTTTACTCTTTCTGTTGATATCCCGGTGTCTGTAGTCATGTTTCCACCGTTTATGTTGCCCACCGTTTGTCCAATAAGCGATACACGATCCAGCCGGATCCAGGTAGACGAGCAGTGGTGAATGTGGTTTGCCAGATGCTGTACTGATTGTTGATTGTAATACTTTGATTTGGGCATTGATTTAGTGTAACGTACAAGGCTAAATGCTTCGGCATCTCATAAAAGAGATAATATGCAACCAATATATGATTCTAGATTATCGGTCAATCCCCGGCATCCAATAGCAGTCTAGAACTTGCAGTTGATGATCTCGGAATAATCTAGATTTGTAAATGGGATATAAAGTACCTCATCGAGTTCCTGAGTATAAGCGGGCAAACGTATGCCAACGTCCTGCTCAGAAAAAGAAAAGACATTCCATGAATTCATATATTTACCCTAGTTCACATGGTTTGGCGAATTGGTTAGGCGAGCTTTGCTCTTTCCCCCCGATTACATAAGCGAGTAGGGAGGCCATTACCTAATCAACAAAAAATGAGAACGAAATACATCATAATTTAACAGTTATTGTTTTCATATAAACAAAAAGCACTCTATTTATATCATTCTATTATTATCATTTAAAATAGATAAATCCATCAAAAAAAAGAGAGTGCTTGAATTAATCGAGTTAATATAATTACTTGTTCATAATGATGAAGAGTCCAAAAAATGAGAATAGACAATCCTTTAATCCATATGATAATGTCAAACGTCAATCATTAATGGATAAGCAAAGAAAAGAATATTATCAACGGTATAATTCTCCTAAGATTATAATTAATGATGATCCAGTTATACCAGACTATCCAATTCAAGCAACTTTTAAAAAAAATTCTAATTATAATATGAAAATAGTTGTTGTTGGTGATGGTGGATGTGGAAAAACTTGTCTTTTAGTAAGTTATGCTCAACAGAAATTTCCAGAAATTTATATACCAACAGTTTTTGAAAATTATGTAACTAATGTTCATTGTCCAAATGGTAAAATCATTGAATTAGCTTTATGGGATACTGCTGGTCAAGAAGAATATGACCGTTTAAGACCACTAAGTTATCCAAATGTTGATGTTTTACTTATTTGTTTTGCTTTAGATAATTTAATTTCTTTACAAAATGTTAAAGATAATTGGTTCCCAGAAGTTAGTCATTTTTGTCCTGGTATCCCAATTATTTTAGTTGGAACTAAATCGGATTTATTCAGTGATATCGATCCAGATTTACCAATGCAATTAGCTACTGATATTAATGCTATTGGTTACATCCAATGTAGTGCTAAAAATATGTTTAATATAAAGACAGTTTTCAATTTTGCTTTAAATCATTTCCAGAAACAAAAAGAATATCAAGAACAAGTTGAAAAACTGCTGAAGAATAGATTATCAAAAGTTATTCATTCTAGAAATCCAAGTAATACCTCTCAAAATAGGAAAGGTCATTTCAAAAATACTTCTTATGATTCAACCATTTTATTAGATGCTCCTTTAAATGAAGATGATTATCAATCAAATCCTTATGGGAATTTTGAAAATGCCAATAAGTATAACGATGATGAATTTGCATTTACAAGAAACGATAAAAAGAAGAAGAGAAGGTGCATTATCTTATAAGCCCCGTTCTTCCTTGCATGTTGTATTATAGTTTTAATTCCTCTCTGATTTAGTTTAATAGATGACTTTTTGTGATGTACGTGTGTTTTCGTATAATTTTATTTAAGTATTATTTTTTTTTGTTTTATATATGAGTGTGTTTCAACCAGTGCACGTAGTTTTGAAGTATTTAATATTTTTTCTTTTAATGATGTTTATCAGTTAGTTCAGCCCTTATAACTAAACCATGACACAACAGTTCGTTGCAAAAGCATCGATTGAATCACCTTCAGGGGAAAAACAAACAGAAGCCACCGTTAAAGATGCCGGGAACAAACCAAATGATCATTATAAATCAAGGTTATCTCCATTGAGGTATAAAATACGTTCTAAATGTTTACCAATTGTTCGTAAAGAAACAGAAATATTATATTCATTACAAACCAAATTACGTAACCCAATACTTGATTTTTATTTTGCTTGGACTGCCAACTTAGCCAGTCACACTTTCTATGTATTAATGTTACCATTGCCAATTTGGTTTGGTGCAGGGAAATTATCAAGAGATTTAATTTATGTATTGGGATTTGGAATATATATTACTGGATTTTTAAAAGATTACTTATGTTTACCAAGACCAAGAAGTCCACCATTGCACCGTATTACCATGTCGAGTTATACTGCACAAGAATACGGATGGCCATCAAGTCATAGTGCCAATGCAACTGCAGTTACTCTTATATTATTTTTTGAATTATATAATAAACGTCAAGAATTAACTCAATTGGAAAATATATCATATAATGGGGGGTTAATAATATATTATGTTTCATTAATCTTTGGTAGATTATATTGTGGGATGCATGGATTTTTTGATATTTTCACCGGATCAATAATTGGAATAGTGGTATTTTTGGTAAGATTTAAATTTGGATTAGTATTTGATGAATGGTTATTGAATTCAAGTCGTAATGATTCAATAATTGGATGTTTGGTCACTTTATCAATGATAACAATTGGATATTTATCAATGATTCATTATCATAGTGAACCAGTTGATGATTGTCCATGTTTTGATGATTCAGTGGCATTTATCGGGGTATTGTTAGGAATTGATATTTGTAATTGGACCAAATGTTTTAGTAATGGAGGTTCCGTAGAAGAATTGATTAGTATTCCATATAAACAAGATTTTGGAATCTTTAAATCTTTAATTAGAGTATTAATTGGAATTGTATTAGTTGTTGTATGGAAAGCAGTGTCAAAACCAATTATCTTCACTATATTACCACCAATATATAAAAATATTGGAATTTATTTGCCTAGAAAAAATTATACCAGTACCGCATTTAGTGAAAAGACAACCAGACAAATTAGATCACAATCGTTATCAAATATGAACCATGAATCGATTGGAGGGGAAATCAACAACTTGATAAGAGACGTCATTGATCACGATAAAAAAGATGAAGTTGGTCCAGAAAACGATATTGACATATATGAAATGTTAGACTACCAACAATCAAATTTGAAAAATCGTAATCCTCCCAAGGAACAAACAAAAGAAAAGGAAGAACCAAAAGTCAGTGGAGTTTTTAAACCCAGATTCGACGTCGAAACTATCGGTAGAGTGCTAGTCTACGCTGGCGTGTCCACGGCTGCCTATTGCGGGTTTGACATTGTCACTTACAATTTGGGACTCGGTGCTTGATTCCATGCGTGGTTCGATGTATGGAACCCTCATCTCCTCCCCACAAAAAACAACAAGAAAGCGAACAAAAAAAAAAAAAAAAAAAAGAACAAATGGCAGCAATACACCCATACACCATCTTATATATTCCTTCTCACATATGTTTTAATAATTACATCACTATTTTGTAAAGCAGAAAGACCACTTCATTGCGCGTATGAGTAAATCCATGAACACGTCAGACTAAATGCTAATCTAGAGGGAGACTGCCCACAGGATGCGCTGATGCTTTGCTCATTCATTGCTGAAATGATGTTAACAAGTCCATGATGTTGACTTAACAAATATTGTTACGCACGGAAGCTTATGTAAGACTTTTTGGCTGAAAAGATTGGAAAATACGGCTCAAGGAAAGCATTTCGAGCAGCTAGCAAGAGCATAAGTTATAATACATGAGCATCGATATGAAATTCTGTTGCAAAAACTGTTACTTTAAACAAGTTATGGTGCGTAAAATAGTCAAACTGAAACAAAATTGAAAATACAAGCCTCCAAATAGAGTTAATCTCGTTTATGTCTATTGTGTTCTATTGTTAGTATACATTGTTAAGCTAAATTGAAGGAAAAGTAGACTTGGCTGGTCAACGAGTCAATAACTACTGTTTTTGCAGACATTTACTCGTTGTCACTGCAGTTTGGTATCACTATCGACGCTTTTATTAGGTCACCTTCAAGTATACGTGATGGATTTGGTCATCGGGGCCATTTCTTTGTTTCAGTAACTTCGTTGTGTATACAAATATTGACTCTTCTTCTTCTTTTTTTTTTTTTTTTTTTTTGTTTTTTTTTTTTTTTTTTCGATCTTTGCCATTTCTTTAAAACTCAAATTCTCTTTATTTTTTTTGATTTTATTGTCTTTCGATATTTTTTGGGGTAATTTTTTGGTCCTTTTGGTAGTACTTTCTTTTTTCGGTAAACTTATTTAAACTGCAGTATTTCCTGGTAATTTTAATCAATCTTCTTTTCATCAGCATTGCAATAAAAGAGATCTCTCCGACAGAATCCCCAGCATTTGCTGTTGTTGCTAATCATTTTTTTTTTCTTCCTATTTTGATTGTTTTTTTTAGTTAAAAAATTCCGCGTGGATCACTTTTTTTAATTGATCTTAGTTTTTTTTTCCCTTTCTCTACACATTTTTTTTTAGATTCTTCTATAATTGAAGGGTTCAATATTTGTCTAGGGTCAAGTATATCCAGGAAACCCATCCTTGTTGATAAGACTTAGCTGGTTTGACTATTGGTCCGTTATTCTTGTTAAAAAGTACTGCTGCTAGTGTTGCCGCTTCTATTTGAAAGAACCCGTTTGGCTTTCAGGTTTTGTCTTACTATTCTTTGTCTTACTACTCTTTGTCTTTTGTCTTTTTTTTTTTTTGTCTTTCATTTGACACATTGACATCGACAACACCGATTAAATTCTCAGACAAAAATTAATTACTATCGGTATTATTTTTTTTCGTTTTGATATTATTTTTTTTTCGTTTTTAATTTTTTTTTTGAAAAGTTTTGCTTCTCTTTTTTGTTGTTTTATTAATTATTTGTTCTTTTCCAGTTATTTTTGGTTGGCTGATTAGGTGGATCAAAGTTTACTGAATTTGTGATAATTGGGAATTAATATACTCAATTACTCGAATTCACGGTGTGGGTGTTTTTATTTTTAAACTGACTTTCAAACGTTCACCAATAACCAGTTTCCGTTTCGTTATTTTCTTGTTACATTTTCTTTAATTAATTTTTTTTTTTTTTTGATATTTTTTTTTTTTCTCTTTAGATATTTGTTCTTTTTTCTTTGGTTGTTGTGACCTTGATTTCTCCTTTTAATGACTTCTCCAAAATCGAAAAGTATTGAATCTAGTAATTGCAAGTTCTTAATGGTACCAATTGAAAGTCAAGTTAAAAAACCAATTAAATTGAGACAAAAAAGGTAAAAAGAAGAAGACATAATCGAAAAAAGTAATGTCAAATATACCAAATCTACCGGAAGACGGTATTATCAATCAGCTTAATCATATAAGCAATTATGTTAATAAAAGAATTGATTATATTGATTCAAAATTTGAATCAAATGTCCAAGCAATTAATGAAAAATTAATTGATTTATCAAATAAATTAGATCAAGTCGTTAATAAAACAACAACAGGATCTTCAGTTAGTAAAGATGCTTTAATTACTAGCTCTAGACTATTTGAAATCTTTAATAAACATATGACTAATCTAACTAAAGAAGTTAATGGGTTAACTAATTTAGGAGATGTCGATGTACTTGAAGAAGATGAAGAAGATGAAGGAGAAGATGTTGTTGATGTTGTAAATAACGTTGTTGGAGATACTTCAAATACAAATAATCAAGCAAATTCATCATCCAATTTTCAAGAATTTAATAAACCATGGTCAAAACATTTTAATATTAAATCACCTGCTCCACAACCAAATTCTGCCCCTTCATCTCCCTTTATGTCAAATCGTTTTACTTTTGACTTTAATACTTTCCCCTTGGAGAGAAGTGCTTCTTTTAGCAGAATGATTCCTTTAAATGAACTGACTTCAATACCGTATCAAACAAATCCACAAACCCATCCTCAAGCCCATCCTCAAGCACACCCACAGGCCCCACAAGCCCATCCTCAAGCACACCCACAAGCCCATCAAATTCGTCATCAATCCCAACCAACTACATTAGCACAATCAACACCCGCGCCTCCTCAACAACTACAACAAGATTTAGTCATTTCAGCAGGAGCCACTAATCTATCTAATAAAAAATTGACTCGAATGAAACCAAATCAAAAGAGCCAAAGCATTCCAATTAATAATTCTAATCCTTACATACTATCCCTAGCACTGTCTAATCTATTAAGTACGAATAATCCTCCAGGAACGAATTCCAATGGAGGCAATAACCCTCCAGGTAAATCAACAGCAACATCAACTAATAGTGGGAATAACGAAAATACTAATTCAAATCATAGCGATCATTCAGTTAGCCCTAATACAAATAATACCAATACTCCTGATGGAAATAAAAATAATGAAGGTAATATCTATCAGTTAAATAATTTCGAGCATGGAAATGACGATGCAATAGAACAATTAAATAATCCTACATCACTTGAATCAAGTATCCATCATCATGATATAAGAAAATACGAATCACTACTGGAAGAATCTGCCAAAAAACGTCGCAAAAATTCTAAACCAAATTCAAATACTACACCAACAAGTAATACTCCAGACACATTATCGCCATCAATTAAAACAAAAATTGGTACGAGTGGTGGAGGCGGAGGTAATAAATCACCCATCAATAAAGAAGGAATAATTTCAATTCATTCAGGATTAATTCCAAATAAAAAATTTAATAACGTACCCCAATATAAATTAGAAAAGTCACTTAAAACAGTTCATGAAATTTGGCAAGAATACGAATATGGTCTTAATGATAAACCACCATTAAAATTATTAGAAGAAAAATATAATACGAAATGGAGAAATGAAACTGAATCACGTACTTTTCTAAGAAGGAAAAAAATATATGAAGCAATTCAAATTGGTAAAAATAAAGGTTATGATGAAGATGCAATTGTTGAAGAATTAGAGCAATTAAGAACTTATACTTATTTTGATCATATAAAAAAAAGACCTCTACAATGGCTATATTCAAATATCCCCTCTAAGTACACTAATTAATGACGTTTACGAATAGTACCAGGTAAAAATATTACCACTCGCCGCAATATAAAAAGCAAATATTGTTGTGTTGTGTTCTTTTTTTTTTTTTTTTTTATTTTGTTTTTGGTTTTTGTTCTTTTCCCAATATTTTTTCTTCCTTTTATTTTCAATTCTTTTCAAAAATTATTCTTTTAACGTGTATTACATATAACTTTACAATAGATTGCAAATTTAGTTAGATGTCTGTAGGATAGTCAATCGTACTTTCAGCTGGAACGCATATACACAGACATTTCTGTTATTTCTCTGTTTCCTTTTCCACCAGTTGGGTCAATTGGGAACTAGGTAAATTGGATTAATTACATGAAGATTATTGTACTAAGACGTTTCGTTCATTACACAGGCTGACCCTTTATCATTTAGATGTCGGTTATTTTATTTCGGTGCTGTTCTATCGCACTTTGTGCGAGCCGATCGGCAATTAACTCTGTGCTGCTTTGAGAAAAAATAACGAAAACCAAATAGAGAAAATAACGAAAACCAAATAGAGAAAATAACGACAAAAAATTATGAAAATAAAATATGAAAATATTAATGCAAAAAAAAAAAAAAATAATAAGAAATAAATTACTAAGAAAAAAATTAATAACAAAAAGAAAAAAAATACAAAAGAAAATAATGAATAAAAAATAATGAATAGGAAAAAAATAAAAAACGAAAACAAAAAAAAATTAATAGAAAAGAAGAAAATAAAGAACGAAAAACAAGACTAAACCTCCCCGTTTTATTGTTCAACAGGGGAAGATTTTTCTTTTTCTTTTAGATTAAAAGGTTAAACTGTACCATGACGCAAGGCCAACATCGGTTCTAGCACCGATCATCAAGGATTGGCGATTTTTCAAGCAATTAAACGGTTGCATGGGGTCCTGTTGACTTTGTGAACAACCTTATGTACCCAGTATAAAACCCATCATGAGGATTGACTATCTTATCCAATTGTCAATTGTTTAATTTTAGGCGTAGAAGCGAAACATATTGTGTAAGTAACTGGTTGCAAACGGTATTGGCGAGGTGCACTAATTCAAAAGATGAAAAAAAAAAGGTACGGGTGGTTCTTCCAAAAAAGAGAAAGAGCGTAGAAAATGAAATGCCCGACAATGGTGTACGGGTGTAGGCGTCCAATCAAATCACCCGCGAGTTTGCTTACGAGCTCATCTGATAAGAGAAAAAAAAATTGTGCATCTCATCTTCAAAGCTCCATATTTAAATCATATACGTTGATAACATGGCCCCTGCAGCAGCAGCCGAACCCTTGGAAGGTAAGAAAAGATCAGTATCGCCAGGTCGAGAAGAAAATGAAACGAAAAAACCTAATTTAGATCAAGGTAAACAGAAGAAGAAACAACCTAAAATACATAAAAGAAAATATAAAGCTAAAGAAGTTGATCCAACATCTCCTATGGGGGTACTTCAATATGAAATCAAAGAATTACTACAACAACATGGTCTAGAAGAAGAATCTATATCCAATGACATGAGCTCAATTTTAAATGATTCTGAATCTTTCAATAAACACCATCGAATTGTAGAAAATGCCAAAATATTAAGATTAAGTTCAAATGGTGATGGTTTAACATTAATTAATCATCCAAACAAAGAAAATGGTAAACAGATTGCTCTTGTTCCATTTGGATTACCAGGAGATATCGTTAAAATAAGGGTGTTCAAATCTCATCCATTATACGTTGAGACTGATTTATTAGAAGTAATTGAATCTAGTCCTAATAGAAACGATTCTTTAATTAATTGTCGTTATTTCGGTAAATGTTCTGGTTGTCAATATCAAAATGTTGATTATAATCAACAATTAATTTTCAAAAAACAAACCATTGAAAATGCTTATAAATATTTAGCCCCAATATTATCCAAGAATGATCAATTACCTTCTATAAGTTCAACTGAACCAAGTCCTTTACAATTTACTTATAGAACCAAATTAACTCCTCATTTCAATTTACCTTATTCTAAACCAGTATTAACAACCCCTCCTAGTTTAGGGTTTGGTGCAAAAGGTAAGCCAGCTTGGAGACCACAAGCTCAAGGAGGTGATTTTTCTGTTCTTGATATTGAAGAATGCTCAATTGGTACTTCGATTATTAATCAAGGTATGAAAAATGAACGTACTAAATTTCATAAGGAATTCAAAAATTATAAAAAAGGTGCTACCATATTATTAAGAGAAGACACTACTACTTTAACTAAAGAAGAAACCTTTGATGAATCAAAACATCCAGGTTCAGTCAATCAAGAAACTCAAGAAATTTCCAAAATTGAAATTAATATAGAAAATGATGATTCCAAACACGAAAAATTGATTAAAACTTGTGTTACTGACCCAAGACAGATTGTTACTGAATATATCAATGGATTCACTTTTGAATTCTCCGCTGGTGAATTTTTCCAAAACAATAATTCGATTTTACCTGCGGTTACTAACTATGTTAAAAATAACTTATCAATTCCAAATTCATTACCAAATGAACCAAATTATTTGGTTGATGCTTATTGCGGTTCTGGTTTATTTTCTATCACCTGTTCCAAAAATGTCTCTAGGGTTATCGGTGTAGAGGTCAGTGCTGATTCGGTAAAATTTGCTGAACGTAATGCTAAAACAAATAATATTGAAAATGCTACTTTTATCGTTGGTAAAGCAGAAAAAATCTTTGGAAGTATTGACACTCCTTCAAATAGAACCTCAGTCATCTTGGATCCTCCAAGAAAAGGTTGTGATGATGTATTCTTAAATCAATTAAGTGATTATCATCCTGCTAAAATCGTCTACATTAGTTGTAATGTTCATTCTCAAGCAAGAGATGTCGACTGGTTCATCAATAAAACCGGTAACGGTAAAGACTATTACGTTGAAAGCATCAAGGGATTTGATTTTTTCCCGCAGACTCACCACGTTGAAAGTGTTGCAGTCTTAGCATTGAAGTAGTAGCTTATCTGTATATTATTTAATAGAATGTATTCGTTTATTTTGCATGCATATATATTTTGCAACTATTGAAAAAAAAATACAGCACGTGATAGAGGGCACAAGCCCTAACAACAGTGCGACTACCGAAAAAATCTCGACAGCCAAAAAAAAAAAAAAAAAAAAAAACAAATACAGTGCGGGTTGCACACAGTTTGTGAAAATTTTTGTTGATGGACTTCATTAAGGAAAAAAAAACTGCTAGTTGAAATATAGTAGTATTTTGTTTGTTCATTATCACATATTAAACATCAGCCAAAATGGAAAACGATAAAGGTCAATTAGTATGTAATAGTTCCGTCATGACAGTTTTTGGGGCCTCACTAAATACATGAAGTAATGATATAATACTGAATGAACCCACCGGAGATACTAGCAGGGAGATACTGGCAGAGAATCAAGAAACGTTATTGAGTCGAAAAGTGTCAGTCGAAGACGCTAATGAAACATTACCAAATGTTGAGTATTAAGATATTTCCTTATCAAACAAAAGAATAGATGAAGCCGATTTAATCCATATATTAGTCCATGTATTTAGATCAAGAAGACCCATTTCAACATAACTGTATACTAACAATATCAATAGGTCGAATTATACGTCCCAAGAAAATGTTCTGCTACCAACAGAATCATCAAAGCTAAAGATCATGCTTCTGTTCAAATCAACATTGCCAACGTTGACGAAGAAGGTAGAGCTATTGCTGGTTCTAACACCACTTACGCTTTAGCTGGTCACATCAGAGGTAGAGGTGAAGCTGACGATTCTTTAAACAGATTAGCCCAACAAGATGGTTTATTAAAGAACGTCTGGTCTTACTCCCGTTAAGTTATGATATAACGTGCATTTCCCTCTAATTTATAAAATAATACTAATATCAAATCATTAACTTGATAATGTGTTTCCTTTTATTGAAAACGTTATATGTGTGTATATCTAATTTAATGTCATAAAAATCTATAAGGTACCCATGTTGTATTGTAGAAATAGACTTCCTTATCCCCCGATCTTTCTTAAAGACCGCAAAAAAAAAAAAAAAAAGGGAAAGCACCCATCTGTATCCCTTGATACAAGGACAATACTATAGAATCATTCAGTCTATTCAAACTATTCGAGTGGTAACCTCCACCCATCAAGTTGAGTAGTAAATATTCGCCCAACAGCGGGAGTTCCCCCACAAATGATTGTCCATGTTGTCTCAGATATTCGAAATGGTTAATTTCGGGGCCAAAAATAAACACTTCTCGGGGCAATTTAATTATTTAAATAATGTAAAATCTGCCCCTTATAATATTATTATCTTTAGTAGCATACTTATTATCTAAAAGTATACTGGGGTTATAATTTCCCAGTGATTCGTCTCCTGTTCTCTTTTAACCAAAGTTATACCGTCCATGACGAATGCTGTTGTCTCACTATTATATAATACCAATTATTTACCTGGTGCTATTGTTTTAGGGTTAGCAATCCGCAAAATTATTGCAATTACTGATTACGAAGTTACATTAGCATTATTAATCGATAGAAATAACTTTAACGAATATCAATTAACCTTATTATCGGAAATATATGATGAACTAATCGATGTTGAGCTTTTCACTTCTCATTTATCGGACAAGTTATCTCACGAATTAGGTAGGCCCGAATTGGACAAAACATTCACCAAGATCCAGTTATGGTCACTTTATGATAAGTTCGATAAGATTTTATATTTGGATGTTGACACATTACCAAATATTCCCAGAAGTAACGAACAGGGATCAATTTTGAATTTGCTAAAGGTTGACTTCCCCGAAAATAAGATCTTAGCTGCGCCTGATAGTGGATTCCCCGATGTTTTCAATTCCGGGGTTTTCTTATTGAAGCCCAATTTAGTCGATTACTATAATTTACTTGCATTGGTTAATAGTTCCAATTTGGAAATATCGTTTGATGGTGCAGACCAAGGTTTATTGAATCAATATTTTAATTCGCAGCCAGATTGGGTAACCGACCTTTTAAATGCCCATACTAATAATATAGAATTTATTAATACAACGAAAAGTTCCAACTGGGTTCAATTACCGTTCTTATATAATACCACCCCTTCTGCCCAGTATGAATATCTCCCAGCGTATAAGTATTTTGCTAATCCAATTGAAAATAAGGTAAATGATGAACCAACAAATTTTGATCACCAATCTCAATTGGACTCAACTAATGAGACTTTGAATAGATACCATTCTGCTGCATTCAATTATTATGATGGTCCAGATACTCAAGTGAAGCTAGTTCATTTCATTGGTCCCTTTAAACCTTGGACCTCATCTTCAAAAGAAGGTATTTTCAGCAATTGGTGGCAGATTTGGGATGAAAAATTCGGTGGTAAAAGCATCGACAGTGTCATATTTGACCAAGGAAACTATATTTTTTCCCAAGATTCTCCTACTGAATTCGATGAACAAATTGATGACGTTTTAGAAGAAATCGAACAAGTTGCAACCACTCACCAAGAAATTGATGTTTCTAAGCCTGCTGATTTATGTGATCCTAAAAATTATCAACATATTCCCGGCATTTCTCAAAATGCAGATTCCACTTGGGACCCCGCCAAAGAACCCCCACCGAAATCCGAAACTTTGAAAGACCCGCCATTCATTGAAGATTTCAAACCAATTATTAATGCCTGGGATAATGGTAATCAAGAACAACAGAAAAATGAAATTATTGATTACCAAGGGTCCCCGGTATCCCCAGAAAAAATTCAGGAAATCTCCAAAGATCTAGCAGCCGAAAACTCCCATATTGGTCAAGAGTTTGGCTACCATAAAGACCAGCAGCCAGAGCGGGTTTTCGCCCATGATTCGGATTACATTCCAACTCACTTGTTAATGCCTCTACAAAAACCTGAACCACGTAAAGTGATGGAAGACGATGACCCCAAAATGGATCCAGTGGAAAACTTGAGCAACGATGCAATTAGCTTCAACAAAGTCAACGAAAAGCTAATGAAGTTGGGTTTGGCAGAAGATGTCCTTGTCCCAGAAGAAGAAGAACAAGACGACGCCGTTCTTGGTGCCGAAGATATCAGCAAAGCCCCCAAGTTATTCCCGTGGGAATTCCAAAACAGTATCAAACCCGAAAGGGTGTTTGACTAGTGTATCTCTGCTTTTCTCTATGCCCTTTATAATAAAAGTTTATTTATACCCACCGTAAGCTTTTAGCAGCCATCCTTACGCCTTAACCTAACCACTTAGCTACAAAACTCATGCTCGACCCCCTCAATTATATAACGAATCTAATGCAATAGAACGTAATTGATGGTATTTCAATGTAACTGAAGGTAGTTAAAGGCAATGATAGTAGTTTAAGGCAATAAGAACGTAAAATGGAGAAAGGAAGATGTACGGGTGCCAAATTAAACCGCGCCGCGCACTACCAAAAACGTACGGATCTTATCACGTGCTCCGGGGGATTACCCGGCCGCTCATTACTTGATTTACAGATAAAAATTTTTCAGTCTCACACCAAAAACAAAAAAAAAAATTGGAAAAAAATGAGAATTGTAGTGAAGGGAAGACCTTGTAAGTATAGGGAGGAAGAAGGAGGAAAAAAAAAAAAGTTTGTAAAATCATTACACATAAGAGCAATCTGCTATCAAGTTCAACCCTTTTTCCTTTTAAATTTTATATAAATTTATATTAGCTGTTGATAATAAATACAATATGTCTTCCAACGGTATTACTGAAGTCGATTCTGGTTTGATTGAATCTAACTACGACAATGTTGTTTACTCTTTTGATGATTTAAACTTGAAACCAAATATCGTTAGAGGTATCTTTGGTTACGGTTACGAAACTCCATCTGCTATTCAACAAAGAGCCATTTTACCAATCACTGAAGGTCGTGATGTTTTAGCTCAAGCCCAATCCGGTACTGGTAAAACTGCTACTTTCACCATTTCTGCTTTACAAAGAATTGATGAAAATGAAAAATCTACTCAAGCTTTGATTTTAGCTCCAACTAGAGAATTGGCTTTACAAATTCAAAATGTCATTACTCATATTGGTTTATACTTGAATGTTTCTGTTCATGCTTGTATTGGTGGTACTTCCACTTTAGATGATGTTGAAGCTTTCAAATCCGGTGTTCAAGTTGTTGTTGGTACTCCAGGTAGAGTTTTAGATATGGTTGAACGTGGTGTTTTAAGAACTTCTAAAATTAAAATGTTCATTTTAGATGAAGCCGATGAAATGTTATCTTCTGGTTTCAAAGAACAAATTTACAACATTTTCAAATTATTACCAACCACTACCCAAGTTGTCTTATTATCTGCTACTATGCCTCAAGATGTCTTGGAAGTTACCACCAAATTCATGCAAAACCCAGTTCGTATCTTAGTTAAAAAAGATGAATTAACTTTAGAAGGTATTAAACAATTTTACGTTAATGTCGAAGAAGAAGAATACAAATTTGATTGTTTGGTTGATTTATATGATTCTATCTCTGTTACTCAAGCCGTTATCTTCTGTAACACTAGATCTAAGGTTGAAATGTTAACCACCAAATTGAAAGAACAAAGTTTCACTGTTTCTGCTATCCATGCTGATTTACCTCAATCTGAAAGAGATACCATCATGAATGAATTCAGATCTGGTTCCTCTCGTATCTTAATCTCTACCGATTTATTAGCTAGAGGTATCGATGTCCAACAAGTTTCCTTGGTTATCAACTACGATTTACCAGCTAACAAAGAAAACTATATTCACAGAATTGGTAGAGGTGGTCGTTTCGGTAGAAAAGGTGTTGCCATCAACTTTGTTACCGATAAAGATGTTGTCATGATGAGAGAAATTGAAAAATTCTACTCTACTCAAATTGAAGAAATGCCAGCTGACATTGGTGCTTTATTAAGTTAGGTTAACGAATCAAAAAAAAATTTCACTACTTTTCTTTTTTTTTTTTCCGTTCTTCTTACTATATCTTTGATTAATTTGGCATGGGAAAAATCTAATCAAGCTTAAAATTGTTTTCTTTTCTTTTATATATATTTAAAACAGATTGCTAGGATTTTTTCTTTAAATTCAGTCTTCTTTTTATAAATTAAGAACGATTCATGGTCGTTCTTTGTTGTAAATTCTAATTTCATTTTTTTTGAATATATTAATTTCATCATTAAACTCTTGCTTCCGTAGCTACTTTATATGCTTTTGATAATTCTATTATTATAACCGTGGTGTCCGGGCCTACTGAACAAGCTAAAAGTGCAAGTGTGTAAAAACGTATTCTCAGGAGTAATAAAACATATCAATGATCATTTAATTGTAACCGACCTTCTTATACAAACTATTGATAGAATCCTTCCTTCATGAATTCAAGCTTTTTTTCAATGCCAGGAGGATTTCCAAGTAGTCCTCCCCGGCCAACGGAGTCATCGAGCCATTACCCGCCACCACATGAATCGAATATAGAGGGACAGGATCCCCAGTTCTTTGAAACTTCAGCACAAAAAGTCATAGATCACGAACAATCACTAAGTTTCGAAAAGAAACATTATCTTATTCAAAAATCAAAACATCAATATCATGCATTAAATCAACTAGATACCTTGGTTATCATTATAGCCGGTTATCAACTCATAAAATATTGTCACTCGGCAAGTGTGTTCCCAATAGTATTACACTTGATTGTCCAAAAGCTCTTGTGCCCAAGCTTTGTCAATAGCAGTGAAAGATTGGGGTTGGCCAGTGCCATTGACCATATGACTAGAGATCATAGGAATGAAGAAGTTATTGTCAATGGTGTCACTAGACCAACTAAGGATCAGATAATCTCACAACTACTAAGAGGTACTTGTAAAATCATATACTGGAAGTTTATTATCACTACTGTTTTCCATACTTTTTTTGTAGCTGGCTGGATGGTACTGGTTGCAGATTCGGGAAACTTAAAGAAAATAGAGAATGGTACCTGGTGGTTTGTCTCATTTATCAGCGAATCAGTGCCGCAGAATTATAATCCAGAATCAAACATCTGGTATAAATTATGTGTGCTTGGCTTACCGGCTTTGATAGTTAGTGATTTGGTTATTTTGTTCATTCAATTGACCATGTTCCAGGGTCTTTACCGGCAATCAACCATATTTTTCAAAGATCGCAAACTTAATGAAGAAGAGGTTGACATTGTCAGAAGCCAGGACGAATGTTTAAAGTTGTCCAATACCGACTTCAACATTTTCGAAGATCAGAATGGCCTACCTCTAGTATTGCGAGTAAAGCTATACGAATCCCTCAGCAACGATGCATTTCTCAGTTAACCTTTGCATACACTTATTAATAAAAGCACTTTTCATTTCTTCCCTACGTAGGCTTTGACTGTAAAACTTTAAGTTTTGATGCAAAAACTATTGGAACTGATATTTCACACAAAACGCGGAGTGTTGGAGCATTTTCCAGATTTTTTTTTTTTTCACTTCCTAAACGCGTACGGTATATCTTAAATTTTCAAAACTATTTCTTTTCTTTTCAGCTTTTAGTTGAATTACTAAACCGACTTATTACTTACCATGACTGCTGACGAAAGAACCCTTAAGAAAACCAAGATTGAAACTGATGCTCAAGACTTGAAAGTGCTTTTGCGTTCAGAAAAAGCTACTTTACCAACCAAAGGTTCAGCATTAGCTGCTGGGTATGATTTATATTCATCAGAGGAAGCTGTTATTCCAGCTCAAGGCCAAGGTCTTGTTGCCACTGATATCAGTATCATTGTCCCAGTTGGTACTTATGGGAGAGTTGCCCCAAGATCAGGATTAGCCGTTAAACACGGTATTTCAACTGGTGCTGGTGTTATCGATGCTGATTATAGAGGTGAAGTTAAAGTTGTTTTATTTAACCATAGCAAAAAAGATTTTGAAATTAAAAAGGGTGACAGAATTGCCCAATTGGTCTTAGAAAGAATCATCAATGCGGATATCAAAGAAATCAGTGCTGAAGAGTTAACTAATACCGAAAGAGGAGCCGGTGGGTTTGGTTCAACTGGTACTAACTAATAAGAGCAAACTTATTTAAATGTATAATAGAGAATTTTAAAATAATGTCAAAAATTAATCATGATGAATGTAGATTTCAAGAGGATGAATGTATATACAAAGAAATTATATAATCGTTTTATTTTTTGTTTTCGATTTTTACAATCAATGAAGAAGTAATAGAATAGCTAAAAAAGCAAGAAACTCATAAAAGCGAATATAATGTGATAAATAAATATATTGGTAAGAATCGATAATGACAATGAAGTATCGTTTTAGGTGTTATTTTTTTTGTTTTTTAAAAAATTTTCATTTTTTTTTTCTAAAGTTTTATTGGTTTTATATCAGAAATCATCCAACTGCAACAGGAAGCATCCTGAATTATAAACTAATCAGTATTCAGCTATTTTGGTTGTGAAATTATTTTTCTTTTCCTTCATTTTGTTTTACACCTTCAGTTTTTTTAACATTTTTGGTTTCGGATTTATCATCTTCATACTCAATCTTCATACCTTCACTGGCAGTGTCTTCATATTCATCCAAGTTAATTTCATCTCTGACTTTATTAACAGTATCTTTCTCTCTGTAGTTTTCTTCATTAATCAATTCTTCTTGTTCCTTCAAGATATTCAATTTCAATTTCGAATCATCAGATAATTCTAATTTAGCAACATTATAAACTTCATCAGGAATGGAAGATAATACTGCCAACAAAGCATCATAGTAAGTTTCGATGGTACGACCATGATCACCATAAGTATAAGTAGATGCTAAAATTAATAAAGTAGAAGGGATTTTTTGTCTTAATCTTAGATCTAACCAAGTAGCTAAGTCTTCTCTTAATCTACCAGGAGAGACATCGATAGATTTGATACCTCTTTGCAGACAAGCCATTTGTAATTCCGGAACAGTTAAAGATTCAACCCCTTCATAATCAATTGCTTTATCATCTTTAATAATAGTTAATAAACGATGTCTAATTTGATAACGTAAAATCGAATCACTACCAAAAGGTCTTAAAGACATATATTTAGCCATTGCCACTAATTGAGGTCTTGATAAGTTATCTAAAACTTGATCATTTTTGAATAATCTCGCAACTTGAATTAAATGTTCATTTGTTGGACTTTTACCCATTGAAATAGTATGGAAGAATGAAACAAAAGCTTCTCTTTCTTGTTCAGTAATTTTTTTAGACAATTTCAAACCACTTTCTTCCATAGTTTTCTTTATATAATCCGAAGTTGAAACTCTTGTTTTCGATAATTTAGCTCTTTTAGCTTTACGATCGGATTTCGATTCATAAGTTGATGGTAATAAATTAGGAAAGAGTTTAAGGGCAATTGGTAATAATAATTCAGCAAATGGAACCAAAATAAACATTGAAAATGGTACTAATCTAATAACATCAACAATGGTTCTACCTAATTGAGCAGTTTCTCTTCTTGATAAACCATAACCAGCAGCCACTTTAAATAACAATTTAGTAGAAACTTTTATTTCGTATCCTAATAATTTAGTACCACTCCAATAATGTTGAGCTTCATGCTTAACCTTTTCCCAAATAGTTTTTTTCTTTTCAGTTTCTTCCACTGCTGTATTAGAAGAATCTTCGGGGTTAGTGGATGGGCTAATTAAGGATTGATTTGATTCGGGTTTTGCTGGTTGTCCAGAGGTAGGATCTCTCTTTATTAACTCAGCATTCTTAATTTGGTCTTCATTATTCTTTATTGGGTTTTTAGAAGTTGATGAATTATATCTTATAAAAGACGCTATTAATGGTAAATTAACAGTTTTTGAATTCAAATTATGATGTAAGCCCGGAGTTAATGGATAATTGCAACGGGAAGAATACAATCGAATGCTGGAAAGTGAATGTAGACCTAAAGCTCGGAGCAATAGTTGGTCAGAAGACAAGCGACCGATGGAATTTTTCAATAATACTGGCGAGCTCATTGGAAAGACACCAAAATATATTAGGAGGCAAAATTACAAATTCAACAGTAATAAAGCAAAAAAATATATAATTGCAATGAATGGATCAATGAAGCACAGCTTATACCACCAAAGTATGATTATAAAAGCTCTTAGTCTTAATAGAAAGTCGAAAGACTGAAAAAAAAGAGAGGAAAAGAAGTAATCCAGCCAAAAAGACTACAAGGAAAACCAGGCAAAAAAAAATATCGCTAAAAAACNAAAAAAAAAAAAAAAAAAAAAAAAAAAAAAACACTGAAAAAAAAAAAAAAATGAATATGGAGGTGAGAGAATAAAATGGAAAAAACATTATCCAGGGATCAAACAGGAAATATATCAAATAAACGATGTATATCAAATTGCTACTTATTTACATACTTATAGACTGCAATCAACACGGTCAGTGCTGTTAGGCTAGAGGGAAGTGAAGAGTGCAAGAGGCATTGTAGTTGTATCTTTATTTTTTTTTTCTTTCGGTATTTGCCATTTTCGCGGTGTACGGGTGTGTGTACGGGTGTGGGTTCGAGCACCGGATATGCTTTAGGATAAACCAGTAGTCTACTCGAGCTTGCCCTGGTCTTTAGACTCGCCATTGACCCCAATGATGACCACCTTGTCCAATAAGGTGTGGTAGTCTTGGTCTTCTCCGTCGATGAAGAGATTTAAGCTTTGCACTTTTTGGAAACGCACAAACTTCAATTTGGCTTCGTACCAGATTGTTTCCGAGTCTTGATCAGCAACGGTGATTTCTTCAATGTGAGGGGCGTTCGAATCGTTTGCGTCATCAAAGGAGATGATATTGTTATGATTTGGCCAGACTTTCAACAAGTTTGGGACCTGGGTCTCGTTTTGCAAGTCCTCTTCGTCGAGTTCCATGGATTCTTCGTGCTTGTAAGATTCTGGTTTCTTGAACGATAATAGCACCGAGTAGACCTTGGTAATGTGAGTGAATGGTATGTAAAATAGCAATTGAGAGTCAGAATCAGAGTATACCGTACTTGGGCGGGTATCGTTTATTCTGAAAACGTTTTTCACGTCCAGTTCTTCACTCTTGTATAATGGTACTGTATTCAAGGATTCGAATTGGCCCGAGTATAAGTAATCATTTAATAGTTCATATCCCTTGGGTATATACGACGAAATATCTTTGTAAATCACACTCTTGGTAATGTCGGCCCCACCCCCGTTGGAGCCATTCCCCTGTCTTACCTCGGCGTCGGAATCGTTGTTGGCAAGGTCACTGAATTCATCTAACAGTTTGGTCAATTCTGGAACATTGGCTCCCTGGATACGTTTAGTTTCCTCACCATTCACCAAAAATATAAAAGTAGGAATACTGCTAACTTGATATCTCCCGGCCAATTCCCTTTCTTTATCCAAATCCACTCTAACAAATTCAATTTTAGCGTATTTGCGGTCGGGATCATTATACAATTGATCAACAATTGGTTTGATCGCTTGACATGGTCCACACCAGCCTGCAGTGTAATTGGCTACCAAGTACTTATTGTGTGACACATACTTCTCCCAATCATTCTTAACAAACTGAATCTCTTTACTCATCTTAGTTAAGTTCCGGTAGTTCAAAGGTGGCAACAGATAGTTCACTAGAGAAACCAAAAAACCAAAGAACAAAAAAAAAAAATGAATCCAACTAATCCTTGCGCTTTTTCCTTAACAATGTACTTTTTTTCACTCAAAATGTAAAAAGTACAATAGGAACATTTTTGTAAGAAAACAACTCTATTGACTAAATCTCAGGTTGTTACCTTCTGATTTATAAATTCTTTTATATTCATTTTTGCTTTCTCTGTTAAGCCTGTTACTTAAAGCTAATTAGCTCCTTTGGAAAGAGAGACAAGCGTATTTGCCTTGGTTTGAAAAGCAGACATATATCCGCATCTCAGTTGAGATCATTACCTTGTCAACTCAATTTAGTCTTGTTCATTGCATTTTTTAAGGATTTTCAAATAATATCGAAAAGTCAGCCTTGCTTGAACCCTTACCGACCAATGCAAATTCTATAAACCACCAATGTCGCCGTCTAAAACTCCAATATCCCCAAATTCGCGACTAATATCTCCTGGCACGAATTCAAGTATGTCTTTTGATGATTTAGATCAAAAACAATTGATGACTCCTGTCAAGGCTGCTTCGGCATCTTCAAAAACTTCCCTGCTGCCTTTGGCAGCTTTGAAGATATCCAATGGTACTAATTCGGGCTCGTCAAGTCCTGGTATTCCCATACTATCAGAATTCAATAATTTATCTGACGAGGATTCAAAATACGAAAATAACCCCAATCATTATAATCAGGCCAAATCGGATCACCCCCAACCTGCCCCCACTAATGAAATGTCTGATAATACTAGGAAACAACCCCATTCCCATTACAGGAAAGTCTTGCAGTCTCAGAAGCCAAAAGCTGATGGATTCGAATTCGATATTTCCTTGGATGAAATTAAAGAGGAAAATCCGGATCGGCTGCCACCAGGTAATAAAGAATTAAGTCAAGGCATCAAAGAAGGAGACGTTCAACCATCAAAAGACGTCCCTTCCAATATATTGGTTACTCCTCCGGGTGGTGAAGCAAATCATGATAACGATATAGTACCGACCTCCTCTGACCCAATTTCAAAATCAAGCAACAAGTCACCTAATATCGAAACTGATGAAGACCAAATCTTACTGGCTAAACATTTGACTTCATTATTTCTCGATACAAGGCGTGTTTTACGTGCTGAGCATAATATTGTTGATCCCCTCGAAGACACTTCCTATATAAACAATATCAGCAAAATTGAGAGAGGTAGAAGAGACTCCTCCTCAAATGTCGTGATCTCAAGAGATACCATAATCCGTGCTGAGAAAGTCAAATCCTCAATCGGCTTAAAATACATGTATATTCAAAGAATTTATGATTGGGGTAAACTACATCAAGAAGATAGCATACATTCTGGAATTGAAGGAGTCTATAACCCTTTGCAAGTGATCAGGAATCGTAAAATTAAGGCTAAACATAAAGAATCAATAAGACCATTAAGTATAAAGACTATACCGCTCGCATGTAACGTTTTTAGTTCGAAAAATAGTGGTGAACATAAAAAAAATTGGCATATGTTATGGGCAATTGAATTATCAGAATTTGTTTTCGACAAGTCTTGGAGAACTGAACACTGGAATGAGTTGAAAAAACCAAATGGTGAATTATGGTTTCCTTCACCTGCCTCATATTCCTCCTCGCTAAAGAAAAATAAACCAAGAAGGAGAGATCGATTACATGATAAGCTATTTAAAGAAGACCTGCCCGATGATTCTGATTCCTTAAATTCGATTTCCCAACCAGGTTCCCAATTTGATAGCGAAAAAGGCAAAAAGATCAAGGAAAGACGACTGTCAAGTATTCAGTCTTCAAGTAGTGATAAAAGCCGAATATTTCAATTATCAAGATCAAAGTCTAATAATGCCAGTAAAAAGAAAACTTTAAGTGACAAAGTTAAGAAAAAACTCTATGGTGCAAATATATCCTCTTCGTCCTGGTCTTCTGATGAAGAAGTGGACGCTTCTAAACAATCAAATAGCGATGATTCACCAATCAAAATATTCAAGAAATTTCCCACGGGTCCCCGTTCGACTCCAAACCTACCCCTTTTAAAAACTTCTTCAAATTCAGAAAATACCAACAAGCATATATTTACTATTGATTCTTCCGCTAATGATTCCAAAGCTGCTAATGGTGTCCCTGCTATCAAGGTAGATTCAAATGATGATTCTACAGAGACGTCACTAGATATAAATAAAATTACTTTCAAACCAGTTGAGTCTAAACGTATCATCACAGGTGGTGATCTTGATTTGAGTCCAACTGAGCAAGTTGAGGATGAAGTGAAATTGAAGTATAACACACTCACTGACGAATTTTCAAATGTAAAGTCTGCTCCTGTACTAAGAGGTTTGAAAGAACGTCAGTTATCGATAATAGACTCTCGTCTTAACTATATCGATAAAAACTTATTCTTAAAATTAAACTTTCTTATTAATATTCACCCACAATTATTAGATAGAGTTGATTCAAAGCTAGATGATATTCTACAAAATCACGTTCAAAATGTTTTCCAATCAACAGTTCAAATCAATGATGATATCCTACCAGCTTACGAAACCTTATTTAATGGGTTTTTGAATGAAATAAAATCACTAATTCACGTGGTTAACGAAAACTATGCTGTTAGAATCGATAACTTGTTGAGTAACAGTGATAGATCCATCGGTGAAATCAACACTTCGCTTTCCCTAGAATTGAGAAAAGTTAATGAAAAATTGGACAAGTTAAACGTCTCCTTATTCAGCAACATCGTTACAGAAACATTCAAAGACAACGATTTGACAATGAATTTCAGTGAAAGTGGGAACTATAAGGTCTTATATTTCTGCTTAGAAAATTTAATTGTCATATTGTTGAGATTAGTCTGGGTGGTGGTCAATATTTATAAATTTTTCATTAACATTCTTAAACTCTTTTGGAAGATTATAACATTCCCTTTTTTATAATATCCCTACTCTAAACTTGTCTTCACATTCATTTTCAAGTCTAATCATTTATGTTGGGCAACGTTCAGATAGTCAATAGTCAAACAACGAGATTTATTAAATTAGTCATAAACAATTAACATAGTATATTGCGTTTCTGTAGTGAGTGTTTTTCTTTTTTTGGTGCAAAATATTGTCGCAGCCAATTTCCGGACGTACTTGTTGTTGCATAATCAAAATGATTTTTTCGTTTTTTGACATCCAAACGCATTTCCGTAATGTTAAGAACTTCCATTCTCTCTACCCAATTTATAATCCATAGATATTAAGGAAGGTTGAGTATGCTGGATACGGTATTTGTATCTGGTGCTACGGGCTATATAGCTCAATATGTTGTCATATACTTGCTCGAAAAGGGATATGAAGTAATTGGTTCGGTCAGGTCTAAGGAAAAAGGTGAAAGATTGGCTGGTCAACTCGAGAACAAGAGCTTTAAATATGTTTTAATTCCAGATATTGGGGCCAAAGGTGCTTTTGATGGTGTTTTAACTACTCATCCTGAGATTACAACTTTCATTCACACCGCATCTCCCTTTCATTACAGTACCAACGAAATAGAAAAGGATTTGATGCTTCCTGCTATTCACGGAACTCAAAATGCATTACTGGCAGTAAAGACATTTGGTTCGAATATAAAACGATTCGTTCTAACTTCGTCTTATGTTTCAAACTGCTCGTTTCTGGATGATAACTCTAGTAATGTAACCGTGGACGAAACTAGCTGGAACCAGATTACATGGGAAGAAAGTTTAGAAAATGCTTTCAACGGGTACTATGGCTCTAAAAAGTTTGCTGAACAGGCTGCGTGGGATTTCATGAAGAAAGAGGATCTTCCTTTCAGTTTGACTTGTGTCAATCCTTCTTTGGTACTTGGACCGCAAGCATTCGATTTATATGCAAAGGGAACGGTTAATACATCGGCAGAAATGGTCAATGAGATCTTAAAACTAAATGTTGATAGCCCTATACCAAAAATCAAGGGCCCTTGTATTGATGTTAGAGATGTTGCTAAAGCTCACTTGGCTGCATTCGAGAATGAGAATACCAAAAATCAAAGGTTGATTATATCTTATGAAAGGTTTACCTCTCAGGGAATCTTGGATATTATTCGTGAAACTTTGCCTGATTTAAGGAGTAGCTTACCAATTGGAACTCCTGGTGGCCAAATTGAAGCGTCAAGAAACACATGTATCATAGATAACTCGAGAACAAAGACTCTTTTGGGCTACAACTTTATACCTTTGAAGAAGACTGTAACTGAATCAATTGAACAGGCAATTAGAGCCAATACATATACATAAATAGAAATATATACCCATTTAAACTATTGACTCGTTCTCGCATCACTTAAATTTGCTAACTCTTCAATGAACCTATCGGCATTAATGAAATATTCATAATAGTTATACAAATGCTCATTAGTAACGGCGGAGGACAAAGCTTCGGAGACAGATGAAGTAATGTCACTCTTGGCACCTTTATTAATTGTTTTGAAGATTCTATTTCTAACAAAATATTTGTTCAACTGAATTAGCTTTTCATGTGCTTGCATGTTTTCAGTGTGAAACTCCAGATCGAAAGAATTGAAAGTTGAATCGATATAAAGAGTATCAAGTTTTTCGTTCAATTCAATATGATACCCTTTGGGGATATAATTTTCACCGCTGTCTATCAAAACTCCAATAATCTTGTATTTTGTTCGAATATCCGTCATCAATTGTTTCATTATTGATAATTTATCGTTATATTCAACTTCTTTAATCTTCCCAACATCTAACATAATTCTGGGGGAACTAAACTTAAGCTTTGGGTGCATGTAAATCGTATCAATCAACTCAACCAAATCTTCTAAATGCAATTCAGAATTGATTTGCAATATTGCAAAAGTGTCCTCATTTCCAATTGTTCCAACAACGGCCACAGTTCCAATTTTGGTTACTGACAAAAATTGATGCTTTTGAGAAGATGCAAAAATAGCATCCAAAGCACAATTGATTTTATGCTTGTATATATCTTTATTGAAAATTAGGTTGCAATCCAGAGTATGGAACCCAATGCTATAAGATAAACCAGAAACTAATTCCCTGTGCAATTGAGACTCAATCAATGTCGAGCTGACAAATCCGAGACAATAAAGATCAGATAGATATTGGGGAGTAATAGTGTCTGAAGGATCACCAACAATTGGACAAATCTCTGCCAACTCACAAAGTAGAGCACGACATATAGGTATCCCTTGTTCTATTTCATAAGTCATGACAGAGTTTATTTTGTCATTAATTTGATTATAATCATGATTGTACTTCGACAAGTTTGTTCTGATAGCAAACATTAGATTCTTATATTTCAGGGAATCTTCACAGTGGTATAAACTAGCAACTTGAGGTGGAAGCATGTCTTCTCTTGGTAAATCACTAAACTTCTTCCCAATAAATTTACCGACCCACTGAGCACAGGCTTTAATCTGATTTGGATTCTGAACAAAGTCCGGTCCAGCAACCACCAAAAGCGGATTTCTGAATCCATTATTCTCAACTGAGCTGATATCCCCTGATAGAAGATTTACCAAGTTTTGTCTATACCTGATAATCTTCTCCTTCAAAGCTTCTGATAGAGGGAAAAGAAAGTTTTGTATCACCTCGGGTTGGGCAATAGCTAATTGGCCCCTGGCTGCTAAGCTTAGTCCTGACCCCGATGTGGATAAATCTCTCGATGAAGAGGGTAAGGGAAATGTTGTTCCATAAACCCACTGCGGTGCCAGCTGAAGAGAACCAGACTTAGTAGATGCCGGGTTTCTATCTCCATACCCAGCACCCTCTTGCGTATGCAAATTCTCAATAGCCAACTCCTCGATATCAGACGATTGAACTCGCTCTAAAGTTGTTATAATGGCTCTATCAATCGGGCCCTCCACTTTCTCTCTGATATCTGATTCCAGCTTCAAGCCCTTTTGAAACTCCATGATACTAATAGCTACCTATGAACTCTTCGATTATATATCTACTGAAGGAGAAACTCTTCGATTATATATCTACCGAAGGAGAAACTCTTAGAATTACAAAAAAAATTCCACAGATACAGAAAAATTTGCAGCCTTATTTCAGGATTTTTTTTGTTTTCGAACGCACTGAAAAATCAATTCAAAAAAAAACATCGAAAAATAGTCAAATCCGACAACAGATACTACCTTGGAAGATTTCAGTCAAAAATACAAAATGCAACCAAGATCAATTGCACTTCTCCGTATGTGAACTAAGAATCAGCGATGTTTTTTATATACGTATACTAACATAGCTTAATTAGAGAGAATAGATACAAATGTTGAACAAATACTTCAAAAATTCGAAGATATATTTGAAGTAGCCATTATTCAAGATAAATCGAGAGAACAGCTTTCAGTTGAGAACCTTACTATTGAGTCCGATTCTGCTTTGATAATAAGGCTTTGCGAGGATCTCCTTTCGATTACCAGAGACCTCAAAGAAGCATGGTGTTTAGGAACTTTGAAAGTCACTCGAAATGCCGATGAAGACAAAAGCGAAGAGGAGGTTAGGGCAGTGTTTGATAAATTCAATGAGCTCACAGAGAGAATAGCGGGGTTCAAGGATATTAAAAAAGTTGAAAGTATATAAAATACTAGATTGACTACAGCTGTGTTTCATAAATCGTAATAAATACATTAAGATATAATGGAGACAATTTATAATTACAGTTGAAATGAATACTCTTCCGTGAAAATGTCCTTCCTTTGTTTTTTCAAAGGACTTGAAGGTCTGGTATTTGTTCGACTTTGATGTCTACTTGCAACATTATCGTCCATTTTTTTCTCTTCGAATAGATTAACAAACTTCTGAACTTTACCTACTTTTATGAATTTAAACTTCTTATCTTCTTTAATGTATGAAGGCACCATGGGTGACTTGTTTTTAAAGGCAAATTCAAGATCCTTATCTTCGGTGTTTATCATTGAAAAAGATGTCGTTGAAGTTCTTCTTGATATTATCATTTTAGAAGGTGAAGTAAAAGAAGAGCTATCTCTGGTTAATTTCAGTGGAGAAGTAAGAGGAGTGTCTAAAACATCGTTAGGCCTGAGATCTATTGGTGGTTTCAAACTAAGCAGTTGATTAAATTCCCCCTTTTGAGTTTTATGTAAACTATTATAAGGCTCGTCGTTATCATTTATAGAATTCAAAGATACTTCCAAGTCAAATGTTGCTTCTGGGTTATTAAAATCATGAAGATCACAACCAAAATCATTGATGTCATCAAGAATCAAAGAGTCATTTTCTTCATTATGTCTAAGATTATTAACATTGTCTAGGAAATCATCCTCTCTGTGTTTTATATTTAATTTTTGTAATTTAGTCTTCAAATTTATGTTGGGATTAGAAATATAGTTCAAACCTGATAATATATTGTCATTAAGTTTATAAGGTTTGTCGCGGGTAATGTCTTGCATGTCGTGGTCGTCATTATCATTATCATCAATATTTGTAGAGCATGTTGTATCATTAGATTTGATTAACTCTATATTGTCAGTGGAGGAGAATTTGTCTTCTTGATCCAAAAAATCACTATTATTAATTTTTGAGTTATCATTACGGAAACTATCTTCATTAATCGAAATATCAGTCATTGAAACAGAATTACTTAAGACTGGTAATCTTTCAACAATGGTACTAGCATCTTCATTTTCAGTATTTGTCGGGCTAGTCTCTTCATTATCAGAGGAGTCCACTGCTGTTGATGCAGAATTGACTCTTTCTTTAGGACGTTTAACATCTTTTTTGGGGGTGAGTTTCTGTTTTATCTCATGAATGAATCTTTTTTTGATATAGTCCTCTAGTTGATCAATAAGCTGTTCATCACAAAGAAGAAGAAGTCCATAATTTTCATCTTTGAGAAAATCTATACGGAAATTTTCTAATTCTTTAATACTTATGATAAAATCCAATAGTTTCAATGATAAACTAACAATAAATGTTTCATTTGTAGGGAACATGTATAAGCTTCCGATACGGGATGATGGAGAAGCAGGATTAAAAGTGGGGGCATCCTTCAGTTTATCCGAAGAGCTATGACGAATTGCAGATTTTGCTAAAAATATAAGTTTTTCTTTAATCAAATCTGAAGGTCGAAGAGATCTATTTCTCATCAAGAGGGTGTTCAATTCAATATTCACGTTGAACTCTATGATCTTATCGGCTAGGTCGACTATATCCTCCGATGCTTGATCGTCATAATGATTATTGAAATAATTGTTCACAACATCACCAACTTTAACCGGAATATCTGAAGAAAAGACAAAATTGGGTTTATCTAAGTCCAGAGATCTTGGACGATGATGGAAAGGCAGAAACTGCTTCAACAACAGATGGTGATGCAGGGCCATTGTGTTAAAAATCCTCGTATAATCTCTCTTTGCAAATTATAAATTAAAATATAAAGGATATGAAAATTCGGGTAGATTCTATTGGAGTCAAAAAAAAAAAAAAAGAAAAAAAATCTAGCACGAAGGAAAATAGTAGTATCTAAACACCAGTCTTTATATCAGTTACCCTCTTCTGAGGTATGTGCAAAGGACCGAAGCACAAACTTCCCAAAGATGATGAAGAATGGGTTTCAACTCAACTCCTTGGTTAGTATTGGGAATTACCTTTTGTTGAGCACAAGGTGAGATTCGGGCTGGCTCGAACGTTGTCTTTGGGATTTTACCAAAAGGCTAGAAGTAACCTCTTCAATCAAATGGAAGCAAAATGTCACTTCTCTGCTGTATCCTTGACTACGGTCTTAAATCATAAACAAAGTTCAAAATCAAAATAAACAGAATTTGAAAGAAAGAAAAACAATCGAGGATTGTGGTCAACCTGCAAAGTTGTCCTCGCTGGGTAAATTGCAGTTTGGGCCCTCAACTTTCAGAACAACCAAATCATTGAAGGATTGGAAAAGGTTGATGATATAGTGGAAACTACTTGAATTAAGGACATGTCATCATACTACTTCACCATAATAGGGACTAGGGATAATCCGATTTATGAATTGGAGTTGTCGTCTTTCAAAGCCGGTGGCTCGCTGTCAATCGGCGGACAGAATGCTTATGTTCCAGGTAAATCACAATTTCCAACCAGTGTGAAGGAACTACTACCGTTTATATCCAATTCATCGCTTGATCTTATAGAGGATGTCCAGTGGTCTTCCAATGTGTTCAATTTAGGTCGCATTGACTCGTTTTATGGACTACTTGTGAACGCTTTTATAACTCAGGGGAATATCAAGTTTATTTTATGTCACGATTCCAATACCAATAGTAATCATGGTTCAGGGGGTATTGGTTCAGGAGGCAGCTCTACCAGCAAGTACGATGATAACTCTATAAAGCAATTTTTCATGGAGGTGAATGAACTTTATGTAAAGTGTTTGTTGAATCCGTTTTATGCAGTTAATGATCCGATTTCGTCTCCCGATTTTGACTTACGTATTAAGTTAATAGCAAGAAAGTACTTATAATTACATGAATAGCATTATTTTGTATAATAGAATTTTGATTTACCTGATATTTATGTATCATTTTATTTATATAGTTTTATTTATGTACAGAAAAGAGACGAAATTTTAATTGGCTGGAGGATCTTCTTTCAAGGCAGCTTCAGTTTCAATTTTATAGTTACCGGAAGCATCTTCAACAATGATCCCTTGTTCTTTTAATTGAACGAACATGTCGTGAGGGACCCAGCCACCAGTAGCAGCGAATGGACTTGATACAATTTCCATTTGGTATTCTTCCAAATCTTTTTGGTGTTGATCTAAATAGTCCGCAGAATATTTGATTGGGAATTCAGATTCGGTGGCATTACAAATACCGTTTGCCACGTAGGCCTCCCACATTGCTTGTAATTGAACAATTGATCCTTCAACATACAAATGATCTTTATCATTTTTGAATTCCAAAGCTTGAACATAAGGACTTTTCAAAACTTTGATATGAGGGGAAGCAACTGCAATTAAATCGTGTTTTCTATCATTCAAGGCATGTTCCCATAATCTTTCATTTCTAGTCTTGTAGTACATGAATTGGTATTGTTGTTTATCAACTTCGTCCAATTTATCATAATCAGGAATATCTTCTTGTAAATTATAAATTTTAGCCCCTTGGTAAGCAACAAAAGCTGGGTAATTAAAGAAAATAAATGGTTTGATAGTAGAATATTCAAAATCAAGAAAGTAAGGAGTATTTTTTTTATTAGAATTAACAATAACGTTTAATGGATCCAAATCTGGAGCGTATAATCTTGGTTTAAATAATTCTTCAACATTCATAATAGCTGAAGAATCTGGTTTAATCAATTTATCACTCATGGTTTTAAAGTTTTCAAAAGTTGAGATTTGTTTATTTAACAAGTCGATACTTTCAACTTTACTACCAGCGTCAGCTTGGGCCAAAGCCAATCTATTTTTCAAATTGGCCAATTCAACATCAGCAACAGAAGTAATAAGATCTAAAGGTTTCTCAGCATCCCATGGACCGTTATATTGAGCAATTTCTTTTTCTGATAACTTATTCTTATTTTTGGCAAAATGTTTTTCGACACTAGGACCGATTCTCCATCTGTCTTTTAAAAGAGGGTTTTCTTCACCTTCATAAGGAGTGACACCTTGGTTGGTTACATCAACATCATCAAAAAAGTATAAGGACCCAGATTTGTTAAAAGTGACTGAAAGTAATTTATCTTGAAAGTCCACAATAGGGTCAATGACTTTTTTCAAATCTTCCACCGCACCTTCGACTTCATCTGAAACCAAAGGATTCCATTGTTTCATTAACAATTCACCTTCGATGTATTCCATCAAGATGAAAGGTGATTCTAAACTATTATTTCTTGAATCACCATAAGCAATTACTTTTGGAACATTAGCACCTAATTTCAAGTTTAAGAAATCCAAAGTGGCCACTTCACTTTTGATTTTAGATGAAATTGCATGATCTGATTCCAATTTGTAAGGGATTCTCAAAACCAATTCTTTTTCAGATGACAATGTAACTTTATAGATTCTGTGGTGTTTACCTTCATGAATACTAGCAATTGATTTGACCAATAATTGATCATTGCTTGCCTTACCAATTAAATCTGGGGAAAGGTTGTTGGTTAACACTTTGGAACCGTCCTTTAATTGAGTTGGTTTCTTAACAAAAGGTTCACCACTTTTGTCAACGTTTTCAGAATTTTTTCTAGTCAAATTCAAATCTTCTAATAAGCTGGTAATACCTTCAATTGAAAACTTGGTTTGTCTTTTGGCACGTTCAACTTTATCATTATTCATCCAAGTCCCCCAAGTGTATTGAAAAAATGGACTTCTTTGAGGATCTTGGGTGTCACTAACCTTAGTGAAGACTTCTTTAGGTTTATCACTTAAAGTTGAATTCAGTCTTTTAGACAAAGTATTGGCAACCAAGGGAGAAGCAAAAGCTCTTGAGCCCAACGAGAGCCTGGGGTTTGCTTTAATGGCATTGGATGCCAATCTGGTTCTTGCAAGAGTTCTCAACATCATGAATTGACAATTTCAAGGGACTATTAGGGTTGAGGGTCTAGGAGGTCAAAGATGGCAAAATCGGTTTCGCTTGTCGATGGAGTAAATTTTTTTTTCATTCTCCACTGAAGGATTTTGGTTATTGAGTGTTTTTTTTCGCACTATAAGGTTTTTACATTTGCAGTCAATATCCATAGGATACATTAAATTATACAACGTGAAAAGACATTAGCTTATATATGTGTAGGCATATATATAAATAGAACGAGAAGACTTATTTCTCTTTTGGAGTGATGTTATCAGTATCGATCATATCGATTTTCTCTTTTAGAGAGACCGGAGGAACAGAATCTGAAAATTGGGTGATGTCCACAGCGTACTTCTTACCTTCGTCCCCATCAACCTGGGCAGAGGTAGAGTAGACAGAAGCTTGGCTGAAGTTGTTTGGTTTTTCCATAGGGGTGTCGTGATCCATACTGAGAACGTCATTTTCTGGGGCTAGATAAGCTGAGCTGGGGCTTTGGTCCGAGCTGACTACTTGACTTTTGCGGTCAGGTGGTTTATCCAAGCCATCGTGGAAATTTCGTTGAATGTCTAGGTTCTTGTTAGCAAGAGGAGACGAGGGATCGGAGTAGTAGCGAGAAGGTTGTGGCTGGACAGAGCGTGGTTGTGGTTGCTGCTGCTGCTGCAGTTGGCCCTGATTCTGGAGCATGGACACAATTATGTTACTAGAGTACGCAGTTGGACCCGAGCGGTGTAACTTCTTCCCTTCAACTCCATCCTTTGTTGCGGTGGTGGAAAGACAGGACGTGGTTGAATTTCTAGACAACGGTCTCGAGTTAGTTTCGAAAGGCAGGGTTGCACCTCCGTTCTTTCCTAATTCACTACTGGTATTTGGATGAAGTGGAGTCGAAAATTCCACTTTAGTACTAACCTCCTGTTGATATTCACTATTTGAGGACGCCAACGATATATTTGTGGAAGAATTCTGCCTATAGAAATCTTTATCCACAAGCTTATTTTGATAAGTAGTATAAGAGGGAGGATTTGTATTAGACAAATTCAATATATTCCTTGAAGATACGCTGTAATTGGAGTCGTGACTAAATTTGGAACTAATATCATCGTCAAAATCTGGGATCCTATTACCATTTCTCAAATCTTCAAAACTAGTACCACTTTCAAAGGGGTCAAACTCGGGAGTATCCAAATTAGTCTTACCACTAATTATGGACTTAATACTGGCTGCGGGATGTGACATCGTTAGCCAGGGGATAATGAAAAAGATCAGGGTATCAAGAAAGTATAAAGACAAAGATAAACCTTTTTCTTTGGGTTTTCCAATCGGCCTGAAATAATGAAAAATTAAAGCTCTCCAGCAACAAAAACCTCCAGAGTCATAGGCCCGCCACGGAGGGGAGCTTTTGTATGGGGGAAATGGGTTTGCCCGCCTGTATGCAGGATAATGGGAACATGACTATATAGTGGAACCATCAGGGCTACAATGTGACCAAACCGATGATAGATGACCAGAAGATGGATATTTTCTGCGTCGCATGATTATTGTCGGGACTGCTTCATTGGGATGTTATCTCTGGGTTGCTGACGATTTCTCCCTATGTGGAAACCAAGATGGGTATTCGTACACCCTTTCTTCGTCGACATAATGCTGTTGCAAAAAAAAAGGATGTTCCTCTTGAAATGCGTACAGTAATAGCTTAGTCTATTGGTTATTATACAGCGTTATTAACACAACTATTGATCCGGTAGTGGTCAGGAGTTATCGCGTGATTGTATTGGTCCACTGTTAGCCGTGGACGAAAGATAAGGAAAAAAGGACAGGAAGAACGGGAAAAAAGAAGCAGCTAATGATTGCAATAGGTTACTTGATACTTGCCTTTTTGATAGCTTTGTTACTTTCACCGGTTAAGCATAAGGAAATGACGGTTACTACACCTCGGTATAAGAGAATTGGGATAGTTGGAGGTGGACCAGCAGGGGTGGCTGCGTATAAAGCCATTTTATCAGAACCAGCCCGATTTGAGTTGGTTGATTTATATGAAAGAAGGGACCAATTGGGTGGATTATGGTACTACAGTGGAGATAAATCGTCCAGACGGCCTCAAGTTCCTTCTACCAATCCCGAAGCATTTGATCTAATCAATGGTTCCAAAGGCGAGTTTTTCTCTCCCATGTATAAGTACTTGGAAACCAATCTTATTAGCAGCATGATGGAGTACCGTGATGTGCACTTCCCGGAGTCTACTGCAACTTTCCCACCAAGACAAGAGGTACTTCGATACATTCAGCAATACGCCGAAACGGTTCCCGGGTCACCTAATGCCACTATACATTACAATTCCAACGTCACCGAGGCGAAAAAGGAAAATGACGTTTGGCAGTTGACAATACAAAGCAATGGTGAGACCCAAACTAAATCTTACGATGCTATGATAGTGGCCAATGGCCATTTTGATATTCCTTTCATACCTGACGTTGAAGGATTGAAAGAATGGAGTATGAAGAATACGGATTCGGTAACACATGCCAAATACTTCGACAGTTCAGCCGAATACCGCAATAAGACCGTTTTGGTTATTGGTGACTATGCTAGTGGTACCGATATTGCCACTCAAATCAGTGTCACTGCTGAAAAAGTCTATGTTAGTGTGAAGGATTTGCAATCGGAATCGGACATTGATAGAGTTGCAACCAGAATCGGGTTAATTACAAAATATGACTATAATGATGATCGATCAGTACATACTATTGACAATGAAAGAATCAATGATATCGATGTCATCATTTTTTGCACCGGTTACTTATATAGTATCCCATTTTTACATAAATACTTACCAAATTTAATAACTGATGGTAACCAGGTTAACGATCTATATAAACAAATGTTCTATTTCCCAGACCCTTCTCTATCGCTTGTTGCCTTGCCCAAATTTGTTATCCCAATGCCCATTGCTGAGGCCCAGAGTTCAATTATTGCCCGTTATTATAGCGGAAGACTCGAATTACCGTCGACTGCCGAAATGCAAGCTGCCTATGAACAAGAACTAGCAGAAAAGGGGGCCGGTAAGACTTTCCACAATCTACAATTCCCGGCAGATGTCGAATACGCTAATCAATTACTTGCTTGGATCGTGGATACTGGCTTGGATAGCCGGGGTCTTCTCCCTCCACTATGGGATGAAGAAAGAGTGGCCAATCGTAAAAATACTAAAGCACTCAAGAGCAAAAGACTCGACAAGATCATCGATTATACTAAACAATTAAGAACGGAGGGTAAGGAGTTCGAGCTTGCCCCAAATTAGATTTACGTTTCAAGTTTTGCAGTAATTATGTATTCCGTAGTCTCTTCTCCCATGATCTCTTTCCCCTTTTTCTTCCGTGGCTTCTGATGTATCCAATGCATCCATCCCTCTATTTACAATCGGCTAATTTATATCAAGACCAGAAAGGGATTGTATATCCTTGCAAGATACTAGAGCTAATTGGTATTAGCATATGGTGGTCGTGCCACTTGGCCAAGTATTGAAAAGTTTGCACCAGTAAAACAATTTTCAACACGTCTCTCACTATTTTTTTTAGTTTTCTCCTTGCTTATCAAGAGAAACAAAATCAATTCATTAAAAGATTATTGAATTGTTGATATCGATTCGTACATTTCTTTTTAAATATACAACTCATAATGTTTATATTCGAATGGTGTATGTAAATGCTTTCTGTTTACCCCGGTTACTTGCAATTGATACAAGGAAAGTGACCAGTGAAATGAAATAAATAAAGTGAAAAAAAAAATTTCAAATTTGATACTAACAAGTAATAGTCCAAGACATCTTAGCCTCTTTGGGGTTATGGAATAAGCATGCCAAATTATTATTTTTGGGTTTGGATAACGCCGGTAAAACTACCTTATTACATATGTTGAAAAATGATAGATTAGCTACTTTACAACCAACATTACATCCTACTTCAGAAGAATTAGCCATTGGTAATGTTAGATTCACCACTTTTGATTTGGGTGGCCATCAACAAGCTCGTCGTTTATGGAAAGATTATTTCCCCGAAGTTAATGGTATTGTCTTTTTAGTTGACGCTGCTGATCCTGAAAGATTAGCTGAATCTAGAGCTGAATTGGAATCTTTGTTCAGAATCGAAGAATTAAACTCGGTTCCTTTCTTGATTTTGGGTAATAAAATCGATGCCCCAACTGCTGTTAGTGAAATGGAATTGAAAACCGCATTAAACCTTTTTGGTACTACCGGTAAAGATGGTATCAAATTAGCTGAAGGTACCAGACCTTTGGAAGTCTTTATGGTTTCTGTTGTTATGAGATCTGGTTACGGAGAAGGTTTTAAATGGTTATCCCAATATATTTAGATGTTGTTCAAACTATATCTTTTTTAAATTTACTTGTTCTTTCACATCTTTGACTACGACCTTTAATTAATTTTCATACTGATTTTGCACTGTAGTATCTTGTATTTATTAATAATGACTCAAATAAATGGCTTAAGCTAATGGCTTCAATGACTTCAATGGCTTCAATGGCTTGAATGGCTTGAATGGCTTGAATGGCTTGAATCAATGGCCGTTAATCATAATAGAAGTTCCGGTTGTTGTATCACGTGACGTGACCGGAAATTTTTGGGGCATCGAGCAAAAAAAAAAAGGGAAGACTTAAATCTTACAAATGAAGACCATTATATTGATTCTTTCATATCAGTATTAGCAATTAAGTAGTTCACTATGAATAAACAGCCTTTACATCCGGAACCAAAGAAGTTCAAGATCCCAAAGGGTCCAAAGCCCATCGCCCATAAGAATAAAAATCAGATTGGGTTGGGTAGAACAATTGCAAATCAAAGAAAGATGGAAAATAATATTCAATACTTACCAGATGGTGAAATGAGATTCACAACTGATAAAAAAGAAGCCGGTTGGGTGAAATTAAGATCCGTTACTCAAGAAAATTCATTGGATGAATTTTTGAATACAGCCCAATTAGCTGATACCGATTTCACTGCAGAGAAGGGCCAACAAGTAAAAATTATTAAAGTTGGTAATACTGCTATTATGAATCAATCTGGATTACTAAGTCAAGAAGAACTTTTAGAAATCCGTAGAAAACATCAACTTTTTGAAAATAAATTAGTTATTCCAAGAAGACCTAAATGGAATAAAAATCAACTGAAATTACAAATTGAAAGACAGGAAAATTTAGCATTCTTAGATTGGAGACGTCATTTAGCAGAATTGACTGAAAGCCATGATTTGTTATTAACTCCATTCGAAAGAAATTTAGAAGTTTGGAGACAATTATGGAGAGTTGTTGAAAGATGTGATTTGGTGGTTCAAATTGTTGATGCAAGAAATCCATTATTTTTTAGATCTATTGATTTAGAAAAATATGTTGATGATTCTAGTAAACCAAATGAAAATAATGCTAAGAAGAACTTATTATTAGTTAATAAAGCTGATTTATTAACTAGACCACAAAGAATAGCCTGGGCGGATTATTTCAAGACTAGAAACATTAGTTTTGCTTTTTTCTCAGCAGCTGAAGCTAATGAAATCTTAGCTAAGGAATTAGAAGAACTCGAACAACAAAAGCAGGATCCAAATTATACTCCTTCCGAAAACAATGAAAAACAGCCTGTTGATAATGAAACTGATGACTCTATTAGAATTTTGAAAATTGATGAATTAGAAAACCTTTTCATGACTGCCGCTCCTAAATTCGAACAAACTGAAGATTTCCCTGATCGTAAATTACAAATTGGTTTAGTTGGTTATCCAAATGTTGGTAAATCTTCTACAATTAATGCATTAATTGGCTCTAAAAAAGTCTCCGTTTCTGCAACTCCAGGTAAAACTAAGCATTTCCAAACACTTCATTTATCTCCGGATGTTTTATTATGTGATTGTCCTGGTTTAGTTTTTCCTAACTTTGCTTATACTAATGGTGAATTAGTTTGTAATGGTGTTTTACCAATTGATCAATTACGTGAGCATATCCCTCCTGTATCACTTGTTACTCAGAGAATTCCTAAATATTACCTTGAAGCCCTTTATGGTATTCACATTCCAATTCAAAAAGTAGAAGATGGTGGTAATGGTATATATCCAAATGCAAGAGAATTATTAAATGCTTATGCTAGAGCAAGAGGGTATATGACTCAAGGTTTTGGTAGTGCCGATGAACCAAGAGCCTCAAGATACATTTTGAAAGATTATGTGAATGGTAAATTACTCTTCATCAATCCTCCTCCAAAAAAGATAAGTGAAAATGAATGGGATTTACCTTCTATTGAAGAAGCAAGAGAATTCAACCATGGTATTTATACTTTAGAAAGTTTACCTGAAACCAGACAACAACAAATTAAAACTGCATTATCTGCCAAAAGTTTACAAATTGATGAATTTGACTTGGCAAATGACTTATCGAAATTAAATTTCTCAATGCATATTGGTGATCAATCGTCCGGTCAAAGTAAAAGTGAAAATGCTGATAGTTCCTCAAGTGGTGCTAAAACATTGTTTTATGGTGGGAAGCAAGCTGCTTTAGAAAGTGCCGGTGACGACTTGGATAAAGAATTCTTCAAAATGAATAATGTAAAGGGTAATATGAGTACTCCTTTCCATAAAGTGCAAGCTGGTTCAGATAATGGTAAGAAACATTCAAAGAAAAATAAAAAGTCTGCCAAAAAGAATAGAGTCGTGGGATATTAATTTCATTTCGATTATTCTTAGGCATCATACTTCTCTCGTTGTAACATAGTTTGGTTTGTATTTATAGAATAAGCAAAGAATACCTCTTTTCAATAGTAATTTTGCAATCCTTGTAGACTTAATCAAATGGTGCAAATTTTAGTGCGATTTCAAGCGCGATTCTCGGGTTTAGAATTGCAACCTGGGGTATCAGATAATCAAATAAAAAAAAACGGATAGGGACCCAATCAAAGAGCATTAACTTACTTATATTTATCTTACTTGCTGATAGATACACTATTTGTAAATGTTCATCAGTATGGATCAACCTAAAAAACGTCAAAAGTTATGTTCTTGTGGCCCAAAGTTAACTATCAACGATCTTCCCCCTGAATTGATTCATTATATCTTGTCCTTTATTCCTGTTTATACTTGCATGGCTCTCCTTGAATGTATCCCTTTTTCAAATAAGATTGGAAAGATGATTTACCGAAGCATGAATGAGAGGAATATCTTTTACGGTAATCACTACTTACAAAATATGACTAGATGGGGCATTCATGATACTTGCATTAAACAAATCAATTCGAAAGAATTGGATCAACTTATTGCTTTTGAAGATCGGGTTGATTATACTATTGTCCCGAGATCTTTTATTCTTAAGTATACTTATGATCAATATCCTTCATCAGAGTATTGCCAAAGACAGGTTCTTAATAGACTTGTCAAAAATTTGCAATTATCTCAAAGGTACTTTCAGCTGATAAAAAATTTCGAAATAAACCTTGACTTGTGCAATAAAGTTCCTTTTGACAAGGAGGACAATTTTGAAGTGAAGAGCATTTTTCAAATCTTGTCCAGTAGTAAATTACATAACAACTTAACTAAATTGCATTTGAAAAGGTTTCAGAGACTCCCATTTATTGATGTACAACTATCTCAACTTCTACTGGGAAATTTGCATAACTTCAATAATTTGACCCAACTAGTGCTTGACAGTAATCGCATAACTTCTATAGAAGATATAAGATTCCCTCCCAGCATTGTATCCTTGTCAATGGTGAATAATAAGTTGAAATATCTTCCTCAAAATGTTGATGATTTCTTCCCTCCTAACTTGTTATCTCTTAATTTCTCTTGCAACGATTTACTAACATTACAAGGAGTTAAATTCCCATCTACATTACAATTCTTGGATGTTCAGTTGAATTCTTTGAAAAAACTTGATGGTATTCTATGGCCCGAAAACTTAAAAGTACTTATCGTTAGTGGTAACGAACTTCAATTGTGTGATGAGGAAGTAAATTTTCCTAAAAATCTTCATATCTTAAACTTATTACAAAACCCTTCTATAATCTCATTAAGTGGTCTACGATTACCCAACACTTTGAAAAGGATCTTCATAGATGCTTGTTTTGAAAACCTATCAATAGATTTACCTAGGAGAGATTCCGTCATCTACGCTTAAAATATCATTCAATATATATTTCAATAAACCTGTTTATAGACTTTATTACGTACAACCATGCATTAATGAAGAAAGTTAAAGATATATTTGAAATTGCAAAAAAAAAAATTTGTAAAAGAATTGTAGTCATTATTATGAAAAAGTCAAAAGTCGTTAGCGTATCTAGTTTCTTATCCCATTTAATTGTCTGATCTTCTCGTCTCTCCATGCTTGATAGTCATCAGCTATTATGGTGGAGCTGTCAGCAGTGAAAGTTTCTACTTGATTACCTGGATTAGTCTCGGGTTCGATATCACCCTTCTCGTTTTGTGAAGACAGAATCTTAATTGGTGATAAACTAAAGCTGGATCTTTTGTTCTCCTTATCATGCTCTTCAAAATTTTTCACTGGGGAGAAATCAATTTTTTGGGCATTTGAATAGAGATCTGGGTTGTCATTAATTTTCAAAGGCGAAAATCTTGAAATATTCGAGTGTATAGTACTATCAGTATTGAACTCAAGACCTTCCTTTGGAGATTTATTTTCATTGAAAGACAGCAATGGGGTATTTAAGGGTTGTAATTGAGTCCCCACAATTCTAGAAATATTAGAATTGCTTCTTGCAACAGGCCTTATGGGACTTTCTAATCTAGAACTTGGGGCTGTATTATGTTTAGCTTTAATTGACGTCTTTGCTCTAGGCTTTGCTATTCTATTATTGTTGATATGGGAATTTTTGGTAGGAGATAAAATAGAGGGATGGTTTGATCTAAAATTCTTGGGAGATATACCTCCTTTTGACCTGGAATTCATGGTTACAGGTTTGTGATTTACGGGTGGCCTTCTAATTGGTGAAGATCGAAGAGTAGAAGGAATCACCTTCCTAGGCGAAACTTGTTGACTGGTACTTCTGCTGATCCTGCTTCTGTTACCTTTCTCGTTAACGAGTTGAGATTCGATTGACATAATTTTTTCAAGAAAATCTTCTCCATTTATGGAAATTGGTTTTTGTTCGCTAGCTCTCCTATTAAATTTGACAATTTCCGTTTTAATTTCTGAGATCAATTTTGGCATATTTTTGTTAATCTTCTTTCTTAGTTTTTCTTCATTTAAAAGGATCTTGCAAGAATTTTTGCTAAGTAATCTGGAGGAATCTTTTGAAGATTCTTGGAGGAACTTTTGATCCTCGAATAATTCCAATATTTGGGAATAGAGAGAAAGAATTGGTTCCTTTAATTCGTAGGATTTTTTCAACTCTCTAAGTTCCTGTTCGTGTTCACTTAGAACAAGCTCCTTATCCAAAAAATCATCATTAATATCATAATCAAAATATTTGAAAGATCTCTTGTCTTCGTCAGAATAAAACATCTTTGACCACAATGCCTCAATTTCGATTTTTGCATCAGAAATAAAGTTTTCAATAAATTCCGATCTTTTAGCCAATAACCTGTTCAATTCAACTTTAAAATTCATCAACGATAAATCAGTGAGTGAGCTATTAGCGTTTAAGAAATTTTCAACTTGATCTCTATTTTCCCCAAGTTTATCCCAAATTTTACTGCATGAATCTAGGTAATAGTCCCATTTCTTTTGCTTTGTGGTTTTTATTTTTGATAAGGTAGAAGCAAGCTTATTGACGAATTCAAAATGTTGGTCCATTAAACCAAATTCTCTAGGTTCTTTCTGTATAAACTTTAATGTTTCGCTATCAAAGTAACCGTCATTAGGTAATGTGTTAGATTGATCACTGCCGTCAAACAGCTTTTGAGTATTAACTAATTGATCGTCAGTCATATGGAGGGTATTTATAAGTGATAAACATTCCGTTATTATGTTTGACATTTGAAGCTTTCTTTGATCAGCTTCATCTTTACAGTACTTTATTTCATTTTGTAGATTAGTGATAAATTCCGGAGTTAGCTTGGTAATTTTCAAGCTTCGTATAACATGCACAATTTGATGGTTCAAATCTCTCAAGGAATCCATAAGCTTTTCAGTATCTTGGTTGGCTTTACTGTTTGGGATATCATGAACCTGATGATCATCATAGTTTATTGGACCATTTTGTTTCAATTTACGAGGGCTCGAAATAATGAAAGCATAGTGGTCATCAGCAGTTTTGGAACTTGCTAAAGTCAGGATTACATTCCCACTATCATTTAATTTCAATTCTTTAATCACACTTTCGAAACTTTCAATCAAACTTTGATGATTTTCTGCTTCAACTTTCGATGGCAAGGCTTTAAGAATGTTCACATTAGCATTTGAAGAATAAAATTGACCTATAGAATCGATTGTATCTAGGTACTCAAGATTCAAAGAATTGAATTTTTTGAACGATCTGATGAAATTTTTGATTACTTCAAAAAATATTGAATTGAGTCTTCCTTTTGATTGAAGAAGTGATAACTCTGGAACGTTATGTAGCATGTGTTCATACTGATTCTGTAAAGATATTTCATGCTCACTATCCGTTGATATACTGGCATCATTGAATGGAGAGCTTGCGTAAAAACGACTTTTACGATTTTTTAGATTAGTTAATTTTTCAAGAATTTCTTGCTTATAGCCTTGTTCAAACAATTCCTTATTATTGAAAACAACTCCTCTACTTATCAATTTGAGATATTTATCACCATTAGCATCATTTATCATAGCAAGAATTACTCTAATTTGCTGTCGTAACCATTCACACTCATTTTCTATAATGGTCTGTTCTCTTCTTAAATTATCAGCAAATGAGGAAATAGTATCATCAATTACCTGAAATATCTGTGATTTCTTTATCGATATTTCTGTGGAAGAATAACCGATTTGACTGTAGATTTTGTTGAGTTCTTCAATTGTTTGATTAACGTTAGATGCAATGGCATCAAATTGTCCATTTTTCGTTAGAGTGAAATTATTTTGATTATCAATTTCTTGAGTATCGTTCAAATTATCCATAACCATTGATCCATTGAGGCTATCTTTCGAGGTTTTCCTTAAAGGAGTAGATACAAGAGTCTTACTGTTATTAGATGTGGAGCTGGAGCTGGTCACTCTATTACGAACTTTTTCACTTATAAGTCTGCAATGATCAGTTACGTCTTGACCGGCAGGTTCTTGATTCCAAGGAGATACATCTTCTAATTGCAGAAGTATTTCTTGTTGACTATTCGTGCTTTCAGCAAAACTCATCTCTTCTATGAACTCTAGTCAATTGTTTGTATCCGAGGAACTAGATGGAGTCTTATGATTCAAGTTATTTGTAGATCAATAGTAGTGTTTTCGGTATGGATTTGCTTATATGTTTTGATAAGAAGAAAAAGAAGGTGTAAACAAAACTTTTAATCTCAAAACAAAGCTTGAGAGTGCCTGGAGCTTAAACTATTCAAGTTGTCAATTAGATGTTAATAATGCAAAATTTGTTAGTACTTTAATTTGTGCAATAAATGAATTCAAAACATCATCAAATTTTGTTAGTAGATTTAATTTTGTCTCCATTTTCGGTCATTTTGTAAATATCAACAAAAAAAAAAAAAAAAAATAACTAAATTTCGTTGTGACAGGCCCGTACATCAAATATTGGAAAGTATGTCTATAGTGTATTTGAATGGCTATAAGGTTGTATATACTAGTGAGATTAATTGGATATGTGTATGAGGTGATATTTACATGGATGCTAGTCAGTGTCTGATTCCACTGGTTTTCTCAATTGGTCGAGTAAGGACAATATTTGATCCTCAACATTAGTATCTTGATAATCAGTATCGATTAATTCGTCAGTTATCATATCTTCTGGATCCTTGGTGTCTTCTAAGCGAGACATGGGGTCAAGTAGAAGCTCATTTGATAACTCACGGGCTTTATGGTTCTTATGAATCAACAGTTTACGGTATGCAAAACCGTAAACATCCCATTGTAGTTCACGAGCTATTTTATATATTTCTTTGGACGATCTTGCTCTCATGTCAGCTCCCGACTTGACTAGAACGTCATACCATCTTTTAGCAGCGTGGTGTTCCCGGCGATTATAATGGTGAATTATAAATGGCGAAACTTGGTGATATGTAAAAGGTAAGCCGAATCTGCGGGAATGTCTGATCATTTTTGATGCAAAATCTAGATCGTGATGTTGATGGACACTGCTCATGATTAAAAGATCATATAGATACCTCGATCTGTTTTTCCTTGGAATGGATGGGAAAGCCTCGTGGAAATTATCCATTATATGAGCAGCGAACTTGAAGGCGGCTGGATTTGTGACTAAATTTTGTTCGACTGTTGGTAAGGAAGGATTGCTTTTAAGAAGATATTCTATAATGTATTTTACTATTTCATCATTCATGTTAAAGCCTTGGAATAATTCATTGTTCAGTGGAGACTTTGCCACTTCTTTGTAAGCTGTATATAAAACATTCAACTCGTTATGATCAGGCTTAGACAGTTCAAGCACCACTCTATAGAATTTACAAAAAACTTCTGGGGTTAATTTCAACCCAGTTAATTTTGGATCCACATTGGCTTTTTGAAGAAAATCAAAAGGTTCACTGATCTTTTGCTGATAGACTAAATCCATTAATCCTAAATCATTTAGGATGCTCAAAACATCATTCAGTTCAGGATTATTATAGATGGTGGCTATATATCCGAGTAAAATCTTTGGTGAATTTGGATACTTAGCATCAATTAATAACAAAATTTCTTCTGCCAATTTTTGTTTCTCCAATGAGCTTAAACTTTCAAGATGGAAATGGTTTACTATAGTCAAGGCTTCTTTATAATATTTCTGTTCTCTTAAATTTTTCATCACCATTATTAAGGTATCGACTGTAACATCCAAATCATTTTCCACAAAATACTTTAAAACTTTTATGAAACTGAGAGCACCCTTGAACTTTATAGCATGTAATAAAATAGTATCATATATGGCTTGGATTTCTCTTTTTATTATACGGGGTTCGATTTGGTAGCCTAGTTTGACAATGGTACTTGATTTCAACTCAAATTTTGCCACCAATAACTCTGTGAACATCTTGGAATTCAGAATATCAAGACAATTTATATAATGAGTAGCACTCATTTTCAATTCATTTATTGTGAAGAAATTAATTATTTTTTCCATATGTGTCGGTGGGAAGTCAACCTTATTGATATGATGCCATTTTGGGTTCACCCACCCAGTCATTGCAACAAACTTATCTAGTAGTGATCCTTCTAGAAGGTGAACTCTTATTTTGTTTAATCTATCATCGTCATTAGGGCGGACATTCAAATGTACAAGATATGAAAAAAGATCTCTATATTGATCTTTTGAAAAATTATCCACCATATTTATAAAAACTGATTTTAAAACAAAAGGATAGGTATTGACAATATTAAGTTCCGATAATTTTGTAAAATAAGCTAAAATCATTAGAGATCTCTCTTCTTTGGGCTTATCTTGAGAAGATAGATGAATAACATTTTTGATGAACATTCCTCTTGACTTCCTACTAGTAGGATCAATCATCCATGCAAATAATGAGCTCTTAATTGGATCTTTTTCTAAAATATGTTCCAAAGTATCTCGGATCAGAAGTTTCATGTCGTTATCTTGTAAGGAGTTATATATATATACAGCTTTGGCGGTGTCGGTCATCAATATTTCGTTAATTAGTCTAATGATATTTAAACAGAACTGGTGGGTTTCAGATATATCACGATATGGTATTTGAATCAAATGGTTGAATTCGGCTTTGGATAGCTCGCTGATCGATTCTTTGGACATGCTGAATAATGGATTGGGGTATGTTTCATTATCAAGTAAAAGATAATTTTGTTTCGGTATGTTCTGACTCGTGAATAAGTCAGGTCGTATGCTAGGAGGTTCATAACTTTTCAAACTTGAAGACGTCAAAGTCGGAGCTTGCAGTCGTATGCTGCAAGATGAGAGACTCCGTATCCGGAACTTGAAGCTATTATATAGTAGAGCCCTGCTAGACTGTAACATTTCATGCAACACTTGGAACTCCAACACTCGGCCTATATCAACTACCTAAGGCCTTTACCTATATAGTTCTGAAATAACTCAATTAAGAATGGTATTATTCAGTTTTAAATTTTTTCATTAAAATCTCCAATATATTTTGTGCGTGAAAAAAAAAAAAAAAATCTAGCATTTTGTTACTTCGGGAATCGTTTAACTACAAGGTAATGACTAGAGAATTAATGGATTGCAATTTTCTATAAAATCTATATCACCCGAGTGCTGTCATTGTTGTGGGTGTTTCCCAACTCGTCCCAGGTTTCTAAGCCCATTACGCTTGTTTGCTTACCCGAGTCTCTATATATGTGACGTTGATAGAAATAGATGGCATCGAATATAATAGTACCAGAACTACCTAAGATATAAGGTAATTCTTTGAAGAAAAACTCGCCTCTGCTTTCATCCAAGACAAACTCGCAACTCGATAAGATGGAAAGGGTGTATGCTAAGTTCCCTAATAATGCAGCACCGAATAATAGCGGCGAGATGCCTTCGACCGATTTTCTTAAATAGTTTTTGTATAATTGGGGGCATCTTGAGCTCATATAAACAAAAGTGCACCCCCATGCAAGAAAAAGACCGAAAGCTTCACTTCCAGAAGTAGATTTCTGGGTAGTTTCGGTGATTTTGGTGATTTTGGTGATTTTGGTGATTTTTTCATTAATTGGCATTGCGGTTGTAGTGATGGAATTGAACATGGATCCTACCGCAAATGTTTTGATTGCTGACTGAGATTTGTTGTCACTGAAAGTATTCATGGAGCTGTATCCATTAGCTTGCGGTGATCCTTTTGGGGGAGTCAAAGGTGATGAAGAGGTGAACGGTTCTTCCGATGGAGTTACATGGTTTGGTCTAATGTGGATTGAGTTTGCAGAATTGGAATGTATCATGCTGTTGTTGGTAATTGCAAAATTTTCGTTTGAATCATGACTATCTCTTGGATTTGTTGCTCCTTCTAAGCTAGTATATTGGACAAATCCGTACTTTCTAGGATACACACTATTGTAGTAATAATATTGACAGCATAGAGTTATATCATTGCAAAGAAAAAACACACTTAACCATATTTGAAAATTCAATACAGCATCATTGAAAAGACAACTGGTAAAACTAAGGAAATCTCCCATAAACCATAATAAGAGAAAAGATGGGGATATCCCTTCTGCAGACTTATTTTTAAAATTGGTGTATATTTGAGGTAATTGAGCACATATCCAACTACCCAAAGATACCGTACTAAAGAAGTTGGATATAGTTGATAATTGTTCGCAAGTAACCATGTTATGTTTAATTAAAAATATGTCTTTTATAAGAATAACCAGGCACTCTCAACCTTTATATTTATTAATTTCTATATTGATTTCAGGTAAACCAAAGGGATGGATACTCGATTGTTTTAAACTCCAACTCCTGTGTTGTCCGACCACTGTTGCAAACCACTGATTCTTTGTTGGTGTTATGGAAAAGGGAAAAAAAAGAGAGGAAAGTAAGAGATAAAGATTCTTATTTATCTATCTCTCAACTCAACAACATCGCGCTTAATTTTTTTTTTTCGTCGAACTACTCATTTGAGAATTATGAGTCAAATTTTTGGCTTTGCAGTTGCAAAATACATTCGTTGTTCACCCTTTGTGCTTGTGGTTAGCCTTTACGATATAACTGTTCAAGATTCTTTTTACTGCTTGATGATTGTCGGGCAGTTTTACAAATAGTAGATTTTATGTATAATTTCCAGTATTTTTGTAGATTATTGGTACAAAAAATGAAAAAAAGTAAAAAAGTGCTTACATTTTTAAATACTCCTGAATATTTATCATTGAATATACAAAAGAGAAAAGGATGAACGTTATTACACAGCTATATTTTATATAAAGTATCAAGGAAAGCAACGATGACTTTATCAGCTACACCGGAAGTGGTGACGCTACCTGCAACACCGTATAAAGCCGCGGTATCACCGACGTCTTTCTTTTTGTTATCGCCATGCTTTTCATTTTCTTCAACTAGATGTTCTGTAGACTCGATGATATCCCCAATAAGTTCATCAATGATGGGGATTGTCAATCTGGTCAATGCAAAATGAAGCGCAGCCGGATTTTGTAAAGAGGCAAAATGCCAGCCCTTTTTACCTAATAAATCACCCAAAGCATAAATACTGAAATCATTGACATTGTCCCTAACCTTGAAAGAGACAACTGAACCAATAGGGTTACCAATTACCTCAAGATACTTCGAAAGAATTTCATTACCCTGTATTGCATACTTCAATTTCATGGAAGTTCTAACAATATCACGGCATGATTTGGTATATCCTTCTTCTCCAATGTTAACTAAAGTTGCCCAGCAACCAACCATTAACGCACCTGGTCTTGAACCTGCCAATGTAGGAGATCCATACATACCTCCAGTCCAATCACTCAGAACGTAGTATTGACATTCACGAATTTTCGAATTACGATACATTATTATAGAGGAACCCTTAGGAGCAAAACCATATTTATGAGTATCACAAGAAATGGAGGTTACCCCAGGTAATCTGAAATCAAACAAGGGAATAGCTCCTTTATCATGGACGCCTGATTTTTCCAAAAATGATACAATGAAAGACCCCAAGCAAGCATCAACATGAAGTAGTATTTTATTTTTCAATGCCAATTTGGAAAGAGCTTCTATATCATCGATGATACCATGAGGGTAATTAGGCGCAGATCCAACAAGTAAAACAGTATTTTTATTGATTAATCTTTCAACTTTTTTTATATCAACTTGGTAAGTCTTTGGGTCTAAATCAACCTTATGCAATTTCATACCAAAATAGAAGCATGCTTTCTCAATACCAGCATGTACAGTAACAGGCGCGATAACTTCTGGTTGAGTGATACCTCTATAAGTTTTACCATATTGTCTTGCTGCCAAACCAGTAAGTAATAACGATTCAGTACCACCAGAGGTTGTAGACCCGCAACCAGTTTCTGGGGCATTGAAAATTTTAAGCACCATTGACACAACTTCAGCCTCCATCTTTCTCACACCAGGAAAGACATCCGGATGTAGTTGATTAGCAACCGAATATTTATGATACGCTTCCGATTGTAAATCAAGAAGAGATTTACCTCCGTGATAAACAGCTCCACTCACTTTCCCATTAATCCAATCACTATGCTTTAAATTCTGTAAATTGTCCAACTCTGTCAAAACGCGTTCAGTGGTAATGCCTTTAGCTGGAAGTTGAGGAAATTGCAAAAGATCATCATTATTCTGCATAATTTCCTCTTCAATTTTGGCCAAAACTGATTCAAGTTCTTTTTCAACTTTCTTATTCATTGGTGGCAATGACAAAAGTGTTAAAAACACTTGTCTATTCACTTTCTTAAAGAACATACAAAGCGACTTGTATACCCCGTAGCCACGAATGCTTGTAAATAAACGGCTTAAATAGCCAAGGACCAAGTAGACAATCACAACATCACGAGCCAACGCGAGATAACCCCACGGACAAGAGTATGACTCGAGGTATTGGTAATTAACCCAGCCTTTAATTTGTTCAACGTAAATCCAAAAACTGGTTTGAATAAAGAAAACCATCAGCTTAAAATCAGTGGGAAGAAAAGGTTGACCAAATACTTTGGCCCTAGTAAATGATTCGAGTTCCATGATCGAAGTATTTTAACTTTCCAATGGGTAGTTAATTTTGAACAGCAATTGTAATCAAATACTTACAAATATTATACGAAATCCCTTAGATTCAATTCTATCCTTAGTTATAAAAGTAGAAATTGATGCTATTTATGGTTTTCCTCCTAGAACACATGGAAGGCGCGGAAAATAAAAACGTTTTCACTTTTAATTTTTTTTTGCGTTTTTAGTCGGATGTTCTTAAAATAATCCGGAGATCTTATTAATTTAGGCAAGTCAGCCATTTATCTAATTGGTGCCAGTTTGAACAATACTACCCTGAACAATACTACGGAGCAAGACTACTCGAAACAATACTTCTCTGAACAATACAATACAAAGAGTACTGGATAATATTGGTGAGGTGAATTTTGAAATTGATAGAATGTATTTAAAAAGGAGTTGAGCCTCTGCTGATCCTATTACCGGGTCTACTACTAGATCCACTAGTGGTATTATCCAAGATGGTAGTTCTATCTTTGATTAATTTATCCAATTTTTTAGTGAAAAATTGGCTAACGAAATCACTTTCTCTTGTCAATTTTGTCAATTCTAATTCGTAGTTTATCAATTCATCCTTTTGAATCAAAGAGGGGATCAATTTAATACCAGGACCGTTAAGCTTCTTAGATAAGTGGGTTTTCTCTTCTTTCCAAGACACGAGGCTTGTAGATAACTGCACTGCTTCGCTTGAACTGTTTTGATAATTAGCTCTTATTTTTTCATTCTCCTCGTTAATTTTATTGTATTCATCATCAAGTTTGGTTAATTCCAAATCTAATTCTTTCAATTGTTGCTCTTGAGAGATAGTAAATTCTGGAAGTTTTTCTTCCGATTCTTGTACTTGTTTGATAGCTGAATTTAAGTATTTAAATTTATCATTCAATTCGGTGTTAGTATTTTCTAATTTTTGTAAATCATTGTCAACACGAAGTAATTTTTTTTCACTTATGGTAGCATCTTCATTAAGTTTCCGTAAGACTTTATATTTTTCTGCAATGGAATCTTCTTTTGTATCCAAGGTAGATTGTCTTAGAGATTCACGGACTCTATAAGAAGGAATATCTTTTTCGAATTGTTCAAGGATTGCATTTTCGAGTTGCAAAACTCGATCATTTAAAAGTTCAGCGAGCTTTTTCTTATAATCAGCATAACCAAATTTTTCTAGTTTATCAGAAGGATGAATCAAATTTTTCTTGGAGATATTACCTGATTGCAAGTTAGGGTCATAAACATTAGTGATTTGTAGTTTATTAATCAATTTATCATCACTATAATGAAGAATGAGTTTTTCATTAAAAGAGTTAACCATATCATGTAATGGGAAGCTTCTCGAATCCCAATTATGAAACCAATGATAAAGGTTTTGCATGTTACTACCATAATTTTGACGGAAAAAGTCTTCAGTTATATCTGAATCGAAAAGATTAAATCTATTAACCACGAAGGTATTAAGACATTCAAGTTTCCATTTGAACAAAGGATTTGTAGGATCATTATTATTGAAAAATCCCAAACTACTAGGTTGATAATTTTTTAATGCAATATGATCAAGTGTGAAAATAGAAAAGGGAATTAAAACTGGAGTTTTCAATTCTTGACCAATAGATGAATTAAGCGATTGGGAAAAATTTTTTTTACTTCTTATAATTTCGATACTTGGGCTTTTTGTATCTAAATCGGGATCAAATGAAATAATTAAATTGAATTCAGAGTTTCGACTGTTAGATGCTGGAGTGTAATTGTTGTATAGTTGTTGAGAAGTAACTAAATAAAGACATAGAAGCGATGAGTTAGGTTCATAATCATACTTATTTATTTTTCTCTTTTTAAATTCACTAGAATTATTGGATCTGGAACCCCATCTTCTCTTTGGTTTATCATAATCATTACCATTAGATTGATTCTTTTCATATGAATAATTATTCGATTTTTCAAAATTTGGAAGCTTACTATTATCATCATATAATTTAGATCCATTTAAATTTTTATAATGCAATTTTTTACCAATTATTAAACCTTCAATCAATTCAAGTTCCTTCACGCTTTCAGCCACCACTAAAATATGATACCCATTTGTCAACAAGCCATTTTTCGATGCAGAATAACGATCAATGAAAGAATCAACAATTCTATTGAATAATTGAAATTTACCCGATAAATTAAGGAGCAGTTCATTTATCTCCAGCAATAACAATTTCTTAGGAATAAAATGATCAACTAGAAGTGAGGGATGCTTTTTAATTATGCGAAGTTGATCAAATAATAAATTGATCTTATTAAACTGTGAAAGATAATTACCTTCTCCTTCTTTAGATGCATCATCAGTCATACCAGAATTATCATTGGTATTATTATCTAGCAAGCTATTAATACTAGCTCTTTGTCTTTTAGAATGAGCTTCAGATAATAAAACTGGATTGAGAACTTGTAAAACAAATTCTGCAAGTTCACACTGAACTTTCGTTAAGATCGTTGGCAAATGGTATACTCCATCATTAGTCTGAATTGGGTGTGCTCCACCATTGGCCCCATCTTCTAAGCCTGACGGTGCTGCATTCTCTAGAACCGACTGCATATCTTGTGGGTCATTATTTTGAAATATAGAATCAGGTGTATCACCCGATAGCATATCCATAAGATTCATGATCGGTTAAGCCTGGATACTAGAAAATCAATAGAGAAAAATAGTAAAGTTAGCGTGCCTAATGCTTCTTCTGTTATTGCCTAATGGTTTACTTGTTTCTTCCTGGTGTCGTTTGACCTTAGTTATTTATGTGAGCGGCTAACGTATTACTGCTTTATATACAAGATCCTGGAGGAAAAAAAATCAAGAAAAAGTTCCAAAATCAAGTCAATGTACCCTGTATGAACCAGCCAATAGAATAACTCAAACCCTTCTAGCGACTTCAACTCAAACCAGCCGTCAACAGTTGCAGTAGTTTTTCATCTTCGAAATGAATGTAAAAAAATCAAATTGCCAATTTGGTGAGGTTAATCCTTTTGTGCATCGCACGCCTCGACCTAAAAGTAAAATTAGACAAGCGGAAAATGCGCTTTTCTGTACGCAATTTTTTCTTAATTAGCAACAAATTTTACTGCAAATACTACAAAAAACATGAATTTCTATTTGAAGATAATAAATAAGGTATTACTATACTATCGACGGCCCTTCTTTTTGATTTGAACGTTGATACCAATGTTTCCGAGACTTTCCCAGACCACGTCGTCTACTTTTTTCGGAAGTTTTCGTCCATACAAACACTGATCTACCAACCACATACCCACGAGAAATTCAGCTTTATTCAAGCTTCCGTCTTGACGGAAATCCACCAAGTTCCAGATGGCTTCGAGAGTTTCATTGGACAAACGGCTTCTTTTCCATATACGTTTCACCACCACTCCGTGGATCAATTGATTGATATCAATATTTACTAAGTCGTGTAGTTTTTGATAATCAGCAATAGTAGCACCTTCCAAGTTGGTGGTGGCTTTAGAAGAAAGCCTTGCAGCTTTGGTGGAGGCCTCTTCTTCGGTTAGTCCGAATTTCTCTTTATCCTGAGGTTGTTTTGTATAATCAACTCCCATCAATCTTGTAACAACAAAATTCATGTATAGTCCTTTATTACTAACCCAAACCCCTTCATATCGTTTACGTTCTTGTTCGGTTACATAACGCAACTCATTATGATTTTTCCAAGGTTTGTCTTCATTGAAAGCCATTTTCTTTTCTTTACGTTTGTTGGTTTTTCTCATGGTTGTTTTCAATTGAACTGGTTGTTGAAGATGACTGATTCCAGGGGTACCAGACCTCGAAGGGGCAGAAAGATTCACATTACTTCTTGATAATGGATCAGCAGATGTTTCATGAGAATCAGAATCATCCAGTTCAAGTAAATTCACCGTGCTATCAACCCCTTTTATTTTATATTTCTTTTTGAATATATTATGCTTGTGTTCTGTATGTTTTCTCGCATTGGATTTATGGTCTATATCTGGGAATTGGGGGAACTTTCCTATTCCACCACCCGAGCCTGATCTAGTGCTATTAACTCTCAGTTTTTCCATTTCACTAATTTCTCCATCAGTATAATAAGAATCCGCAGGTCCACTTAAGTTAACCATACTACCCGAAGTATTCGAAGTTAACTCATTTGTAGTATGATCTCGGATACCAAATGTAGGATGATCAGTTGCAAAATTCGATTCATAGGTTGAATTCACTGATGATCCGGACCCAGAATTCTTCTTACTTCTATTAATTGGTTTGAGACTGTTCGATTCATCAGATATATATAAGTTATCAGCATCGGCTTCATTGCTTTCTGACCTGAATACTCCTGGTGGTGGCTTCCTCTTTGGTTTAGCCTTGGCGTTATTTAAGTCACTCAGACTAATGCCTACCTTACTTCCAACACGTTCTTCACCACTAGCATAGGCTGATAAACTAGGGTTTGAACTATGTCTAAGGCTTTCCATACTACCAGTGTTTGCTCCAAGACTTCTAGCATATGCATTTTGAGAAGGAGGGATCGCAATGGGTGATATGTTTCTTGATTTATTAACCTGTATATCATCATCGTCATCATCATCATCGTCATCGCATTCGTCTTCATAGTCAGAGCCATCTGCGTTATCATTATCATCATCATCATCGTCATCGTCATCATCATTATTGTCATAATTATTGCTAGGGTCTGCATTTTCGGTATTATTTTTCAGCTTTGATTTTCTTTTTTGATTAGGACTGATTGATTTAATATTATCTTTGGTTTTACGGATCTTAGATCCTAATATTTGCGAGGGTCTTTTCTTTTCTTGCTTTTCACTTGTATTATTCAAAACAATTACTGGTGTAGTTGGTGAATGTCCATTATAACTATCAGCTTCCAGTAAAGTGGAGCCTAAAGAAGAATAGGAATTATGGAAAATCTCTTTATCATAAATCATACGACCAGCAGGCGCCGAAAGATCTCCACTACTTTGAGAAACAAAGGACGGAACAGATCTCCTACGATCATCATCGGCATCATCATCATCTTCATGGTATGGGAGCATGAGATTGCTGGATGTGTTATGAGTAGAGACTCTTTTCAGATTAATACTTTGTCTTATTTCATTGATTGCAGCCAGATTTTTCTCGGTCAATTCAACGGCTGAAGATGTCTTCGTTTTAGATATAATGGAATTTCTTACTTGATTCAACATATCTTGAGGTTGGGTATTGGAATGTAGTCTTCTAACACTACCAGGAGAGTTTTTAATTCCTCGAGACGTTTCTGGTGACAGTTTAGGATCGTTCGTAATAGTATTCTTTGTTGTCAAGGTGTTCGACCTTGGCATACTGAAATAATCACCATTTGGTTTTACTGCTAAAGGTGATATAATATCAGAGTCTATAGAGTTATAAGAATTCCTATTACTCTTACTTGATTTTGGAGGTGTTTCAAGCGAGAGTGCTTTTACAGCAGCAGCAGCTCCAGCTCCGGCGTTAGGACTCGTTACAGTTTCCTTGCTTGGTTTAGTCACTATACTTAGTTTACTTGGAGATTCTTGACTAGGCTTTTGTTGTGGTAAATGACTGCTTTGACTAGCAGTTCTGGTTGGAGGGTGATGAATTCGGCCCTGTCCCGTTGGGGTATGGATCGCCGTTAGCGTTGGAGTCACCGGAGATTTCTTAACCTTGGGCACGGTAGATGTCGAGTATGATTTACCGGTACTAAGATGGAGTTGGGGTTTCTGAGTATGCTGGGGTGGTTTAATCGAAGTCATCGTGCTAGTTCTTGATGGCACCCGACTGGTTGGAGCTGTGGACTCATCCTTTTTGTTACCTAGACCTTTGAAAGCAGCCAAAGCAGCAGCATGACTAGCAGAATTATTATTAGACATATCCGGTACTCAATTAAGTATCATCAAATACCATCAATCGAAATCAAAGGGTGCTGTCAGAAAGCAAAATAATAGAATGTACAATCAAATGTACAACACAATAAACCCAGTACACTGCTTGCCAAAAACGGTATATACAACGATATCAATTAAACTGGAGAAAACCTCTTGTGTAGTGTAGAGAAAAAGGTTGATTTATAAAGGGCAAGATGTAATGTATGTTTAAATTTAGACTGCCAGACTAGGCAGTGTCCCGATTTAACTTTTTTTATTGTGAGAGTTTGCTTATGTGGAAGTATCTGTCTATTTTTTTTTTTTTTTTTTTTTTTTTTACTTACTGAGCTGGCTTGTTGCAAAGCTATATCAGAGATTATACGATATGTATTGGTATGTTTATGTAAAAAACTAGTATACATTGAGAAGGAGAATGATCACTTTCTTTTTCTGGAGGCATTAGCATGCCTACCTCTTCCAACTTTAACGTTGGAATGTCTATTGCTTTGGGAAGTACCAAAAGGACTCATGTAATTATCAGCACTACCACCACCAATCCATTCTTGAAGCATTTTTTCATTATATTTTCTTTGCCACTGTTCATTTTTAATGGCCTGACCGTATTCCTTTTGATCTTCTCTAAGAATCAAGGGATCTTGTAATGCTTTGGCTCTATTTTGTTTATTATGCTGATGTCCAGCATTACCTTGTAGTTTTTGTTGATTTTTAGATTGGGGAGAAGGTAAAGTGAATTTAGAACCTCTATTAATCCACATAAAATTTTTCTTTAAATGAGGAGTTACTTTACCAGTATCTTTATCGATTGAAACTGCACATCTAAGTAAAGTATTACCACCACATTTAGGGCAAAAATGTTTTGGAACACCATTTTTTGGTAATGGTGTTAAACGGAAACATGCATGGCATCGTAACATATAATTACGAACCCTTTTGATTTGTTTACCAGTTAAGGTGTTCATTAAATTGATACCGATTTGCATGGCTACGTTTTGACAGGCAAAATCTCCGGTTGATAATGCTACTTTCACGGCGGGTGTGTTAACTTCAGACGTATTTGTTTCTTGTATTTGTTCATTGGCATCTTTCAACATTTCTTCTTGTAAGTTCTCTGGTGTAATCCAATCTCCATCGTCGTCGTCTTCGTTATATTCTGCGCTTAACGTGGATTCTTCTTTCGTTTCTTGCTTTGATTCTTGCTTTGATTCTTGCTTTGATTCTTCTTGCACCTCTTTCTTCACTTCTTCTTTTGGTTCTTGTTTATTAAACTTCTTTTTGTTATTTCTCTTTTTAGGGCGTTGAACAACTTGAAACCCATCGTCTACTTCAAGGGTTTGTGGTGTTTCTTCTTGTGGTTCCGGCCTTTCAGATTCTTCAATCTTATTCGCTTGTTGCTTTGCTCTTTCAGCTTGTTTCAGCTTTCTCTCGGATTCTCTTCTTTCAAGTTCTTCTCTTTCATGCTCTTTCACCTCACCAGGATAGCTTCTCAATCTTTCGGTACCGTTGTTCAATTCGGCTTCTAATTCATAAGCTAATGCAATAATATGAATATCATTCAATGATAAAACTGAATAATCCCCAGTCAATTTAGCAAACAGACTAACCTTATCAATGTATACCTGCTTTGGATGTCTAACCTTCAAATTTTCGGCCCATAAAAGAAGCTGGGATCTAGCATGTTCATCTTTAAGCTCTGAATGTACCCCCGGTGTAGTATAAAAATTATTAGCATATTGTTGCAAAGAAGATGCTGATTGAGTAATTAATGGTGTAGCATCGAGCACTAAAGATTCGATTCTTTTGGATTCCATTCTAGGAAAACCTGATTCACTCTTAACAGGCTCAGTCATGTTCTAATATCTAGCTTTCCTTGAGTTAAAAGTCAATTATATCGGATCATCAGCTTCAAATGGTAGAAAACGAAAATTTTGAGATGAACTCATCTTAATAGAAACATCCGTACCACTAACTCTTTTTTTTTTTTTTTTTTTTAACAAAACCCTTCAGGTGATATAACCTCTATAGCCATCTCGAGGGTAGAGCATCGCTTCGAACGATTGTGCTCTTTAAAAGTAAGTAAAAGATATCACGTATGGTCAAACAAACGACCTTCTTGTTCTTTGTTTAGGAACGGCGGGCTTTTGTTCGTTCTTACAACATCTTGCAAGCATAAAGAATCAACAGTACGAAAGGCTAACTGGCTAACCAGTACACCATGTGAATTATTTGATTGCTAAAGAGTAAGGTTGACTATTTTCATGTTCTTCAAGTTGGAAGTATAAAAGACACCGAATCTCGCACCAGCAATTCCTAAGGTTGAATTTTATTTTAAGCAGATATGTCTTCTACAGATAAGTTTATTTTGCATTGGTATGTAATTTAATTTTGATATGTGAGATACCCCTTGGAAACTAACATATTTTAAAGGCTTGACCAATCTAGATCACACAGAATCTTATGGCTTTTTGAAACTCTTGGGTTGAATTATGAATTAAAAATCTATAAAAGAACCAAGGAATTTCGTGCTCCTAAAGAGTTGGAAAAGGTTCATCCATTAGGTAAATCACCGGTGATTGAAATAATCAGAGAAGGGAAGGAGCCATTATTGCTTGCCGAAACTGGTCATATTATCCAGTATGTAGTAGAAAATTATGACACTACTAATATATTAAAGACATCTACTCCAGAGGAGAAAGAATTGGTTGATTACTATTTACATTTTACCGAAGCTTCGCTTCAGGGATTCTTGGTTGCCTTACTAGTTGGTCAAATTGCTCAAACGAAAGCCCCTTGGGGAACAGGTTTCTTAGTCAAACTAGTAACTTCAGGTATAAACAGTCAATATTTCCAACCAGAATTGCTCAAAAGCTTGAAATTTTTGGAGTCTCAGCTTGCTAAAAAATCAACTAATCAATATTTCGTAGGCAATAAATTGACTGGTGCTGATGTTATCTTAAGTTTCCCAATTATTGATAATCTTTTCAGTAACCCTGCTAGAGCTAGCACCTTAAGTGGAGGAGAGGTCAATTTAGTCAGAGACTTCCCGAATTTACATGCTTGGACTGAAAATGTTCTGAAACTTCCAAGCTATGTCAAGACAAATGAAATTATTGACAAAAAACTTGGTTCAAAATTGTAACCAAAAATATGTTTTTCTTTTAAATGCTAATTGTTATCGTAATCAAATTTGTAGTAAACGTAGTCTTTATTTGAGGTTATATACTGCCCTAGCATTATCAACTTTAGTTGATATCTATATGTGGGGGAGTGCATACAAATTTTTTCCCTTGAGAAGACCATCGGGTTATTTCATTTTATTTTTTTTTGTCAAAATTTTCAATCAAGGTTAACACCAAGTATAACAAGTTAGAAGATGGCTCCAACCAAGTCAAGAGGTAGAAGAGCCGAAAAGAAATCTGCAGCTAGAGAAAGAGTTGCTAACGAAGAAACTGGAGAGTTCGAGCCTGTACAAGAGCAGCAAGAGATTTCAGAAAGTAGTGATGCTGTTAAACCAACTTTTTATGGTTTGGTCGATTCCAGTGAAATAGATTACTTCAAACAAGCTGAATCTACCCTTAACATAAATGCATTCGAAAGCGATGAAGACCGTACTGGGTTCATCAGATCGGTCTTGGAAGAATCTCGTGGGAAGGAATTAAAATTGGTCACAAATCAAATATGTTCCAAACTTATGGAAAGATTGGTCTTATATGGTACTGATAAACAATTGAAATCCATATTCAAGGCTTTTGAAAACCATTTTGTTGCTTTATCCCACCATAAATACTCTTCTCATGTTATAGAGACTTTGTTAGTTAGATCGGCTGCATTAATCGAAAAAGAATTAGCGAGTGACTTAACAAATGAGGAAGAAGATGAAGAAGAACAACAACAACAACAAGAAGAAGAAGAAGACTTGGATGTTCCAATGGAGTCTTTGTTCTTACTGATGTTAAACGAATATAAACCGCACATAAAATCAATGGTAGAACACCAATATGCTTCGCATGTTTTAAGATTAATTATCTTGATCATTTCTGGTAAAGAATTACCATCGACCACTGTTTCTAATTCAACTTTACGTTCTAAGAAATCCAAAATCGCAAGAAAAATGATTGAAATCAAAGATACTGATGATTTTGCAAGAGCTTTTGAAGTCCCGCCCTCTTTCAAAAATGAAATAAAAGATATTCTCAATAGTCTTTCTAATAATCAAGAAATGAAAAAAATGAGAGAGTTAGCAATCCACAAAGTTGCATCACCAGTTTTACAATTAGCAATTCAAGTCGAAGGTATAGTTGATAGAGAAAGATCTATCTGGCACTTAATTTTCCTCCCTGAAAACTCAGAAAAGGATTCACAAGAAGAAGCATTTGTGGAATACTTACTATCAGATTCCGTCGGCTCCCATTTCTTAGAAGCTATCATTAAAAATGATGGTGCAAGAATAAAATATATCTTCAGATTATATAAGCTTTACATGAAAGATCGTGTTTTGAAATTAGCGAAAAGATCAACTACCGGTGTCTACATCATACAAGCATTACTATTCAAATTAAAACCAGTCGAAGTTGAATATATCCTTGATCAAATCATTCCAGAATTGTCTGGTTTAATTTCTATATCTGAAAATCAAAACTTAGATCTCGGACGTTCCATTATTGATGCATCAATTACTAGAGGTAATTACAGAAGAGATGAACTCATTGATCAATTATTTATCAAGTTAGCTCCTAACTTGGACAGAATGAATCCGGGCTCAAATACTTCCACCGAATTATTGGAAAATACTTTACAATTAACTGGTTCTACCTTAGGTAATACAAGAGATGACTGGCCTACTGCGGAAGAAAGAAGAAGGTCGTTGTTTTTAGAAAAGTTAATGGCTTATGATTATTCTTTCATTGTTAGCGTATGGGCCAATTTCCTTGCGTTACCAATCGAAAGATTTATGCAAATGTGTTTCCATGGTGTCTTCTCTCATGTTGTTGAACATTCATTGATTGTTACAAAGGATGAAAGCAAAGATACTCTTATCATGAGAAAAAGATTTTTGAACATATTTCAAAACCAAATTGTTGCATTGGCTTGTAACTCATATGGATCCCATATAGTTGACAAACTTTGGGATTTCACTGTCTTGTTACCAATGTATAAAGACCGTATTGCGTCTGAATTACTTTCTGAATCACATAAAGTAAAAGAAAGTAATTATGGTAGAATGGTTTGGAAAAATTGGACCATGGAGTCATTTGTCAGAAAGAAGTATGATTGGAAAGCAATGGTTAAACAACAAGAAAATGACTATTATGCTAATGAAGAAGAAACCGAGAGAGTTAAAAAACCAATTGAATTAAAAATGGAGCAAATATTCAAAGCAAAACAAGCTCAAAAGGAGAGAGAAGAGAGTGCTGCTTCCAAATCCAATAAGCGTGCTGCTGATTTTGATGATATAAGTAAAAAGGTCAAGTTAAGAGGTCGTCGTCGTTAATTGATCTATATACAATCTATTTACAAGTTTTGAATGTAGTATTCTTTTAAAGTTTTCTCAGGTACACCGGTTGGACTTTCGACTACCGGATCAACTCCAGATTGATTTTTAGGAAATGCAATCACATCCCTGATACTTGGGCTACCAATTAACATAGCACATAATCTATCGAATCCTAAAGCTATACCGGCATGAGGAGGACATCCCATGCTCAACGCATGCAATAAATGGCCAAATAAATCATTATAATTTGTAATTTGTAAAATTTCTTCAAAAATGTATTTTTGTAATTCTGCATCATGAATTCTTCTTGATCCTCCTCCGACTTCAACACCATTGATCACCAAATCATAATGTTCACCTCTTACTGTTAAAGGATCAGTGGATAAGTAATCAAAGTCTTCCAATTTGGCCATGGTGAAAGGATGATGAGTCGATTCAAATCTATTGAAATCATAGCTTGGGAAATCATCACCAGCTTCACTGGTTTCAATGGGATTGAATAGTGGGAAATCGACAACCCAAGAACCAACAAATACTCGAGAAGAATCATAATCAGTCGTTACATTTTCCGCATCATCGACAAGTTTTCTATTCCATTTGTTGGGAAACTCATTCATTGCTAGTTGTCTAAATCTACCCAAAGGTGTTGGATTTTCATAAGGTAACTCGGCTCTATTACTAAAAGCTAAGACATCACCAGATTCTAAGTCAAGTTCAGCTCTCAAAGCAGATTCATCGAACTCCGGTGCTAGGTTGATCACATGTTTCTCAACAAACTTTTTATACCAAGTATTTGGGTCATTTATGGATATAACGATTGGTTTACGTCTAGAATAGTTATTTGAATCAGTTAGGCATTTTGGAATTTTACCTTCAACATTCTTAAGGACACAAGCTTCTACTATCGGAAAATCTGGATTCTTAGACGTGAAGAATTTGGACAAATTAACCAATTCCAAGCTAGACCTCAAATCGGGTTTATCGATACCATATTTAGCCAAAGCGTCACGGTACTTGAGCTTTGTGAATTGCAACGAGTCAAATTCGGTAACTTTCTCAAGCATATTATTGTCATTGACTCTGTAAGTTGGCATTTTTCCAATCTTGTTCCAAACATTATGTATAATGTCTTCAACTACGATACCAACTTGATCACTTGAGTTTATATAACTTAATTCCATATCGACTTGAGTAAATTCCGGCTGTCTATCAGCTCTCAAGTCTTCATCTCTAAAACATTTTGCAATTTGGAAATATTTCGTGAAGCCTGAACTCATCAAGATTTGTTTATATTGCTGTGGTGACTGCGGTAAAGCATAAAATAAGTTTGGTGATCTTGTGGGGACTAAGAATTCTCTTGCACCCTCTGGAGTAGACTTGAACAAGAGCGGAGTTTCAATCTCGTCAAAATCATGATTATTGATCAAAATGTTACGAATCAAGTTGGCAACTTTGCTTCTTGTTTTCAAAGAGTTTTGAAAAAACTTTGTTCTTAACTGTAAGTATCTAAATTGAGGAGGTAAATCATTGGGGTTAGAATGCTTCAATTTATCAAGTCTTGCAGCATCTAAATTACTATTATTAAGAATCTGGAAGTTTTTAACAACCAATTCTTGTTCAATATCGTTATCTCTTTGGTGCTTCTGTTTAACAAACCCACTGACACTGACTGAGTCTTCGGCACCACTAGACTTGACTAGCTCAAGAAATTCCAATGGGGTATGTTCTGGGTCCAACAATAATTGAATAGTGTCGCCATTTGCATCTCTCAACTCAGCGAAGCTCCTCGAGCTCCTCACTCTTGGTTTTCTGTTAAGATGCCCATTCAACGTTATGGTTTCATCCGTTTTTATCGTTTTGATTGTATGGGTTGCAACTGGAAAATGGAACTTGGCCAACGTTGACTCTTTATTTGGAAGTTGAGCTCGCAAGTATCTCGTCAGAAAATTTCTGAAAAACTGTGCCCGAGACATCCCGATATATACCTTCCCTTGCTTCTTAATCAACCTTAGTCTACCAATCAGGAGAAGTCTTCAGTATAAGTAAATGCTTTCATACGATTTGGTGATTTTTGAGAATTTTTTTTTTTTTTTTGTGTGTGAGTGTGCACCATACAAAGCTAATTGAATAGCCGCAAAAAATGTTAGCAGCTATTTATATAACTATCATTGGAGATCTGTTTAAACAGCACGTCCTTCAAATCTTCTGCATGATTGCATAGCTTGTTATGGGCAGTTTGTGGCATTTTATTATCTTGACGGGATCCGTTCATAACAGGCAGTACTCCAACGCGTCAACGGGGCAACTGTACCTATGAAGGGTCCGAAGTTTACCAGGAACGGGTCTTGCAGGAAAGAAACTCGAGATTAGAAGCTCGAAAAGTGGATTACCGTAGACTCTGGTGCTTAATGGGCTTTACTGTGTTTAGTAAACCACAGTATTCCAATTTCTTTTGATTACGACCACGTCTTGGCTTACGATGCCCAATAGCTTCTATCAGCACCTTGTTCCTCTTCATCAATAGGCCAATAGGCACTGCAGCTGAACCCCCTCAATCCCCTCTTCACAAATGAATCAAAGCTCCACCAAATGGTCTTCTCGACAATCCAAGGTAACTCGTTAAACATGTTAGCATGGGATTGTTAAAGCCAATTCGAAGACAAACTTCGGTGCACTTAACCTTTTGGACGACGAAAAAAAAATCCTGCTATAAAAAAAAAAAAAAAATCCTTTGGGAGTGTACAGCCTGTAAAGGGCTTAAAACGTGAAGTGAGAATCAACTAATGAATTAGAGCTTTGATTCTTTATTAGCTTGGAGAGTAGATAGGGTCAATTATGTTGTCAGCATTGTCGATAAAAAGACCGAGAATATTGGTGATCCTAGTTCCAATAAACTTGATTCTTATTATATGTTTACTCGGTTATATAAATGAAGTTTCGGTTGAAAGTTACTTGAGGCCAGTTAGTGTCAAGTCATTGACTAGTAAGTTTGATTTTAGTTACTTATCGAATAAGACTAGTGCTAATGTTGATACATTCAAGCAATATGGGTATCAGATCAAGCCTAAAAATGTCAAGTTCCAATATTTAAATTCCAAAAATAAAGACGGAGAACCAAAGCAGGTATTAGATATGAATACCGATACATATGAAAAAGTTGTTCAGAAAGAAATCAATGAGCCAAAGGATTACGATATCGAAAGCATAAGACCACCCGAGAACATAGATACTTATGCACGGGCAAATGCTACAATAGTTGCTTTGGTTAGAAATACTGAAATCACCAAGATCGGTAGAACAATTAAAAGATTTGAAAGCAGCTTTAATTCTAAATTCAATTATCCTTATACTTTTATCAATGACCAGCCTTTTAGTGATCGTTTTAAGAAAAGAATGGCTAAATTCACAAAAGCTAAAATTAACTTTGTTACCATTCCAGCAGAGTTATGGGATAAACCTTCATCAATTGATGGAGAGAGAGAAACAGCTGCAATGGATGTTATGAAAGATCACAATATAGCGTACGCCAAAATGGGATCCTATCATAACATGTGTCGATTTTATCTGGGGAATTTTTATAACGTACCAGAATTAACCAAATATAAATATTATTGGCGTATTGAGCCAGACGTTGATTTTTATACTGATATTAAATATGATGTGTTCAAATATTTGGAAGGAACCGGTAAGATATACGGTTTCACTATCAACCTTTATGACATTGACGAATCTGTGGCCACATTATGGCCAGAGACATTACGTTACTTGAATTCAGGTGATAATTATAAATACATTGATCCAAATGGCGCATTCCAATGGTTATTAGAAAATAAACAAAACCCAAAGAAAAACGTTGTCACTGGAGGTTATTCAACATGTCATTTTTGGTCAAATTTTGAAATTGGTGATATGGATTTTTTCAGAGGTGAAGCTTATAATAATTGGTTTAAATTCTTAGATTCTACCGGTAAGTTTTATTATGAAAGATGGGGGGACGCACCTGTTCATTCAATGGGATTGGCTTTATTTGCTGATCGTGATAAAATCCATTGGTTTAGAGATATCGGTTATAATCATGACCCTTACCATAACTGTCCTAATTCTCCAAATACCCAAGGTTGCAAAACTGCTAGTTTCAGTAGATGGAACCATTTGAAAGATCAAAATTGTATGGGTACTTGGATTGATCAAGCTATGGACGATCCCGACAAAATATATTAATACCCTTGCATTTTCCATGTATTATAGCTTTTCATTGTTAATTTTTGTCTTTAGGAGATCTAATTAATTTAATAAACTTTGATATATTGTAGATTTCAAAACCTAGCATCTCACTAATAGTGAGCCGATGTAATTCCCTTTTCCGCTTTTCTTCTCTTTGATGCTCATGTTCCGCTACTAGATTGGTCGATTCCTATTCTGAAATCTCAAGCTATTGAGTAAAAGAGTTGCAAAAAAGATGTTATCATCATTTTGACTAATTACGCACAACCAACAAATGCGGGCCGATTTCCTTTGCAGCCACAGTTTCCCTGCACAACTTACGGACCTTATAAATAAGCAACTAACTTTCAAAGGTTTTGAAGAAAAACAAGTCTCTATTCAAGAGGATATTAAGAAAAATGGCTCCATCAGCAGCAACATCTAGTGAGATTGATGCTATTGTCGAAAGATTAGCAACCATCAAACCAATTGGTCGTGGTAACTATAGAGAAGAATATAAAGGAGGTTCAGGAGATAGTTGGATTGAACATTTACCAGCATCGACTCGTCAAAGATTTGAAAAGCATGGTATTGATTTGTCCAGAGGGTATCCGGTACGTCCACCGATCGAAAAAATTCCCAAGTTCATTGATGAAGCATATGCCGTTAGGGATCATGATTATCCATTTATTGAAAGAGGTAAGAACGCTGATCCCGAAAAGAAAGCGTTATTTGGAGCTGCAAAAGAAGTTAAGCATTTATCTAAATTCGTTGGTACTGAGCTTGTTGGTATACAACTAAATGATTTAACTGACCAACAAAAGGATGAATTAGCCTTATTAGTTGCCGAAAGAATTGTTGTATTTTTCAGGGATCAAGATTTAGCACCTCAAAAACAATTAGAGTTGGGAAAATACTGGGGGCAACTTGAAATACATCCACAAGCACCAAGAGTTCCATTAGGAGAAGGAGGACTAACTGTTATTTGGCCTGATTATAATAAGAGATCAGGATTACCAATGACTTTTAGAAATTCGAGGGTTGGTAATAGTATATTTCATTCTGACGACGTTCACGAAAAAAATCCTGCTGGTATAACTCATTTATACTTAGATGCTATTCCAGACATTGGTGGTGACACTGTATGGGCATCTTCTTACGGTGCTTATGATAAACTTTCACCAGCATTTCAGAAATTTTTAGATGGGAAGACTGCTATTTTCAGATCAGCTCATCAATACGCTGATCGAGAAAACCCCTTGAGAGGAGCCAAATACATTGAAAGAGAGCACCCTATTGTTAGAACGCATCCCGCAACTGGTTGGAAAGCTCTTTTCGTTAATCGTTCAATGACTGTAAGAATTGTTGGCTTAGAGCCAGATGAATCTAAATTAATCTTGGAGTATCTTTTCGATGTATACGAGAAAAATTTGGATATCCAAGTTAGATTCAATTGGAAACCAACTAAGCCAGGATTAGGAACTGCAGCCATATGGGACAATCGAGTATCACAACATAGTGCTGTTCCTTTTCTAGATAGTGATTACGATTACGAACTTAGAGGGAAGGGCAAAAAGGACGAGCGCCATGGGACCAGAAGTATCTCTTTGGCAGAGATACCATTTTTCGATCCTAATTCAAAGTCACAACGGGAGGCTTTAGGTTTGTAAGAATAAAAGATATTTTGTGTGTATTGTATAGGGGCTGTAGTATAAAAAGTAATGATTTTCCTGGTTGTAAAAAAAAAAAAAGAAAAAAGGGGACTTTGAAAAAAATCGAAAAAACCAACTATGACTCAGCACCAAAGGGAGCCTACCAATGCAGACCGGTACTATATCTGTCGTAATTTCAACAAGTATTATATAAACTTCAATGTTACTGGGGTGTATAACAAGCGGATTGAGGACGGGGCCATTCGTGGAGCACTCCGTAGGTTAATGTTGAATAATAGTACTTTTGTTTTGAATGCATTTCGAACAGGTTGTATCGAGGAGGATACCCAGAGAGATTATCGGAATTTTATATTGAAGCCGGTGAAAGAGATCAGGTACGAAGATGTTGTTGAATGGCGGGAGATTAAAGAGTTCAATGAACAGGTTTTGGAAGAAATTGGAGAAATTGATTTCGAGATGAATGTGGATAAGCCGTTGTTCAAGGTATTGATTAGCCAATGCGGCGACAAACAGTATGTTACTTTCCTCTGTGACCATATATTATTTGACGGTGGGTCGGGGGCATTTTTCCATGAAGATTTGATTAGAGAATTGGCCAGGGGAGAAACAAGATCCAGTGCGGTTATCTTTAATTATGAGCAGGATTATGAAAAGTTGGCTCCCTTGAGCCCCCCCGTTGATGAGATCAGTGATTTGTATACCGCGTCGTTAATCCAGAAGGTTAGCATCATTGTACTGGAGATGATTCCTGGGTTTATCAAGAATATATACCGTCGATGGTTCATCAAAGGATTCCCTGACTTGAGGCAGAACCCAATTTTCACTTATAAGCCCAAGACCAAACTGATACGAACCGGGTATAAGATGATTAAGTTTGATCCATCACAAACGCAACGGGCAGTAGAGTATTGTCGTAGCCAGCAAGTTACCCTTACGCCATTTATTGGAGCGGTGGGATTATCAGCATTACAGGATACTATAATCCCACGACTTGCCAACAATGCCACGGTACAATACTCCTTTAAGTCCAACCTAGTGTTTTCCGGGCGCCGGTTTCTCCCTGATTACCGGTATGGGGTATGTGTCGGATCAGTCGACTGTACTATAGGGCCCATTAAATCGATAATTGAAACCACAAGAGTATTCGCCAGACAATTGAAAGGGGCAATAAGTAACTTGAAGAGTATCCAAAGAATGGGGTTACTTGGATTGGTTAACATAAAGGATTTCTTATTCAATAGATTGGAAAACTATTCAAAACTGACCTTGGAAGTATCTAATCTTGGAATTAAAAGTCTTGTCAGCGGAGAATGGCAGATTGAGGATTTGATATTCAGTCAAAATATCGGGATATCCCATTACTTTGGCTTCCTGGTGGTGGGCACCCCCACGGGAGGCACCAATCTAGTATTGGGATATATGAAGGAATTTGACGACTTGGAACCAAACGCATGGAACCAGTTTATCAAGGACTTTGAATCCAAATTTGATTACTGCGAAAAGTGAACCAAACAAACAAACAAAAAAACAAAACGAAAAAAAAAAAAAAAAAAAAAAAATCAATAAAGTATAACGTTTTTTAATTTACGCGGGTTAACCTGGATACTCAGGCCTTCGTCTGTTTGACGACCACTTTCTGTAAAACACTATTACGACAGGCGCTGACGAGATCAAACAAGCACCCTACTCAAGGGAGGGCAGACTCGTTTCAAGCTAGTATTATCAAAAGAGTAGTCCGTAAGTAGGCGCCCGAAGACTAAATCGAGAATACAAAATCAAAACATGAAATTAAGTATTTGAAATTACTGAACTGAATCTGTACAAAGACGACACAGGGTGGTGTCAATAGCTTAACGATCGAAAACTGTTTCTAGAAAACGGGAACCCATTCTGGGGAAAACAATACGCCCATAAGGCGGGTAGTCCTGATAACCATTTCGGATTATTCTACAAGAGGCTGAGACGCCAGAGATGCTTCGTGGTAATCCATCAAGCAATCTTGTGCAGTTCAAAAGACCCAACCAGTGGGTACAGCCCCATGTCAAAGGGGGGATTCCACTGAAAGAAGAAGAACAAGAACAACAACTACGGCAGAGGGGGTACGGGTGCCGCTCTTTTCTCCATTGGTACACGAGGCACTAACCAACCCAATCGAAGAACCGAAATAGTAACCCAGGTCCTTAACCTTTTTCCGTTTTGACAATCTCATGGCACCTGAATTGGAAACACTACGAGATAGTGTGGTTATCTTCCCGTCCAGCCCTTGTGGTGGCCAGATAACCTCCTTGGTTTATTTTTAATGTTCGGGCAGTCCTATCTTTATCAATACAAATAAACAAATGGAGCATGTAAGTAATATAAACAAAAAAAAAAAAAAAAAAAAAAAAAAAAAAAAAAGAACAGATGCTAACAAAACCAAAAAAAAAAAAAAAAGTGTCAATACAATAAAAAGGCACACAGATTCTGTGTGATTAAAACAAACAAACGAACAATTTAGAAGTCTATATAAATAGCAATACTTCGCTCCACCTTTGGACAAACGGCTGTTCAATATTGTATTCTACTTATTTTAGTACTAGTCTTTTTCTGATTGGCATCTGGGTTTAGCTTCGAAGTTTCAATATGAATAATCACAACTCCATGGCCGTCAATAACAACCCAATAATTACAACCACCAACACCACCGATACCACCAGCAACAACCAGCCACCGGCCCCAAGAAGAGTGCCTTCGGTGACGTTTGCACCCTTTCCAGAAATCAGTCAAAAGCCCCATCTTCCTTCTATCACCAGATCAAGGTCTTCCAGTCACACCAGTACCTTGGGTAACCCGGTGAACCACGATTACTATAGCGACAATAAGAGAAACCATTCGTTATCGGTGTCTTCGGTGAACTCTGTCGATTCAAACAACTCTTCCATTTATAACCAATTCGATCAGTTTGAAAAAGATGATAAGAATTACTTTTATCCTGCTTCAAAGGGGAAGATCAGACTCATGGACGATGTTGATTTGGAAAACCAATTGATCATCACCGCCGGGGGGAAACGAGAACATGTCATGGGGTTTTTCTGTAAATTACTCTTCCTCATGTTTATCGTTTTTGGTTCTGGGGTATTGATTTTTTATGCCTTATAATTTGAACTTTTTATTTACCCAGCTTAAAAACCACAAGTTTAACGTGTGTTTCTTTGGCTCATTGATTCCATTACTTTTATTTCTTTAGCATCTTCTTTTCCGTGTCCTTGTCATTCATTTCTTCTTCTTTTTTCTACTGTGTTTATTTGCATCACATTCTTTTCACTACGGTCTTTTTTTACGCATGGTTCATACCCTATCTTTACATACTGATTTCTTACATACTCTTGACTTTATAGTATCAAATAAAAAGTTTTCATGATTTAGTCATTCCTAATGACCATCATCGAAATTGCAACTTTATTCGGGCTGCAGTACTGTACATTGTCTTGGTCGGGGTTTTTTTTGCCCGGTTTCGCTCACGTGACCGGGCATTTCCGAGGGGGAGGGGCAGAAAGATCAAAGAAATGAAAAATCGGTCTCCCAAAAGAATGTGCAACCCTAACGGCAACGGCGCAAATGTTATCCAGGAAAAGTCTAGTGAGGTGCCGGTATCAGTGGATACGGTTCAACTCATCCAAGAAACCTCCGCAAGAGGATGATGGCAATTCTGCGTTATTATCGAGATTCAATCAAATTCTAGAATCAAAAATTGAAGACTCTACTCCAAGCTCATTGGTGGATCACGACCCCAAACTTCGGGAAATGTATCAAAATTACTCTACGAATGATTCGAAAGATAAGGCTTTCCGTAGCAGTCATCAGGTTCAATTGGGGTTATTGAAAAGTGAACCCCTTTTAAAACATAATAACCATGCAAGAGATATCGCTGATACCATCACCAATAAACCTTGGGATGGTAAAGAATCTAGTTATGATTCCAATTTGAGAATGATCATAGACTCCAAGCCTCCGCCTATTGCCATGACCAAACAATCAAATCGTATCATGACTCCTCCTTTAAATGCAAAAGATCGTTTAATAAATGCTAAAGAATCAAGTTTAGATTATAAAGTTAAAAAAAATGATGATAAATCAGATAAAGAAAAAGATGATGACAATTGGCGGGAATTATATCGAGAAAGATTGCTAGGTCCATCCATGTTAATCAATTCTGCTAGTCCTAACACTACATTGGGTCTTATTAATAAACTAAGCGAATCGGCAATTAATAGTTCTATCAATCAACAAACTGGTCAGTTTGATTCTCCCAATATGGCCTCGGTTAGAGGTAAACCTTTAGACCGAAACCATTTGGCAAATAGTACCGATTCAAACTATTTTATTAACCAAATTTTAAATAAACAAGAAATACTACCTCCTTGGATTGAAAATCAACAAGGTATTGATCGTGAAGCAAATGCTTTTAGACTTGATCTAGATAAAAAATGGTTTAATTCAATATTCAATAAATTGAAAATCGATTTCAATACTAATAAAACTTTGATTCTAAATCATATCAATTCGACTAATTTACAAAATTATTACTTACTTGATTTCCATAATAAACAATTACCTTTTGTCATTGCTAAAACTAATTTAATCAATAAATCAATTAGAGATTATAACTTGCAGTGTCCAAGTACAAGTTTACACAAGTTTAAATTAGTAGCAGAAAACGAATTGAAGAAATCTTTCGAAAGAGTTACTAATCAATTGGATCAATTGGTAAGAGATTGGTTTCAACAAGAAGAATACGCCCGTATCAAAGGTAACAGCGAATTATTAAATTATAATAAAAATATGGACTCGGGTGGTTCTGGCTTGTTTGGATTATTTGATTCCGGACCTGGAGGTAGCTCTGGTTCGACTTCTTCAAATTATCGCTTACAAGATCCAAATTCAACAAACGATTTACGTATTTGGCAATCAATAAAGGACATGTTTAAATCATGAATTTGTTTATATATATGTACACTGTATATAATAATTAACGTTTTGAATGAATTAAAATAACGGCTATGAAAACAATAATTAAATGGAATTTCCAAAATTGTAATACCTTATATATAAAACCTTTGTTTTCATTAATATTACCGTCAATTAAATTATTATAAAATGCTTCACTCATTTGCTCTCTCAGAAATATCTTTTTAACCCTTTCTAACCCATTGGATCCTAATTTTGCTTTGGTGGCATCATTAAGTCTTGTATAAAATTCAAACATTGTTTCTGCCCATAATTCCTCTTTTGGTGTCTTATTATATCCAGTGGCGTCTTCTATATTGGTACCGTCAAAATTAACAACCGATTCTAATGGACCTCCATGATTCACAGCTAGGACAGGGGTTTCGTATAACATACTTTCAACGGGGACAATTCCAAAGTGTTCAAATCCTGGGGTATACAATAATAATTCTGCATTTCTTATCAAGGAGTTTTTGATTGATGTTCTGATTGATGGGAGGAATAAAACTTCGGTTGATGGCGGCATGACAATAAGCTTGCCCCTAATCGTAAAATGTTTTAAGTTCAATGTATTTGCTAAGTCTTCTAATTCTTTTAAGTGTTCCACGTTTTCAATTACTCTAGAATCGAACCCACCGGCAATGATTAATTTAGGTTTCTCATTAGCCGGTAATTGTGATTTGAACTTTGCAAAAGCTTTTAAAGCCAATGCAATATTCTTGGTTCTCTCAAAACGATTAATCGAAAGAAAGAATTTAGAACCTTTCAAAAACTCCTTTAATTCAACTTCACTCGAGTGATCAGCTTCAGTTAAAGTTGAAGCAGCACCAACGTCAACACAAGGGTAAATTACACCTGGCTCAATATCATTCAATCTACCAAATGTCTTATGGAAAATTCCCTTTGTAAAGTTAGAATTAACAACTATCTTATCACTTACCCCTGTTGTCCATTCTTCAATTAAGTCAAAAGGTACTCTATAAAGGCTTTTGATAAGACCGCCCTTTCTGGCTAATAGTTGATCGGGGAAATGACAATAAAATAAAATTTTACAGTTTTCATTACTGAACAAACTAAGTAAAGGAACTGCAAAGGATAATTGATCCACGATAAAGTAATCGTATTGGTTAATCTCACCAGTAAAGATGAGCTTTAAAGTAAGATAAAATTGTCTTAATATAGCAAAAAAAATATGAAACTTCTTAAGAAATTGGGTAGGAAAGAAATCTCCATATACCGTTACTTGAAGTATACCACTACTGACTTCTTCAAAACAGTGGGTTTTATCGCAATGTGAAGTATAAACACGAACTTCGTTACCCAATTCTTGTAACCCAACAGCAGCATCAACCACTAATCTCTCAGCTCCACCGATACCCAAATCAGGATGAACAAATGCAATTTTCTTGCCTCCTTTTTGCTTGAGGTCTGACATTGTCTATATTACTTCAGATATTTAGCCATCGATCTGAAAGGCCAGATAACGTTATTCTATTTTTTTTTTTTTAGTTGTTCAAACAAAACAGACGAAAAAACGCATCAGAAGCCAAACATCCGCGCATCGAATTTGATTACTGCAAAAATCATGAGTTTTGAGGAAGAGTTGCCAACGTCGAGTACATTTGGTATGAATATATAAGAGGATTTACAAACTTTGAGCCTAGAGATGCAAAATGATAGCAATAAGGAATAATAGATGTATATAAATAAAGAATAATGTACAAGATGGTTTTGTCATAACGGAATAAATTAAATAGATCAACTTTCTTGAGTGATTGGTTGTTTTTCAAGAGCAATTCTAGCTTGTTCTTCTCTTTCCTTCTTTTTCTTCAATTTTTCGGCTTTTCTGTCAAATTTTACATCAAGAGGATTGAAACCTGCTTCCTTCGATCCCCAGACAGCCCATTCTGGAGTTTCTTTGATGTAATCCATATCGGTAAACTCTTCACCACTTTCGACAAGCTCGAAAAATCTTGGATAGTCGATATGAGTATGCCATTTATTATTTATTTTGAATTTAGTGTGGGCAATTAAAATACAACAGGAATGAGCGTGTTCTGCTGCAACTTCGTAATCATAACCTCTTGATTTCAATTCTTCAGACAAATTGATAACGAATTTTCTACATTCTTCATAAAATGGAATATTTTGCATGGTCAATGGATTACCATTACCTGTAGATGAACCACAGAAAGTAGCACCTTTAACTTCAATTTGGGAAGGTTGGGCACGGATCACCATATCAGCATAACCTTTAATTTCATCCATATTGAAACCTTTAACCAAAGTTAATCTGAAGACAGTACGTTGATGGGATTGCACGGTTCTAAGGATATCTAAACATTCCATCAATCGTTCCCAGAAATCACTATTTAAAGGACGGTCAATCTTCTTCAAATCAGTTTTGGTTGGTGCATCAATACTGACATATAATTGAGTAACCTTACACAATGATCTTAAATTATCAGGATGTTGAGCATTACAAACCAAAAATGATGAAATACCTCTTGAATGAAGCTCATTTTTAATTAAAGAAGAAATTTCCAAGTATGAAATAGGTTCACCAACCAAACTAAGTGCCGCGTGTTTGACTTTGAAAGCTTCTTCAAATCTATCCATTTGAATACCAGGAACGCCTCTCATTTGTTTAATTTTTTGATAATGGGCTTGTAAAGCACCTTGAACAATTACATCTGGAGGATCTAATTTCCAACGCCAAGTCAGTTTAGCAACAGGGTTGGTACCATGACGCCAACAAAAAACACATTTGTTAGAACATGCCAAAGAAGGTGTAAATTCCATACATAAATGGGATCTAATACCATAAAATGCAAATTTATAACATGAACCTCTTCCTCTTAAAGCACTTTTAGTCCAACGACAAATTTTAACCCCGGAATGAGATCCAATAATTGAATAACCTTGTTTTGTTAAGGATTTATAAGTTGGAGAATTCTTAGAAACCATTTCTTTTGCTTCGGATTTTAATCCATCAGTACCTTGTTTTTTCATTATATCTCCCATATCTTCAACATCGACCAAAGTTTCACCATCACCATCGGTAGAATCACTTTCTTCTTCTTCTTTGTCGCTGTCTTCAAAATCGTCATCATCTAAATAAAATGGCTCATTATCGTTTAACAATCCGGCAAAGTTTTGGATCCATTCATTGGCAACTGGTTCACCTTCGTATTTCATACATACTTCACCAAGAGGATATAATCTTCTCCCACCTAACTTACCTAACCACTTATCTGCCAATCTAGCTTGGTAACAAAATTTTTCGGGCCAGGATTCCGAATCACCCAAACCTAGAACTGCAAAGCCTAAAAGGGATTTCAATGGATACTTATCAACACGGAAATCATTATAAGTTTCTGTGAGATGGTCCAAAAAGTAATCAATAGGGGAATCAATTTCATAAGAGGGTAAGACCATGACGTATATATTTTTAGTATCACCATTTTGTTTTGGTGTTTTCAAAAAATATTCTTCCAAATCGTCAACGTCATCATCCAAACTCAACAATTTTGGAGGGTTTTTCAAATTATATAAGTTATTCAATTTTTCGTTTAAAGATTTGGCAATACGTTGAGAAGTTCCGGTCAAAGATGTATAAAAAATATAAATTTGTGATTCAAGCAAATCAACAGTTGTTTTCGTTAAAACTGGTTCTGTAGAGGTCTTCTTTACCGGTTTAGAAGCCTTGAATACTTTTGGAGTTCTTTTAGCACGAGATCTTAAAGAGGATATAGTTTTAGATTTTGTTGGGGTAGGATTAGCTGGAATATTACTTGTTTCATTAGGGGTGAAAGTAGTAGAAGTAAAATCAACTGCATAAATGGGTGACTCCTTAGTCTTGGAATTTGACTTTGGCTTCAATCTGGGTTCCAGATCTGCCTTGACTTCTCTTGCCTCATTGATTTGTGATGTCTTCTTTGATTCGACACTATGTTGGTGCAAATAATACGCAGCAGCACCGGCAAGAGCTATGGACAAACGCCCACCAGAAACCAAGTATACTGCAATACATAGAACTAGCAAGTACAATCCACTGGCCATCGTTGAGTGTAAGTTGTCAAAAAAACTATGCTTCCTTATAAGCTATTTTTCACTTTTTTTTCACTTTTTCAGTACTTTTTTTTTTTTGAGATGCTGCGTACTAAAGAAGAAAGAGTATGTGCAGTATCAAATGTCAGCATGATAAAATAGAGCCTCTACTATTAGACTGAACAGGAGTACAGGTATACTGGAGAAACGTGAATTAGAATGATGTATAAGGTTGTTCACTTTATGCCCTGAGGCATTGGCATACTATGTATTCGTATCCCACTGTTTTCACTACCATTAGTAGTCAATAAATTCTTTATATGCGAGTTGATGTAGCCTAAGAGCAAATTTGCAGCATTAGTCAAAAGTTTCTCCAGATAAAAAGGACAAAAAGTGTTCGATTATATCTAACTTTGAAGGGGTTTTCTTTGCAGCTGGTTTGAAATAATATTAAAAATGAAGTTATGCGAAGAGACCAATCGGACATTGTTATCAGGTAATCCCAAACCTTCCGAGTACAATTGGTATCGACCAAGAGCGAATTGGAATGTTACTGATATTTCAAAAGCAGCAGATCTTCAATTTACAGAGGACGGAGATTCTGAGTTTTCTTCATTTTCTAGTTATTTCATGCCACCAGAGGTCAGTGAAGACTGGCAGCTTGAAGGTGGTATTTCCAATTCTACTTCACATTCTGTGGAGAGAAATGATATGGATATGAGTGAATTGGGTGAAACAAAGTCGGACAAAGTAGTGGAGGGACTCTATAACCCAGCCAATTCAGAAGAGAGAAACTCAATGGTCACTTTGAATCAGAACTATAACTGGTTGAATAATTATCCTGAAGGTGATCTAATCCAAGCTTTAAGCGGAGTGCAACAGCCGGTTGGTCACGCTACTACAGAAAATGATATTAGTTCTGATTTACTTGTGGAAAATGTCATTGCCCAGTATAATGTTGACTTTGCCTTAATGAACGCTTTTGAAGTGAATAATAGTCACGATACCGGACCCCAACCCATGGGAATGATACTAGATACAAAGCCTGCAAAGGAGGCAGCACATGTCGACTTGGATATTTCAAATGAAGAACACTTTACTAAGTTGGGAAGATTCCAAGTGAGCCCGATCATATCACCACAACTTGAAATCACCCTTGAAGAATCACTGATCCAATGCTTGGAAGTGGTTATTAACTACAATGGCTATATGGGCACATTAACTGCTCCAGTCAAGCCTGAATACGCTGCATTGACTAATAGAGCAAGTTTCCGCCACGACTATCGATATTTAACCAATAAACCAACAGAAGCAATCGAGCCCAACGAGGATGGGTTTCATGAAATCTCCGGAGCATTGCAAAGAATCAGATACACCCGGGATATCAGTGAGTTACATGGCACTGTATCAAATATTGAGTATTTTGAAAGCAGGGTTTACGATGTAACTAATCCTTACGAACCACAGTATTATAGATTCGAGCAAGACGATAATGGGAATAAGGTTAACGGTAGTAAATGTGGACTATGTCCGTATTGTCAAGAGGTTAAATTCTTACCGTTTAAAAACTCCAGCTATCTTTCCCATTTGACTTTGGAACACGGGATTTTCTCCAACAATTATTTAATCCCCGATGGTTTGTATTATGGAATTTACTTGACTTCTAAAACTAGTTCCACTCCCCAAACCGACGACTTTATCAGCAGAGGCAGTTCACCTACACCTTCACCGCCCCAGCGTGGCCGCAAAAACCATCATAAGTTACGTCATGCAAAAGCCATTCAATGCCCTGCTTGTTTCCAAGTAATTGAAGTCTGTTGTTGGAGCATGAAGGTGAACCCTTTACTTAGTTACTTCAGGCACTTCAAAAAGCACCATAGTGACTTAACGGTCAACAAGAACAACTACAAAGAATATTTTAACACCAACAATATCGTCAAAATCACCAAAAGAGGTCGAACCTTAAAGACAAAGTAATGTTAATCTGCTCTTCCCTTTGGTATGCTCTGTATTTCTTACCTGTATCCACTACTTAATTGATCACATGTAATCACGTGTATAGAACATGCTTCTTCAACCCCCTCTACCATACTGTAGGTCTTTTTGTAATTTTAAATTTTTGCAGTCTCTCAATTGCTGCAATTACAGAGATTCCGGGTTTTTTCTCAACTTCAACAAAAACCGATGAACGAAATAACGAAAAACAAAAAAAAAAAAGAACAAAAGAACAAAACTTCACCTTCATCACTACAGTCGTACGAAATCACATCAATCAAAACTTTAAGTATACCCATAGCCTTAGGCCTTATAAAACCATCCCACCCAACCGAATCGATTGGTGTTTTTGCAGTTCCCTTTAATATCACACGCCGCAACCGCATCCCCTGTTGAGTGTGTTTTGGTTTTTCTTTTTTTTTTTTATTTTTGTCATACTGAAAAACGGCTCGGTGTGAGTAAACCGACCAATTTTGACAATTTTGCTTTCTCGGTGGAGTTAAATCACGAAGTAGTCGAAGGTATCGAAGCTTATCTTTTACTTTTGTTTTAATCGCTTACTTGGATCCAAGATTACTTGTTTAATAGGTTAGATTCAGTCAAGTTTGTGTGTTTTTCTTCATTGAAAAAAAAAAAAAAATTCTTCCATTTGTCGATATATCACTTATAGGTTCGAAGAAACAGAGAGAGAGAGATTGTTATCTTACGAAACCGTTAGTTTTAGTTTTCCAATCAAATAATGGCAACTAAATCTCAAGAGGTTATAACATTAGCTAGCGTACGCTCACTTAATAACCATAATTCAAATTCGACTGATTCAGTAACTTCAAGTCCTAATTCCAACGCAACTTCTAAATCTCAGAGACCTATTATTTGGAAAGATTTTGGAGTCTATTTAGATAAGAAGCTTGATTATCAACTTGATTCTGATTTCATTAAAAGTTCTTCCACTAGTTCCCATTTAATCTCAAATCATACTCCGGATTCATCTTATTTATCCCAGGTTATCAAGTATAAGATTTGCACTTCCTGTAATCGACCAATTGGTGAAGAATCGTTATCAACACATTATCCTCGTTGTATAGAAATGAAACAAAAGAAACAACAGCAACCACAAAACCTTTCAGAAGCTGATACCAACGGTGTTGCATCAAATAATAAGCGTAAAAGAGGTAGAGGTGCCAATCCTCTATTAGACCTAGATCCTTCTTCCGTTGATTCTTCTCGGAATTCGAGTCCAATACCAAATTCTGCTGCTTCCAAGAGTGATACCACAACGAAACCTAAAAAGAAGTATAAGAAATCTCAAACTCAAAAGGATAAGGAAGCTGCTAATGCTGCTGCCGCTGCTGCTGCCGCTGCTCTTCGAAATAATTCTGTTTCTTCGAAAGATGATTATTCTTCTAACCTAGGTCAATCACCGAAAAAGGAGCCAGCTGGTACTGGTGCTAAAGATGATTCAGGAAAGAAGAAGAAACAAATGAAAGCCAAAGGTCAAGTTAAACCAAAGGGCCCAGTTGATGTTGAAAAACAATGTGGAGTTCCATTACCTGCTGGAGGATTTTGTGCTCGTTCATTAACTTGTAAAACTCATTCAATGGGTGCTAAAAGAGCTGTCTTGGGTAGAAGTGCACCTTATGATGTTTTATTACAACAATATCAAAAGAGAAACCAAGCTAAATTGGCTGCAAATAATGTATTGGCAGCTCAAAGAAGAGAAAATGCTCATTTTAATGGTGGAGGACAAGATGATCAAGATGGTAATGCAATTAATGCTCATAAAATACTTGACCCTGATGAAGAAACTCATTTGGTATTAGAAGGTTTATCTAAAAACTACCCAATACCGTTGGAAAGAAAGATTATGGTACCAGCCAAAAACCGTCATAAATTTTTATACATGAGAGAAGCTTATGCAAATGCCTTAATAACTAGTGGTGGCAATTCTCAAAATTCTCCTGGTAATCAATCTACCGATCAAACTTTGGCTAATCAAGCTATATCTGGGTCTATTGGTGGTTTACAAGGTCGTTGTGCCTTGGTTAATGTTGATACAAGTAATAACGATACCAATGATCCATCAAGTCAAGCATTTGCTGCAATCCCTGGTGAGTTGTATCAAGTTAGAGCTCCTTCAAAAGCCATATTAATGTCCGCTCAATATAATGCTCAGCAACAACAGGCTTTCCAACAGCAGGTTATGAAGATGCAACAACAACAACAGCAACAGCAGGTGTTGTTAATGAAGCAAAGACAAGCCAGAGCTCAGGCTCAGGCTCAAGCTCAGCAAACAGCAAGGCTGTCTTGAATTCTAATACTTGTTACACAGTATGTATTAAGGGAAAAAATGTATTAAATTTTTAAATATATGTAATGCAATAATTGTAAAGAACTGAAATGAAAAGCTAGAGAAAAAATTGAAAAAACATGATTAATTTTTTGACCGAACTTTGGGCCAGTAAGGTTTATTTTTAACTATCCAGGGATGAGAAGGAAGGTCGGCAAGGGGTAATCTTTTAGAAGGGTTTCGCTGTAATAACTTTGTGATTAAGTCAGCAGCATCATCATCAACGTAAACTGGGATTTTGAGATCTACTTTAGCGATTCTTCTATAAGTTAATTGATTATTTTCATCATCAAAAGGAGGTTTCCCTACCAAAAACTCGTAGCATAAAACTCCTAAAGCCCAATTGTCAACAGAGAAATCATGAGCTTTTGATTCCACCATTTCAGGCGGGAGATAATCAAGGGTACCACATATTGTTAGTCTTTTCAGGTTTGAAGGGTTCACTTGAACAGACCAACCAAAATCACTTAGTTTGATTGTTTTATCCGCTGCCAATAAGATATTTTCCGGTTTAATATCTCGGTGGATTATATTTTGCAGATGTAAATATGATAATGCATTTGAAACCTGATATATATAATTTGAAGCGGTGATATTATCAAAACGACGTTTCAATTGTAGATGGTGATATATCTCACCATGTAAAGCGTATTCTAGAATGAGATAAACATTTTTGTCATCATAAAAGAATCCCAAGAGTCTACTGATTTGATCATGTCTTAATTTCAGTTGAATTTCAATTTCACGACGGAAATTCTTCTCCAATTTGAATTCAATCAAATCCTTTTTGGACATCACTTTGATAGCAGCAACGTATCCTGATTCTTTATGTTTAACACAATAAACTTTCCCCAATTTACCTTTACCTAAAATTTTCCCAATTTCAAAATCATTCAAGCACATCAGATTGGATGTTGGTTTGGGCAAATTAACCTCTACGTTCTGCTGTGATCTGCGTAGCCGTGATTGCACTAGTGGCTTCTGGGGCTTGCTTATTTTGGATTGGTTTGTATCAAGGGTGTTGATTGAAAATTTATTTAATGGTCTTCTTTGCAGTTGGAGCTGTTGATGTAGCTGCTCCTGTTGTCTCTGATGGTGCTGGAGATACGACGACGACCGCCGGACGTTAACTGCAGACGACACAGACTTTGGCTTCTCCGCCAGCATACTCTCCATGATCCTCCTGGTGCTGTCTTGTAAAAGGCTTGATCTGATCAATCTTCTATCACAAATGAAAACAAATTGGCTACAAAGAAGACGCGTTCGTAACACCCGTACATTTATGTTTTTTTTTCTTTACATCCGTGCCGCCGAAAAATGCTCCTTTCATCCTGCCGCACCCGTACACCACAGGATTTTGAATTATTACCGAATAAGGTAAGTACCACCAGAGCCAGGACTTCCTATTCCCCGGAGATGGGTTTGAACTAGGAGTATAATGGTTAAGACAAAGTGGGATTGAGGTGTACCGCAATGCGAGGTCTTCATACAAACAACTCTAAAGCTATTCATTTGTTGGGCATTGTCGTATAATGCGCAGTTACTCATACTTTTCTTAAGATTTTTTTTTTTTTTTGGTTTTTTTTTCATTTTGTTCTTCGGACTACTGACGATTGTGGTAAGGTTAGAGGTATATTTAATTCAAGTTTTGGCTAATTGAACGTAGCATTAGTATCGGCAAGTATAGAAGAGGGAACCGTTTACTGTTTATCGATGTTATTTGAGCATTGTTAATAATATATATCATTAATAAGCATAATAAGATAATTTTTCACGATAGTTTTTTTATGGGTCGCTTATACGATATTTCCAATAAAAAGGATCTAGTTGATCTTCAATTTGCTGATCCAGGTACTATCAAGATAGATTGTTCTGGTGCATACATTGCGAATGATCATTTATTGAGAGAACAGTTTAGTAAGAGTCCAACGCCGAGTATTTCACCAAGTCCCGAAAATTCATCATCATCATCGGAATCTGATGATGATCAAACGAGAGTTTATGAGAATATTGACGTGGAAACTGCAGTTCAGAATAGTCATATAACGTTATCCAAAGAAGACACCAAGAATATCACGTTACCACAGCACAATTCAGATATTATCCATATAAGTGTTGATATTGGAGGAACATTAACCAAGTTAATTTATTTCACGAGTCAATCAAATGGAGGAGGGAAATTACATTTCAGAGATTTCCAGACGGAAAATTTCAGTACCGAGGTTTTGAAGTTTATGATTAGGTTGATAACCAAGTCAATTGATAAAGAAAGTTATCCACCAATTACTTATATCATGGCTACTGGTGGAGGAGCCCATAAATTTTACGATTTAATGACCAAGACTTTTTCAAAAAATAAATTACCAATGAAGATTATAGCCAAAGATGAAATGGAGTGTTTAATCAAGGGATTGGATTGGTTAATTACCAAGATCCCCAATGAAATATTCATCTATGATTTAAAAGAAAATACTACGAAATTTTCAAATAAATTAGATAAACTGATTTATCCGTATTTGTTGGTGAACATTGGTAGTGGGGTCTCGATGATTAAAGTTACTGGACCCGGAATATTCGAACGTATTGGAGGTTCGTCTTTAGGTGGTGGCACTTTATGGGGATTACTTTCTTTATTAACTGATGCTAAAGATTATAATGAAATGTTAGAAATGGCCCAAAGAGGTAATAACGAAAATATAGATTTGCTAGTAGGGGATATATACGGGGATAGTTATAATAAAATTGGTTTAAAATCTTCTCATATTGCTTCATCATTTGCCAAAGTTTTCAAAAAATTAAGATTCAATAATAATGAAAGGAAACTAACTCCTGCAGAAAAATTGGCTCAGTTCAAGTCAGAAGATATTGCAAGATCCTTGTTATACTCGGTTTCAAATAATATCGGACAAATTAGTTATTTACAAGCAGTAAGATTTAACTTGAAAAGAATCTATTTTGGTGGTAGTTACATCTCTGGTCATAAACAAACCATTCATACCTTAAGTTTTGCAGTTAATTTTTGGTCGAATGGTGACATGCAATCTTATTTCTTACGTCACGAAGGTTATTTAGGTAGTGTTGGTGCTTTTATGATGGGTCCTAATTGTGACGCTACAAAATAATGTCTTTCTTCTGTATCATATTCATTTAATTCGTCGCTTCAATTCTACATTGTACATGCATTGATGTATACCCCTATTTATTTATTCATTTATTCATTTATTTATTCAATCGTTTTATATACTTTATTTATTTATTCATTCATCCAAGTTTTTTTTTTGACTGCAAATGTAACGTTACAATCTCAACTGCTTGATATTGCGACATCAAAACTTTTCCTCTTTTTCCCTCTGAAAATGACTAATTTTTCTCAGTTTTCGACTTCTCTCATCTTTCTATTGTGCATTTGTTTTGGTTTTCGGTTACAATTTAATGGAAAGACGAAAAAATTAATTAATATTGCACGAGTCGACCAAATTAAATTAGTCAAAAACAAATTAGGCACCATCTCATCCCTTCAGCTTTTGGAAAACTTTTTAACTGCTTCTTTTTCTCTGCTTGATGGTGGATAATGAACACTATAAGTGAAGCGATTTCCCCTCAACATTTGTCGAAAAAGGATACTCGGTCCCAGCATCATCAGCATCAACAGTTTCAATATCAGTATCAGTATCAAAATAACTTGGGTAGATCGACACCTCCGTTCTCCAAAGTAAATTATAATAATCCATATATACATACCTTCAATTCTGAGTGGATTGATACTCCAGATAATTCACCATCTCGATATTCCAAATTTTACGATCACAATACTAATATAAATATGTCATCAACTACTACAACTAAATTGGAAACTCCAAATAAGTTAAAGAACTCTGGTGCTCTATCCTTCAATTATGTTACCCCAGTTAGCGAATCTAAAAATCATGATGTTGTCACTGTAAATGAAAAACCATTAAGTCGAAATTCTAGTCCAAATGAAACTGAAGAAGAGGATACTTCGGCTATGGTTAATTCAAAGAAACACCAGGTTAAAAATTTTGATATTTTTTGGGCAATGCTCAATAATATAACTGGTAAAGATAAAATGGCTAAATTGGGTCAATATTCTTTAAGGCTTCTACTTAATTATGCTTCGAGAACTGAAAATTATTTAAGTAATGATTCAATTAATATTGAGATTATAAATAAGCGTTATAACGATAATGAAAAAAAATTAAATTTAATTAAGAATTTCATTAAACATCCAAGTGATTTTATCAGAATTATTATAATCCTAGTTGTTTCAATATTTCAATCAAAATTTTCGGGTTTGGCTAAAGGCTTAGGTACTTATAGACAATTTCTTAGATTCGGGAAATCTCCTTTTAGAATACGTCAATTATATAATAATTTTCTTGATAATTATGATGTTAAATCAAAGCAAATTAATCCGGGGTTTTTCAATAAGGATGTTTTGGGTGATTTAATTGGGTTATATTATAATATGAATGATGAAGCTACATTATTATTCAAATTAAATGTTTTAAGTAATAAATCATTAAAATCTTTTGTTTCAAGACATGAATCATTAGCTTGGTACTACGATTCATGGTTAGCATTGTTCAATGCATTTAATAAATTACAAGATTATTCAAAACAAGAAATGGATATCAAAATACAAATTCAAGTTAAGAAAAGAGCCAAAATATTATCCAAACAATTATTAGGAGGTACTGCAATTCGTACAATTGATTTACAAAATTCAAATTCATCATTAATTGAAGATTCAAAAGATGAAATTAAGTTGAAAGAAATTCAATTCAATAAACAAAATTCTTATCTTGATATTTACAAGAATATATCCGATATTATATTTAACTCATACACTGTCTTCAATATTAAATTACCTTTTGATACTTTACAAATATGGATGGGTATTAGTGCTTCAGGTTTAAGCACTATTAAATTATATCGTGAAATTAAAAAGAAATTAATTGAAGAGTCAATCACAAGAAAATCATGATAAATCTTATATTAATATGTATATTAGTGTTTAATTAGATAGATATCTTAATTCAAAACCAGTTTGAAAGAATTTTTTCAATCAATTATATCATCTAATGTAATATCATTTGAAATTTTTTCTGCTTCTTTCCAAAATTTAGATAAATGTCTAGCACCCGAATCACAAGCAATTACCACTATTTTATTACCAGGGCCTAATTTTAAAGCTGTTTTAACTGCTGCTACACAGTTGATAGCGGCGGAAGACCCCCAGAAGAGTCCATCGTTAATTGATAAATACTTTGCCATTTTCAATGCTTGATCATCACTAACTCTAATTGCCAGATCGATATTATTTTCACCTTGCTTGAAGTTCCAGGTTAATCTATTTAATCCAATTCCTTCCACTAAAGTGTCAACTTGATGTCTACGACGGGTGCCTTCTTTTTCAACATGATCATACATGACTCCATAATTAACTCGATTAAATAATCCTGAACCTTGAGGATCTGCTAATATAACTTTGATATTTGAATCTTGTTCTTTCAAAAATCTAGATACACCTGATATAGTACCACCGGTCCCTGAACCATTTATGAAAACATCTAAGTCCCCGTCCATTTGTTTCCAAATTTCTGGACCAGTTGTTTGGTAATGTATTTTCCAATTGAAATCATTTTCAAATTGATCAGCAAATATAGCATTACGAGGATCATTTGGATCGTTGTTTATTTTATTGGCGCCATTTCTAGCAGCATTAGTATATTGATTGGGATCAACTATTGATGCTGGTTTAACTGGCTCTAATTCAGCACCTAAAGATTTTAATAATTGTAATTTTTCAGGTGAAGTATCATCTGGTAAACAAATATGCGCAGTGTAACCTAATGCATTACATAGCATTGCAAATGATATGCCTGTAGAGCCAGAAGTTCCTTCAAATATGATATCATTATTAAAAGGTTTTAATTTCCCCAATTGTTCGTTTGATTTAATAATTGATAAAGCAACACGATCTTTTGCACTACCAGCAGGGTTCATTAGCTCTAGCTTGGCATATATCTTACATCCTGTTAGTTTTGATAATGATTTAATTTCAATCAATGGAGTATTACCTATTAATGATTCGACACCTCTTGATCTTGGTGGTAATGACGTCAATTCCTTTTGGCCCTGGTACAATCGAACCAACTCCCTTAGAAGAACTATAGCCGAGATAACAGTACCAGTGGTTTTAAGGGTATTTACTACCCAAGAATTTGACATATTAAATCAAACGGTATTCGAACAATATAAAAACGAAAAAAAAAAAAAAGAAAAAAGAACGAAAGATATTTCTCTTTTAATTAACTTTTAGGGATCCTTGACGATTGGTGTAAAACAATTCTTGACGATCTTGTGCAAGCAACAATGCTACCTAGTACGCGAGTCACACCTTGTTTCCCAGTCGTTACAATCCGCTATTGATGTTGGCTGGGTTAATAGTAAACGACTGATGGAAATTTCTGAACAAAAAAAAAAAAAAAAATTGAATTAGTGTCTAAAGCTCTCGGTGTATGGATCTTTGGTTGTGTACGGGTCTTTGTTCCGATGAAATCCGAAAACACTTCAAGTATAGAAGCATTTACTAGCCTACACCTGCAGCATTAATCATTGACAGTTTTTCATTGTAGTCATGAATTTCCAGGGTCCGGTTTAGTCTTGGGTCGTAGCGGTGGAAAAAAATCTCAGCGAAAGCATTCACTGGCCATTGGTCAACAGTGTCCATCATCTTATTCAGTCAGTTAAACCTTCGAGGTGTTTTGGTCAATGAATAATAAACCGAGCACTTGCTCGGGCAAAGCGAGTGAACAAAATTCAATGCTATTAAACCATAATTTATAACGCTTTATTAAGGTATTGAATTTTGTCTTATTTCTCGCTTTTACTTTCTAACCAGTTCATTGTAGTACTATTGTTATGGTCTTCTGTATTTCTCAACTAGCCTCAATACTAGGTATTCTTCTTTTACCATTTTCTCCGATAAGTGACCCTGCCTATTTAAGCTGTCCGGCTTGTTATTGTATTGCAGAGTAACTCTAGACAATACTTGAATTGAACCCAACATTAAATATAACTGCTTTTCTCATTCAATACTTGAGTTATTGGGTCTTTTCGCTAAGTTTGTGGAAATTTGAAAAAACAAAAAACAAAAAATACCAACCGCTGGTGATTTATTCAGTTCAACGACGTACCAGTCTTCCTTTCCATTTGGGTTATTCCATTTCAGTTAAGTGTCGAGATCTACCGCAGCTGCTTGGTTTGTGTGTGTATATATGTTTCTTAGTGTGTGTGTAAGATATTTCATAATACATATATAGCCGCTGAGGTTTTCACATATTTCATCTTTGCTACACTTAAATTCTAATGCTTAATTGTATTTCATAACAAAAGATATATAAATATATATGTATGTATGAATATACATATATATCCATATCTATTCATTAAGCTCAATTGAAATATGGAATCTGAATTGGCATCAGAAGATCTAAAGCCATCAAAATTCTACGATAACTCAATGACTTCCTCCAAAGATTCAAAAGAGTCAAATGGGGATACTAGTGGTAAAGTTAGAAAACCAAGGGGCCTGAGAGCTTGCTTTGTTTGTCGTCTACGGAAAGTAAGATGCAATGCCGAGGCCCAATACCCTTACCCCTGTTCGAATTGTATAACATTTGGTTGTGATTGTAAATTCCCTGAATCCAAAAGAAAAAGGACCAATAAAACAAAGCCAGCTCAAAGTTTACTAGATCAGAATCCAATGAGTCAGTCCGGGGTGTTTGCTCCTCCTCCTCCTCATCCTATGCAGCCTTACGTGATGCCTCCACAGGTCAATCAATATAACCCTCAACTCCAGTATCAGTTTCATCAATTACAACAATTACAACTTCAACAGCAGCAGCAACAGCATATTGTCCCTGGAAATCCTTCCTTGCCTTACCAACCTCCAGTGTCGGGTCAATTGCCCGAACAACAGGTTTACAATCAGTTCCCACAGCCAATACAACATTCCCAGTTCCAAGGTCAAAAAATACCAATGAACTTGGATGGAGTCAATCTTCAACAATTTCAACAGCATCAGCCCCAACAGTTCCAGCAGCAGTATCCCATACAGCAGCAACAATTCCAACAACAGCAACAACAATTCCAACAACAGCATCAACAATTCCAACAACAGCATCAACAATTCCAACAACAGCATCAACCACTCGTCCAGCAACAATCCCATCACCAAACGCATAAGTCACTGTTAGCGCAGGAAAACCCTCATATGGGATATAAAAATCATGAATCGTATAATACAATTGAACAACCTGATCAGCAAAATGCCTCTAGTGAGTACCCTCAACCACTGCCTTTAAAGCAAGCTTCACCTATAAATCAAGTTTCACCTATAAATCGAGTTTCACCTATAAATCGAGTTCCACCTTTAAATCAGACAAATTACCCTTCACCAATACCTAATGAGTCTAATAATGCATATCCCCTCCGAAATAATCAACCTCTGACTACTCCCATTACTACATCATTTCCTTTGGCACCAATAAAAAAACCCTCTTTTCCTATTCGATCCACCTCTGCTAAAAGTGAAAAGACTCCACCCCCAATAAAGCATGAACATCAACCTCCTCAGTTAAATCCGACTCTCCCTCATATAAATTTACCAAGTTCAGATAAATCTTCCACTTTAAATGAAAATGCTTATACAATGGGCGATCCTGAAGATATTAATAATGTTTTTTATGTGCCAAATGAACCAATTTTAAATATTTCAACTCGTAATCTAGCACCCTCATATGATTCTAATGATCCTAATTTAGATTTATCAGTCCCCTCCTCAAAAGGTATAAAAGTTACCCACACTCGTCAATTGACGGAATATACTTATTTCGGGCCAACTTCATGTGCTTCATATTTTGGTGCCGAAGAACAATCACCAACTGATTTAGGCTCTGTGAAAAGCGAAAGCGTAGAGACGGAAGATTCATCGGAATCGAAAACTGTTGGAGTTTTTCTGAGCCTTGCCAAACCCGGAAAAGGTAAATTAAAGTATCAATCATATTCGAATATTGATACCAATGAAATCTTATCTGAATTATCAATATTGAATATCAAACAATCGTTTTTCTTACCATCCAAATATATTTGCTCTATTCTAATAGACTCCTTTTTTGAAAATGTTTATCCTCAAGCACCAATAATAAATAAAGATGCATTTTTGAATCATTTTAAGGATCCTAACCCTAGAAAACACCCTCCATTGATTTTAACTCAGATCATTCTATTGGCCGGAAGTCGTTGCTGTAAACACCCTGCTATATTGGATGTAAATGGTTCAGCTAATGCAACAAGTCAAGTTTTTTATTATAGAATAAAAGCCCTTTATGATGCGAGTATTAGGTTTGAATACGTTGGTGACCTGGAGAATGAGGATGACGGGCATTTATTTTTCAACTACCCAACAGTTTTAGTACAGGTCCTTGCATTGTTATCATGGTATTGGGAAGGTCCAGAAGATATAAGCCGTGGTCCATTTTATTGGATTCGTAGTGCTATTGTTTTATGTCATTCCTTTGGATTTCATAGAGATCCAACCAAATGTCATTTAGAATTTTTATTAAAGAAGAGGTATAATTCAAGTAATACAGTTACGAATGTTTTTTTAGAAACACAATATTTTATTTGGAAAAAATTATGGTGGTGGGTTTTTTATCGTGACAGGTCAGTTGCAATTAGTTTTGGTCGACCATGTATTATCAATCTGTATGAAACTGATATGCCTGTTATTACAATAAATGATTTTGTGATGTATGAAGGGAAAAATTTCAACATAAATAATACTGAAGATTGTTTGGTAGCTGAATATTTTATTAATATTGCTAAACTTCTGGAGATAATTGGAATTGTATTGCTGGAACAATACAGTGTTCATCCAAAGTATCATTCTAACGATTTTAAAAGAAATATGAAAATTGTTAAGCAATGTAATTTAATTATGGGAATATTTTTCAGTAATTTACCTGATAATTTGAGATTTTCTTTGGATAATCCTAATTCAGTTAATCTTTATCTGAGTTTACTAGGATCATTATATTACATAACATTATATCACATAAATCGGGTCAAATTTGCGAGTGTGAATGGAACTCATGTTTTATCATCAGGTGCTAATAAATATTGGGGGATTTCATTCCAATCAGCTTATATATCATCAGTTATTACTCAATATTTGAAAGAACAAATGGATAATGACCATATTCGTATTTTACCAAGTCAAGTTATATATACCACATCACTTACAATGATTTTACTAAGCTTCCATACTGATTCGAAGAATAAAGTAGTGGCTAAAACTGCAAAAAGACAATTAGAAGCATGCCTTGAATTTATACAAAAATGTCATGAAACTTGGCCTGGTATTACTTATATGTTAATTACATATTTTACCGAAAGACTTAATTCAGGACAACATAGTAAATCAAGTACTGGTATGGTTTCAAAAGCTAAAAAATTACTCTTCCTGATTTGTTCAGAATTTCAAGTGAATGAAGAGCGTTCTTTAAGAACTTCGAACAAACCTTTTAATATCAATTTTTTATTAAATGGATCTGAGGGTAATTCCAAGTTCAATGATAATAATGATAATATAACTAATCAAGAAGAGAGTGATTTATGGAATAATTACGACATTGGGAAGGAAGATGATTATACTTTACCAATCTTCAATCTCAAAACAATAAAAATGCCTCCAATCGAATCAAGTTTTTATAAAGAATTTGAATTCACCCAATTATTCCCCAAAAGTAAGAAGAATGCAGCAACACCCAACCCCACATGCTCAAAAACATTTGAAGAGGAAGGCCAAAGTTCAAATGCAAAACAATTTGCTAACGAAAGGAATCCCTCAGTTCTTAATACCCCTGATTATAATCTGTTAATCAATAGTGGGACACCATTACCTGACGATGCAGGTACCGGAGACTACTCGGTAGGAAATTATCCTCCCTCCAACACTAATGCATCTGCAGTTGATGAAAGAAGTGCAGATGAATTTGACTTAGATACTAGCGGAATGTTATTGGATAGTCAGTATTTTTTGAATGTGAATAGTGGTATTGATTGGAATATCCCCAGTTTTTAATCTTTAATATATATAACTTAATAAATATTTTATTACGTTGTGCGTTATTCCCCATTAGAAGCATATGCATATTCAATGTTTGTAACATTGATCCCTAATCACAAGCTCAATTAAACACGCTTCCATTTGCAGCTGTATCTCTTCTGATGCATTTTGAACCCTTTAATTAGCCTCAATATGCCCTTAACTAGTTCTGATTCTACTTCCCTGCTTCAAAATTTGAATTTTCTTCGATGGGGAAAACTCAAATAAAGTGATGCCGTTCGTTCATAGCTTTAACCTTAAGCTTTTCACTAGTTGACTCCCCAAAAATCTCGGATATCTTCCCTTAACTAAGAGCCACAAAGCCTAAGTTTTGGAAATTTTGAAAATTTTCGAACTTATATATGAAATTGGTATTGGTTGAATGAGAAATTGATTTAGAAAAACTTTACAGTTGGCCATAAGGGGGATTTACTAGCATAATTACCGGCTAATTCGTGCTTGAAAGTGTTAATGTTTTTTCACAAACTGAACACAATGCTATTCAAGGTTTAGCCCCTTGAAAATCCCCTTGTGTGGAGGAGTGATAAGCAAACTCGAATATGGCTAGAGAGTGCGACAAAATTAAGGTGCAAAAAAAAAAAATAAGCAAAGAACAAAAAAATTGCAAAATATAAAAGGTTGGGGGTCAGACTAAGCCATACGGATTGATTCTTTTTTAAAACAAATCGTATTATACTATATATACATGTACACAGTTGAGAGATAATCTATATCATAAAGATACCTTCAGCGTAGCAAGTCATAAGAGTTCTTTGGTCGGGGGCATTTAAATTTGAAAGTTGAATAAGGATGATACATCGTCAGTGACACTACCTTCGTTTAAAGGAGGCATATTCATATTGATGAAGGAAGCGTCAATGAAATTTGTATTAAAGGCTTCACCAGGGGTTGAAGGGACATTTGCCGTTGTACCCATTAGGTTATTACCAAAAGTGAGAGGATTAGTATTAGATTGGTTATTATTTTCGGCAGCTATAGATTCATTAGCGGCATCAATTATATCATTTGTTTCATTTTGGTTCAAGTTTGTAGATTGATTTAAAGCAGGGGATTGAGATCTTGTTGGAGGAATACTAAAATTAACGTTTGGGAACAATTGAGTTGGTTCGAAATTATCAAAGAAATTTTGATTTGCTGGAATACTTTCAGTGACAAGGGAAATATCTGGGAATGAATTAGTGGAAGAAGGGGAAGTATCACTCGATTTTGTTTTTTTCTCTTTTTGATTTTTTGATTTACTTCTTGTACGTTTATATAAAGGTCTTTGATTATTTTCAGAATGAGAATGTTCATTTGTATTACCATTTGTAATATTTTTAGTATTTGGAGAAATTGCATTTGGAGAATTATAATCTTTAGAAGGATCATAATTGGTGGAAGCAACTTCACTTTTGGATTTTAAATCTTTATTGTAGAATTGATTTAAATTATCATTTGATTTAAAAGAATTTTTATTTGCGTTTAATTCTTCTAATTCCGCAATTCTATTACCATTTTCAATAACTTTTGCTCTTTTAAATTTATCATTTGCATATTTATCAAACAATCTCATTAAAATCCTTGCAATTGGCCAATAAACAGTTAATTCTTTCATGACTGCTCTTGAAATAAATAAAGAGTCTGAAGCAGTTGAAGCAATAATTTGATTTGGAGAATCGACATGATAAATTAACATCATTAAAGCACTAAATAAAATATAAACAAACATTGCTGGACAATAAATTAATTGGCCTCGATCTAATAAAATTTTCAGAACAATTGAAATCATTCTAGCAGCTTGGAAACTAATACCCCAAGAAGGATATTTATAATTATTTGGATTATTTGAAGAAGATCTTGCCATTCTTAATAAATTGGCTCGATGAATTAAATATAATCGATTGTAATATTGGGCATTCAATAATGAACTATAAAAATTTTGAGTGGAACTATCAGTTAATGAAAAAACTAATTGAGGAGGTAAATTAGTAAACCAAATACCCATTAACATATCACAATGTTGAATAATTGAAAATTTATTTTTTCTTTTCATCAGTTCAGATTTAACAGTATATTGATGTTTAATAATAATTCCAGTAATTTCTGCTAATTTAACTAAATGAATAAAATAAAGTGCTTGAGTTTCATTAACTGGATAAGGAGAAACAATTCCTAATTCAGGATCATCTTCATTAAAATCATCTAAAGTTAACATTGGAACATCACAATCATTTAAATCAATTACATTTGGTCTACCAAAAGCAATTGCAACATTACGATCTTTTTCAAAAAGACACCACCAAATTCTTCTCCAAATTTTTTTTTCACTTGAAGATAAATCAGGAGCGTTATTAATATCTCTTTGGAAACCAAAACCTTGAGCTAAACTAACTGCTACTCTTGTCCAATAAAACGAGTTACGAGTAACATCTTCAGGGCCTTCCCAATAAGAACCAATCAAAATAACTGTTTGAATGATTGAGACTGGATCACTTTCATAATTAGTTTCATATAAAGCTTTTGCTCTTCTGAAAAAAGTTAAACAAGCTAAATTATTTGAACCTTTTGAATCCAACACCAAGGGGTTTTGAGAAACTCTACAACCACATAATAAAACTGCTTGTAATAGCATTAACGAAGGATTATCTTTTGGATCATTAAATTTAGACATGAATTCTGTTCGATTAATAACTGGCATTAAAGGATGGACATGTTCAAAATACGAATTAACTAAATTTGTAGCTAAATCTTTTGAAGGTAATAAAAAGGCCCCTCTTAATTTTAAAATTTCCAATTCAACCAGATCCAAAGAGCTTTCAGTGACGTCAAAAATATCTTCAGCTAAAGAAATGTGATTTTGGCCAACTTTTTGGGCAACAAGACTTATTGAAGAAGAACCTAAAAAGGTCAAGTTTGGTTTTGAATTTATTGAATTAACTCTTGATTTATGGATTGAAGGTCTTGTTTTATAATTTGAAGTTAAAGATGGAGGGACACTTTCTTGAGAAATATTAAGCACTGGTTCACTGGTAGAAGTAATGGTTGTATTATTATCCTTTTTAACGGTATCGGGGATTTTGGGAGATTCCAGTTTACTATTTTCATTTGAATGATCAATTTTCAATTCATTATTTGATTCATTCTTTATATCAGATTCTGTTTTTTGTTTTTTATTTTTCGATTTACCAGAAGCATTACCTCTTTTCTTTGGTTCCGGTAAGATACATTCACATCCAAAAGTAACACAATTAAGACAAGGAACATTAGTATCAATATTACAACGTACTTTACGCTGGCGACAAACAACACAGGCTCTCAGGCCCCTTGGTCTTTTATACTTTATAGTAAAAGCTTTTGGCTTATTCTTATCATTGGATGACTTCTTGGAATCCTGATGATCATCTTGATGATCATCCGGACGATTGTCGGATAACTCATTCTCTGAATGAACCCCGTTAGGGTCTTCGAGCTTAACCATTTGTGTAGTGGGCGGCTATCAAACTTTTCCACTGGGGAACTTGATTTCGTAACAGCAAGCGTATAACTAACGTTGAATAGTTGAATAACAACCAATACGGTATTGATTTAGTCTATAAAGGAAACACAGCAGAAGAAGAAGTAGTTGAAATAAATTTCTCAGAAGAGAAGAAAAAGAAAGAGAAAAACTGAAAAAGAAAAATCAACTAAGAAAAACACTCACTAAGCAAGGCCCGTATTACAATAGATTAAACTATTCTATACGTATATATACGTATACTTTCTGTCCGGAGCGTACTCAATGTCCGGAGCACTTCATTAGTCATTCGGCGATGACTATCTCCAGCACTCCGAGAAACAACGATTAACGTTATTCAGAACAACCGAAATGCGCGTTTTTACTTATTCTACATGAATGCCTACTGAATACCTTATAGCTAATTCCCAACCTGTTACTAGTGTATTAATTACATGGGTAGTACAAGTATGAACACAACGAGTACAACTATGAACACAAGGAGTACAAGTGTACAAGTGGCAGAGTAGGAGTAGTAGAGGTAGCTCCGACGTACATCGTCGCCCTAATGGATCAACCCATTGGTCTGGTTTGAGTAGCCACACGACGCCTCCAGGAACCCCACCCCCACAATATGTACGGAGCGGCTGCCTACCCCGCTTTTCGGATAACAAAACGAAGGGCAGGGTTTTTTGGTGCACGGGTGTTTTAGTCGGTGCACGGGTTGTATTTGGTGTACAGAGGTTTTTTTGTTGGAATGCACGGGTTGTATTTGGTGTACAGAGGTTTTTTGTTTTGGAATGCACGGAGGCTTTTTCAAGGTCTCCAGAAGCTCTTTCTCTTACTCTTAGACTTTGACTTCACTTTGTTCAAGTCCTGCAATATTTCTTCTCTTTTCAATCTTTGACTGTAGCCGATCAAGTTTTGGACCACCGATTCGTAGACCTCGAAATTGGACTTGGACTCAGCCAATTGGTTCAACCAAACACTACTGATTTTAATCAATTCATCATAGATTTGATTCATTTCATTTAATTTATCGTCAATGATATCCAGATTGGTGTTTTGCAAATATTGTTTTGTTGAATGGTTTAAAATCTCATTTTCAAATCTCGATAACGTTTCGTTAGTGTTACTGATGATTTCGTTTTTAACCTCGGTACTGAGTTGTAAGTCTTTATAATCAATTATATTAAAATCTTGCCAATTTATATCATCTTCGTTAATTGATTTTTTCCGGGTATGCTGTTTGACTTGCAATCTTGATTGTTCTTCCTTTGCATTGAGTTCGTCTAAATTGATGGGCACTCCCAACTTTATTAATAGGTTATGACGTATTTTCAGTTTAATCCAATTCGGTGGTTGTAAATGTGGGATATTCGATAACTCTTCAAATATTTGTTTGGAACGTTCATCAAGCAATTGTTGGTCTTCCTTCTTGCCTTGGTCGTGGGGGGTGTTACTAAACGTTTGGTCCATGATCATTTCTAACTTTTTATCAAATTCTTGCGGGTTCTGAAAGATTTCTTCATCAAATTTTAATGTTTCTGGACTGGTTTCTTCGAGTTCGTTAAATTCATCAAATGATGCCTCAAATGACGCATCGTCAAATGATCCAAATTCATCTTCTTCCTCTTCTATATTGACAAGTTCCTCTTCATTTGGTTCACCCATTCCTTGTATTATATCAATGTTAGATATATAAATGAAAAGTGTCCATATCAAGATCTCCATCAGTTGTTTTCTCTCGTGGAAAAATGCGTGTCCTCGCTTAAATTTGTTTGGATTTGTCTCTGGTGTTTGCAACGATTATGAAAAAAATCCCAAATATTAACATTAAAAGTACTACCGATGATAAGAAACAGATTGAAAAATACTGGATAAACTCCTGGAGATCGTGACTCATTTACCGGTATTTAAAATACGTTTTTATTTAAAATACGTTTTTATTTAAAATACGTTTTCCCATTTAACAAGTCTCTTTCGGGATTATTATTTCTATTTAAACGGTTCTTCTCGTGTATTTTAATGTCCTTCATTGACGATTCGGAGAAAAAAGTTATACTATTTCTGATTGGTAATCCCGGTTCTTTGAATAGACATTCTACTGGTCATTATATTCTTGCGGACCTCATCAAGAATTTCAATGCAAAACAATTAGTTAAAAATGGTCTTTATTCAAAAACTGATTTTGATAATTTGACCTTTGTTAAATCAAATTCTTACATGAATGAATCTCATAAATCTTTGAAAAAATTCTTAGAAATCGAGAAAATTAATCTAAATTCATCAATCTTGATCATTCTATTCGATGACTTTGAATCAATTTTATCTTCAGTTAAATTATCGGCGCTCAAAAAAAATGAATCTCATAATGGAGTTAAATCAATTCATTCTTTTCTTCTGAGTCATTCTTTGCAAAATGCTATAATATTTAAATTGGGTATTGGCATTGGACCCAAACCTTCCAATGCTACTAAAGATACCATGGCATCTTGGGTCCTTTCAAAATTTACTCAACAGGAAATTGAAATTTTGAATGATAAAAGCTTACCCTTGGTTTATGGTTACGTCGATCACATTCTACAGAATAATGGCACGATAAAAGATTTTAATAAATTAAATGCTAAAATGAAAAAACTCTATGCTTAAATGTCCTTTTTAAGTGATTGTATTGCGTCTTGGTTTATCGGATTTCCCAAAAAATGACTGAATGAATCCGTCATTTCTTTCTTCCTCTCCACTATTATCATCACTATCTTCATTGGAAAAAGGTGAATACTCGCCGTCGTCATAGTCTTCATCTCCTTCTTCCTCATCCTCATCATCATCGTCATAATCAAATGCTTTCCTTGGTGCAAAATCATCAATTTTCTTATAATTTATTGCATCCTCATCACTAGTATCGGTATTTTGATCAATATCTCCATCTTCTTTGAAATCAACAGTCTGAAATTGAATACCTTCTTGACTTGAAGCTATGCCTGCACTTGGAGTAGCTGATAATTCATTGAAATTCTTAGATAATTTTGTTAAATTTCTACCCTTTTCAATTGCTCTCTCTATAGACAATCTATGCTTAATGAACAATAATTTGGGGTAAATACAACGTTCACCTTTTAATATTAAAGATGCTAATCTTTCTTCTGTAGGATCTGATAATATATACCAAAAATCTGCTAATTTATTCCGTGGCCATATAGTAATAGATCCGGAAAATTTTTGTAAGAATATACTCAGCCAATCCTGTTCAAGAAAATGGGGTAATAAATCTAATGATTTAACAATTTCTAACCATTTTTTGATTTCTAATTTGAATAATTGTTCTAAAGCAGTAGCAACAAATCCGCCTCTTAAAGAAGCATATCTCTCCTTATGTGTCTTACGACGTGATGTAGCCACTGGTCTCCCAACAGTACCTTTTGGAGCGAAGAAAAATAACGATATATGAGGATTAACTTGGGAAACAATTGAAAAGTTAACATTATAATACGTATTTAATGAGTCTATTGGAATGTCGGTTCTTAATGATCCATCTCTCCATTTATTCCCTAAACTAAATGGTATAACATCATTGTTTTTAGAATCTTTCATCATAAGTACCACTGGATTTAAAATCCCGGGTACTGCACTTGATGCCAACAAAGTTGACCAAATAATACAATTTGGAGAAGTTATATTATTACATAAAATCACTGGAGAATGAGGATCAGCTGGAATAGTTGAAATGTTTAAGATTCTACCAGTTCTTTTAAAAGCTTCTGCAAAAGTAGTTGAACCACGGGTGAAAAAATTCGATTTCCTTGCCCAATCAACAGAATCAAATCTCGCCCCGGTTTTCCACCATCTTGGAATCCAAACATACCAAGGATCCTCACAAGCAGTAATTTTACGAGCCAATTGAGGAACCAATAATTTTTTCAATTCTTCATCGGTTCTTGTACAAGCCAATGAGGCAATTAACCCACCACCAGAAGTACCAGACATGATGGAAGGTAATAAATTATGGTCAAGTAAAGCCTTAACAACACCAAAATGGGTATAAGCAAAGCAAGCACCACCACTCAAACATAAAGCTGATTTACCATAATTCTTAGAAACAACCCTGAAAAATTTACGTTTTGCATCAAAATCAATTTTAGGTGAATCAATTACTTTGTTAATGCTTGCAACAACCTCGTTGATATACTCTTCTACCAAGTTTTTTGTTCCGTAGTATCTATGAGAATAAAGCTGTTTATTTTCAATACCGGCAAAGTTTTTCTTTAAACATCCTTGTAACAAAACCATCAAATCATAATCATTGTTTTCACTTCTTAACACGCGTAGCTTCGAAATAGTTAATTTGATTGTATTGGAATCATAATAAGAAAACTTTGGGTTAACCGACCATTTATCTAGGTTAAGGTATTTATCTAAAGCTAACGCATTTTCAACCCATTCTTCATAAGATTTCGAGTTCCGAAGTCTGTCTCTTAGACGGCGGCGCTCTCCAACCCAAGTAAACGTATATTCCAGAAGTGCAACATAAGCACGGACTATAGTATACAACACTGCCAAAGTTATGATCCACATAACTATGATTATTAAAAATGGCCAACGAAGTAAAGTGTACGAAGCACTTGATCTGAACTCATTGCTAAGTTTCTTAGTAGCCTTCTTAAACTTGGACCTTTTAGAGTATGTCTTTCTTTTCCTGTTATTGGAATTTTGAGTATTGTTTCTTGTCTTTTTGGAATCTATGACGGGGTACCAATCACTTTTAGAGGTGATAAGATCAGGCTTACTATTGTTCGAAGGACTACTCTGAAGTATCCCGGCTTGATCAACATTCAAATCATCAATGAGTTCTGCTTCATCACTCAAATTATTGGTTTGGGGAGCCAACGGACTCATCGGAGTTTCATCATTGATTTCCTCCGTCTCCTCCCATACTAATGCCTTAGCAAACGCATAAATATGATCATCATTAACAAAATCCTTATCACCCTCAAACAACGAATGTTTGCCAGTATCGGACATCTTTTCCTGGTCCTTAATGCTTGCAAAGATTGGATACTCTTATCCTGATTTAAGCTATTGAAAAAAACCCTCCAGTAAAATCTAGGAAAAACTAGTAAATGTATCAAGTTAGGTGTCAAGTACTCCTACTCTAGATTATTAACAAGCAACTGATAGTGTAGTCTGGTACAACTGAAGCTTGACTTTCTATTCATCCTGATAAGTTGTTGGGTAAATTTGTGTCTATCATTTTGCGCAAACAATAAGGTCTAAAAACGTCACACCGTTTTTTGTTACTTTTCCGTGGTGTATGGGCCTGTTGGTTGTATATTTAGTGCACGTTCATTTAAGGCTCCAATTCCATTAAGAAGTAGAGCTAAAATAGAAGGATAATGATTACGTTCAAGGATACCATAGAGGTTGTTGTGTTTGACATTGAAGGGACAATCTGCCCAATCACCTTTGTCAAAGACACGTTGTTTCCGTACTTTTTGGAGCAGGCACCATCGTATTTATCCAAATTGAAATATCCTCTTGATTCGAAATCCGATGATCAAATCACCAAGATTCTATCCGAATTTGCTAATGAAGTCACTGAAAGTGAAGAGAAATTATCTTCTCACATCAAGCATCTTGTGGATACTGACCAAAAAGTTGCCCCATTGAAATCGTTCCAAGGGTTGGTTTGGAAGCTAGGCTACGAACTGGGTGAATTGAAGGCACCATTGTACGACGATGCATTAGAATTCTTCAACCAACCACCGCCACTGGTTCAAAATACTTATATTTACTCCTCGGGTAGTATTGCAGCTCAAAAATTATTGTTTAAGTACGTTAAGAATGGGGATGAGTCGATTGACTTGAATCCAAAACTTTCTGGTTACTTTGATATCACTACTGCCGGTTATAAACAAGAACAGTCTTCTTATGAGAAGATCTTACAAGATATCAAGTATGATGACAAGCCTTCTAAAGTATTATTCTTGAGCGATAATGTTAATGAGGTTAATGCAGCATTGAATGCTGGTCTTAATAGTGTCATTGTTGTTAAGCCAGGTAATGCACCTTTGAGTGAAGAAGATGAGCAAAAGCATTCCATTATAAAAAGTTTAAATGAGTTAAGTTTTTAAATAATAAATAAATAGATATACTACACCAGATTGATATCGTAAAAGGAGAAATACATTATAACCTCAGCGAGATATATAAACTATTATACAATTAATACTTTGACTACATGTCTCTGAATAGAATATCGGCTGCAACCTCCTCATTCTTGTCACATGCTAAATAGACTTGAATAACCAAATTACGATCAAAGCCTAACTCGCATAATCTATTAATGGCACTCTCGTCTTGTTCACTAATTTGAATTTGAACGGTTTCGCCTTCACCACCACCCAAGGCTCCTTCTGCTCCTTCTGCATCTTCGAGACCAAGATCTTCACCGGATCCGCCTAAAAAGGTTCTGATGAATCCTTCTGGATCTTGTTGAATTAAACTAGCTATTTGGGGATTGGATGCTGCTAAATTTTCTAATAATGGTTGAATTAGTTCTGGATTACTTTGTAAAGCAGTTCTTAATAAATTCAATTGAGCATCGTCACCAAGCTCCCCACCTGCTCCTTCGGCTGCTCCTTCTGCATCCCCCTCTGCTCCTGCACCTCCTTGAGCAGCAGCAGCTGCTGCTGCTGCTTCAAATAAATTCTCTCCCCCTTCTTCTTGGGTATCATCATTAGCAGTACTATCATGGGTGGAATCTGCTATAGGGGCTTGCGAGGTTGCTTGAGGAGCTGGAGGAGCTTGTAAGGATTCAGGAATTCCCGTCAATAAGTATTCAACAGCACGATGAGGATTGTTAAATGCTGCTCGTAAAGCTGCTTCAACTTGAGGTCTTTCATAACCCATCTCCATAATATTTTGAATGGTGGTTTCTCTTTCACTACCTTGAGCAAAAGCAGAACCTGGTTCTTGTTCTCCGCCAGTTGTAGCAGCGGTTTCTGCATTATTAGTTGACGCTGATTCCAGGGTAGATGAGCCTGCTTCAGTCGAACTTGGATTTGTTTCTGATGCAGCAGTTGGTGCAGGTGCAGTTTCTGGGGCCTTCTTAGCCTTGGATACCATGAAAATTATAGAATCGCCTTCCTTGACTTTGAAAGACTCTAATGATTTATCATCTTGTAAGACTTTCCCAGAGTAAACAAACTTTAATTGAGATGCCTCGATACCTTTTTCGGCGGCTAACTTTTCTTTAGCACTTAAAACCTAGAAGTTTGTAACAGTTAGTAACAATCTTTTTTCAATTGGATCGTATACAATCAAATGGAAAATTTAGAAAAAAACATACGGTATCGGATGGCTCAACATCAATTGGAACCTTTTGTTTCTTGAAATCCTTAAAAATTATTTGCATTATTTTTCTAGTTTATTAACTCCCAATCAAGATTATGTTAAGTCACAGCGAATCAATTCTCAGCCTTTCCGTTGGTGATCAATCGAACAGTATTCCTATACGAAACTTCAGAGATAAAGTCAAGTTAAATTGAAATTTATCAACGAATTAGTGGCGATTTTGAAGAAAGAGAGAAAAAAAAAAAAGAGGTAGAGACGTTTTATGAGCAGCGCACTCTTTTTTTTGCCTTCTTTTGACAATCTTTTGTGTTAGCGCAACTTGAATAGAGATTAGATCACTTAAGGTTGTGAAAAATTGGAAATTCTTTATTAAAACCGGTGCTAGACAAACACACAAGGTAAGATGTCCAGAAGGTCGAAAGGATCATCGGGGGTTCGTGGACCCAGCTCTGCTTTAACTGAGTTTTTACGTGTGGAAGGGATTACGGACGCGTTCAGGGAACGTCAGAATCGAGAAGCTAATCAAAGATCTGGATCGCCTTCTTCACCCGAAACAGGCAGTCCTCAGGCTCAGGAGAGTGCTCTGAGTGGGACTCAAGAACTATCGCCATCTCCAGCTAGGACAAGACGAAGCCATAGGATAGGGGTTCAAAATAGCGGAGTTGATGAGGAAGAGGAAATCAGACAGGCTGCAAGAAGAAAAAGACGAGCTGCAAGAACTGGTGGTGCAGGGTCTCCAGGTGATAGTGGCAGTGATGATGATGACGATGATGACTTCAATGGAAGTAACGACGATGCCGATGATGATGATGAACTAAATAATGATATAAAGCAATTTGGTGATGAAGATGAGTGTGCAGATTGTGGAGATCTTTTCAAGTTAACTGTCTATTCACGTTTCGATGCAAATAAAAATGGCTACCTATGTGAAGCGTGTAATGAAAAATTGAAGAAAAGAGAAAGAAACGCTAGAAGGAGTGAATTGAATGCCCGTAAGAAAAGGAAGAAGATGGCCGAGGCATTATTGAACAAATCTTCGGTGAAGATTCCTACACTTCAGGATATTTGTATCAAGAAGATTACTCAGAATATCAATGATGTCGAAGTACTCGGTGATATTGGACAAGTTAACCTTAATAAAATTTCCCGTATCTTATCAAAGAATCGTTCTTTGGATAATTCCACAATGACATTATTCTTGAATCCAGCTTTAAAATCTTTAGAATTTTGGGATTGTTCGAATGTTGATAGTGATTCCTTGAATAAAATTGCATCCTATTGTCCGAATTTAGAATCTTTAACTTTATTTATGTGCGGTCAACTACATAATGATAACATTTCATATTATAGTTCTAATTTACCCCATTTGACAAGTCTTGCCTTGAATGGGCCTTTTTTGATTAGTGACACTATGTGGCAAGAATACTTTGAAGGGCAAGGTAAAATGCTACAAAAATTTGAAATAAGAAATACCCATAGATTTGGTAATGATTCTCTTATTAGTTTACTAGAAAATTGTGGTTCCAAGCTTACTCTGCTTAAATTATCACATTTGGACGGTATTGACTCTCTGGCGGTATATGATTTGATTCCTCATTATTTAACACCTTCTCAATTGACTCATTTAGAAATCTCTTATCCTCATAGAAAGGATTTAGTGACTGATGATCTTCTTATAAATCTCCTTTCAATTACTGGCGAGTCTCTTATATCATTAAATGTCGATGGCTGCTCTGACTTAACCGATTCCTTCTTGATTGATGGCTTGGCAAAATTCTGCCCTAACTTAACTGATCTCTCGTTAAGAGATCTTGATTCAATCACTGATCAAGGTTTTTCATCTGCGTTTGTAGAGTATCACCAGGTAAATAGTGGTGGCTTGATTAACGTCGACCTTACAAAATGTATCGATTTGGGAGATAAAGGTATACATTCACTTTTAAGTCATTCGGGCAGCACTTTAATTGAATTAAGTTTAAACTCTTGCTACAATATAACGAAAGATTTTCTCATACAGATATTTACGGATGATCTAGATCCTGATAAACAAGCCCTTAAAGGAGCCATAGAAAATGGTGAAGAAAATAATGATGATACTCTGGAGAAGAAAAGAGAATTTTACTCTTCGATAAGCTTATCTTTATTGACTAAATGGGATCTTGGTTTTGTTAGAGCCGTTGATGATGACATATTGTCTTTGATAAGTGATAATTGCTCAAAATTAAGCATTGTAGAAGTTTACGGTGATAATAGATGTGGCCCTAAAGCAAATACAAGAAAGGATTTAATTGTGATTGGTCGTCAACATGATACTATATAGACATGATTAATTAAATAATATACTAAATTTCTATTTACTTTGGATGTGTAAATGATGATGCTGCTTTTTCCACATTCTTGAACGTGGGTAAAGGAGGAGTTTCGATCTCAGAAGTATTTAAAGGAATCCATTTATCTTCGATTTTATTTGTGATTTCGGGCGTAAAGTCTCTGAAAAGACCTGGACTGTCGGCTTGCTTTCTAGCTAATCGCAATAAACTTTCTTTCGTATCCGATGGAGTTTGCTGGCGACCTCTGCTTAATCTAGTCTCTATATCTGAATGTATGAAATGATTATTATGAATTATTCGTTCGCCAGCCGATTTATTCATTACAACTGAATTAGATATATCACAATTATAAGATATTATAGATTCTTCAGGAAAGCCATTTGACTCTTTCAAAGTTTGAGCATAGTTTGCCGATATGATCTCGTAGTTTAAATCAAGCAACGCATCAACCACAGATTTTGGTAGGGAAGAATATGATTTCATAAAGCTAATGATCCGCTTTAAATTAGTCATGTTGTGTTGTATCATACCTTCGTATTCAACAAAAAATTTCCAGAAAAATGTAGATTTGGCTACCGCATTCACTTGGAAATATTTATTGAAAAATTCTCGAATCTTAGTTGGATTAGAAGAGTCAGGATATAGTTTCAAATATTCAAGGTATTCCGAGATGATTATGCAAATAGACTGATCATTCAAAAGGTTTTCCAAAGTGGATACATATGCTGGTTTGAATTCGTATTTTGAAGTTTCTTCATTGGTTTTAGACTTGTAGCGATCAACTTCATCAAAATATGAAGTGATGATGTCATCTAAAGTAGAAATAATCACTGAAGAGGGTACATAATTAGACCATAATTTCAAAAGCTCTCTTACCGATAAAAGGTATTCCCTCTGATGGTACATTTTATTGTTTGTTTGACCTAAGTATAGTTTGATTAAATCGAATAAATATTCATTGGCAATTTCAAATTTATCGTATTTCATTAAGAAATCAACACAAGTAAATCTGAAATAAGTCTCGTTAAGTGGTATGAATTTGCTGACTGCTCTATCGTAAATACCTTTTATTCTCGCGTACTTTGAATCAGATTCTTCTTGGAATATGGATATGAATGCAAGGTATTTTAACCAACTTTTATTGAAGAGGCAATTAGGGATCAAAGAGCGCTCAAATAACTCAATAATTATATCGAATTGAAACTGCTTTTCCTTTTCTTTTGAAGACTCAAGTTTTTTCAAATTATTTATTTCGTAGTTCAAGTAAGAATTCCATTTTTCTGTTTCTTGCTCAGTAGAGTCTAAATCAAGAATATTGAAGCCTTGAATAGTAAGAGAGCTTTCAAAAGTCCATTTATCATTGACAGCCTGTTGAGTCTTGGTGAAAACAGCATATGAGTAATCATCGATAATTTGATGTTTTTCAATAAGAGAAAGTTCATCTATGCTGGTCTTTTGAAATTTTTGTAGGTACTCGGACAAGTCATCTCCTTCAATTATTTCACTTATCTCGAAGCTTTTATTTATTTCAACAAAACTGTTAAAATATTGAGCATATTGGTAGAGAGGAATTCGGATTAATTTTAAATATATCCGTAAAATATCTTTAGAAGATTCTTGGTTTTCGTTTAATGATTTTTCAAAGTTAATATAACTATCCCATAGAGGATCTGAGTTGAAATGCAAACCATTTTTGTCTAAACATAAACCAAATTGGCCTTTAATGAACTTAATTTGTTCTTCTCTCTTAGAAGTATCCTCTATCAATTCGTATTGCGATATGAGAGCGCTTAAATAATCTGACCAAAGATCAATACTGTGTGGGAATTGTCTAACTGAATCTTCAAGGACATCTATTGAAGATTGTATTCCATTCAATTTATACTCAAGAATCAGATACTTTTTCCAGTATTCTGATAAGTATGGGAATCTATTGAGTAAGTCTTGATAAATCACTCTCACGTATTCTTTAAACTTTGAATCGATATCACTACCATTTTCTGGTTTGGTTGATTGGTCTGGGTCATATAATTGCTCAAACTTATCATCAAGGGCTACGAAAACTTTGTCCCATCTTTTTAAGTCGTTCGGGCACTCTTCAACAGACCTCTTCAACTTGTCAAATGCTTCATATTCTGACGCTGGTTTTCGAGGTAAAGTTCCACTATTTGTTTCATCATCAATCAGGATTCTGATATCAGCCGACCCTAGTGAAAGCTCAGACGGTAATCTAAAGTCTTCTTCTATCATGAATACGTTATCACGGCTGGCCAACCCTTATAAGTTTATAATCTGTTTGAAACAATATGTAATGAGATTGAAAAGAGGAAAATCTCGATGTTTTTGTATGTTTTTTTTTTTTTGTCTGGAGTCAAAAAGAGCGACTGAAAAATTAAAGAAGAGTATCAGCTCCATAAGATAATTACATTAATGGATTCCGAGTCGATAAAGATAGGAGAAAGGTTGACTTTTGTCAGCCCTTATCCCACCAAGTGTATGAATAACTCCAAACTTTTGTCGAAAATTAAAGGAAACTTTGATAATGGAGATGACACTAGTGATAATTCATCTAAAGTGATGATACCAATATTTAAAGATTCTAAGATATCCCAGATACTTCAGCAGAACAACGTAAGATTATTACAGAATAGCAAGCCAGTTAATAGTGGCTTGGTAAATGGCTCTTCGGTTGAGAATACTGAAGAGTTTGATTCAAGATTTGATAATGACAATATGGAACAAGATGATTATATCGTGAAATACTTCACGAAAATTGAATTATTTCTTCCACGTAATTTAAAAGAACAAATAACTACAGTATGTATCAAACATTTACCTAACATCAAGAAGTCTTCCATGGAAATGTGTTTTAATATTTTGTTATCTAAAGCACCTAATTCAAGCTATAAGTGGACGATGATAATCAACGAACAGATAGATGACCGGTTTTTGTATTTGAGATTTTCAAGCATTGGGACATTAAATTGGTTCTCAAACCACGTATCTGGTGTATTTAGTAAAATATCCCACAACTCGGAAGTTACTTTTGATCCAGCTGCAAAAGATTATATGGAGTCAGACACTAGCACAGTTGATTTAACGAAGGAAATTAATGAGGTCAGACGAATCATCAATAACAGAAAAAACCATGAGGAGGCCAGTAAAGGTGGAACTGAAGATTTGGATGAAGTTATGCAATCATATGATTCGTATAAAGTTGATAAAGCTGACTTGGTTGATGTTCCAAAGGATATGAAAGCCAAAACAATATCAAATATAATTAAATTCAGATCGAGAGTTTTAACTATAGAAAAGGAGCGTCGTAAAAGAGAAATTGATTTTGAAAGAAGAAAGGCTAAAAACAGATTGAAACAAATTTTCGAAGGTATCAAGGAAGCATCTACAAATGATGATAACATAGATGACAAAATCGATGACACTGAGGAGGTGAATGACGAAATGCCAGAATTAAGCGAGGCAGAATATGAAAAATATCTCGAAGAACAGAATAGAAAAGAATTAGAGAAGCGTTATGAAGAAAGATTGGATAAAATTAGAAAATTAGAACAGTCTGAAAAGTCACTATTGAGTGAAAAGCTTTCAACTTTACAGAACTACGAGAAGAACTTAATTGATAATAAGTTTTTATATATTGAAGAGATACGAAACTTTGAAGATTTCAGTGTTGAAAACTCAGTCACGTCAAATGAAAAAACGTCAAGGTTGAGATTATACTATACTGACCATTCAGAATACTTAAGACTCAGGAATAAAGAGAGATCAATTGAGGAACAGAAAGACAAAATCGATGAGGAAGATGAAGTCAAAGTAGAAGAACTTGTGAGCCAGCCAATTAGACTCGCAAAGATACCCGAACCACTGGCTGTGCTAGAACCAAACGGTCCCGAATCTAAAACATTTACAGGAATTATTGACGTTTCTTCTCTTTCTCAAGATAAACTAAACAAAATTAAAGAAAAGATCAGCGACTTGATAGAAGAATATTTGGGAATAAAAGAAAAGGTCTTAATCGAGTTTATATATGATTTCTTGTTAGAGAAGAACCTCGAGTCCAAAGAAGAATTAATTCATGAGTTAGAAGAGACCTTAGATGAAGATTCTGTTATTGTTGTTGATGATTTATGGAAGTATATAGAAGAGATCAGTTAGTTTTCACTCATGCAGACTACTGTAATTAATTTAGTTTTTTGTCAATCCTGATACTTTTCTACATTGTCCTTACTGTAAAAAAAGAAAAAGGAAATATTTATTTTAAGAATAGTAAAAAAACTCACTAGAGATAGGGTATAATACAAAAACTTGTGAAAGAAGTAAAAAAAAAAGGGATAAATCAATAATGAAATTCGATGTAGTGAAAAAACTAATGACTTTTCGAATAATGGAATAAATGATAGAGAAGAAAAAATAATAATAATTTATAATGAAGATTTCTTAAAGTTTTTTTTTAGATCTTCCGTACTTCAACTTTGTCATATCTTATTTGCTTTCTTTTGTTTTTAAACTCAACAATTGTAGCACCTTTAGTAACTTAATATCAAAATGATAAGTATGCTAATCATTAAATTCAATTTTTTTTCATATCGTGGAAAAAATACTTCTTGAAAACAATTCACAAGGGGAGTTATAATTCCATTTATTAGGAATTATGGAGAGTCAATTGGGACAACAGAAGAAGTCAAACGAAAAAACTCAAAAAAAAAGTGAAAGACAAAGGGAATTCTTCGAAATTATGACAGACTTTTAAATAAAAATAAACAAAAAACATCGGGAAGTTCATTCTTCTTTTTATAAAATTAACAATAATAAAAAAAAAATTATGACCTTGATAACATTTAACAAATCATTGGAATTAATTCAATGTCAGGTATTAAAACAAAATAAAAAGCAAACTTCTAACATATCATCAATGATGCTATTAGGCAATAATTTTTTTCTTTTTTAAAAAAAAAAATAAAAAATGGAAAAAAAAAAAAAACAAAGCTTTTATAAGACTAAAGAAAAAAAAAAATTAATCAATTAGCTCAATGAGCCCAACCCAAAGAGTTTGAAGCATTAACCGGTTCAGAAATTTGAACGCTTCTTCCGTTGGCCGATCCATTTGCTGATCCATTTGCCGACCGATTCGCTTCTTCTGAAGTGGCATCATTTACATTAATTCTATTGAATACTGCAGAAAATCCACTGGATAATTGAATTGTGGATCTTTCACTATTCATACCGACATTACTTTCCAGATCTGATGGAGGTAAGGTGATAGCTTGACTTTTCTTATATCTTTTAAATAATAAGACCATCAAGGACATGTAAATACCACATCCAGCGGCTGCACCAATTGCAATACCAGCAACTTTACCTTTATTTTTTACCAGTTTATTAGCACCATCCATTGAACCATTATTCTTTGTGGAGCCACCTGAACTACTGCTAGAGCCTGAAGAACCTGAAGTATCGATACCAGTGATTGGTATTCTGCTATCAATTAAAAGAGCAAGTGATTGTTGGACAGGATCAGAGTTTCTGTATAATTGAGAATCAGCTTTGCTGACGAATTGAGATAAAGCATCAACAGAGTTCTTAGGGAAATAAGTTTCAGCAACAGTAATGGTATAATCAATACCATCAGCAGTGAAAGGAATTAATCTTTTAACTGAAACATCTTTATAATCAGTTCCATCAGAAAATGGTGCAACCAAAGTATCTGGTAAATAGTTGAAGATTTGAGCAGAAGATAAGTAATGATCAACAACGAATGGATAATTCAATCTCTTCTTGAAACCGATATAAACAATCTTATATTCTTCACCTGGATCTGGAGCTGGGGTTGCAGGACTAATTGCTTTTGGTAAACCAGAAGTAGCAGTGTCAGTGGTTGATGAAGCTTGAACAACTTCTGAACCAGAGTTAGAAGGAGTTGCTGAGGTAGTTTCTTCAATCACTAATTGCGATGGTAACCAATTTTTAGTAGTGGAGCTACTAGAAGCTGATTCTGATGTAAAGCTTGATTCAACTGATGAACTAGAAGGAGCTGATGTAATTGAAGCGTAAGAAGAGCTTGCAGGGGTGGATGATTCAACAGCTGATGAAGTAACGTAAGATTGAGGGGAGTAAGAGCCTTTTGATGGAGAAGCTGATGAATATGTTTCAGCAGTTGATTCATAATACTTAGCGGAAGAAACATGAACGCTTGAAACATCAGAAGCTGATGGAGTAGCTGATTCAGTAGCTGATAAGGAAGTAGTTTCAGAAGCCGACCCAGTGGAGCTTGCAAATTCAAAAAGACTTTCACTTGCAAAAGAAGCGGTAGCTAAAGTAGAATTAGCACTTGAGCTAGACTCTTCAGAAGCAATGGTTGAAGAGGCAAGTGAGTCAGAAGCTAAAGCTGAAGTTTCAGAAGCATTAACAGAAGAAACTGCAGAGGCAGATAATAAAGATGCGGAGGAATCAATAGTGGATGATTCATTCAAAGACTCAGCAGAAGCACTGATAAGGGGAGCAAAAGATCCTGATGGAGAGGGACTGGCAAAAGATCCTGATGGTGATGGACTGGCAAAAGATCCTGATGGTGAGGGACTGGCAAAAGATCCTGATGGTGATGGACTAGCAAAAGATCCTGATGGTGAAGGGCTAGAAAATGAATCAGTAGCAAGTTCGGATGATAATAAAGAACTATAATCAGAAGGTAAAGTAGAACCAGTAACAAAGGAAGAACCAGAATAATAACCAGTTTGAGAACCACTACTGACTAAACCAGTTGGTAATTCAGAAGTTGAACTAGCATAAGGACTACTGGTACCATATGATGAATAAGATGAAATAGTTGGACTAGCATAAGAGTCTGAAGAACCACTTACAAAAGAACCAGTTGAAGAACCACTCAATGCAGTTTCGGTGGCCTCAGCGAAAGAATCAGAACCAGAAGGTGAACTTGAGATATAGGAAGAGGCTGGGCTTAAGAATGAAGAACCAGTTAAGGAAGCAGCAGAAGCTGAAGCAATAGATTCAGAGGCGGCTGATGCAGAAGCTAAAGGCGAGGGTGATGAAGTTGAAGAAGCTGGATCAGAAACTGAAGGAGAAGCAGTTTCAGAAGAGGAGGAAGATTTCTCAAAAGGATTTGGAATACTGATACCAAGGAAATCATTTGAAGATGAAGAGGTGGAATCGGTTGAGGAATCAGTTGAGGAAGTAGTTGAATCTGAATCTGAAGGGGAAGCAGTGGTGGATTCTGAAGTAGCTTCATTATTTGAAGTACTAGAGGTAGAGCTTGGAGTAGGACTTGGAGTTTCACTAGTCGAACTTGGAGTAGGACTTGGAGTGGGACTAGAAGAATCAAGCTCTGCAGTTGAAGGTTCAGCCAAGGAAGTGGACGAGGCAGAAGGAGTAGTGGATGAGGCAGAAGGAGTAGTGGATGAGGATGAGGAAGAATCACCAAAGTTTAAGAAATCAAAGATATTACTTTTAGAAGTACTAGAAGAAGTAGGAGTACTAGAAGTAGTATCAGCCGAAGAAGAAGTGGTGGTGGTAGCAGAATCGGACTCAGGGTTTTCATTCTTTTTCGAAGAGGAAGCTAATTTACCTGAACCCTTTGAGGTTGAAGTTGGTTTTGCTTCAGTAGAAGAAGTATCTTCTTTAGTTGAAGAGGTGGAATCTGGGGTATCTTTCTTAGTAGAAGAAGTAGATTGTTGAGTATTAGTGGAAGAGGTAGCTTCATTGGTTTGTTCAGCGGTTGGTTGGGTTGAAGAATCTGAGGTAGTTTCTTGAGTTGATTCTGGTGTAGTTGAACTAGATTTACCATCTGATTGACCAAAAATACTACCAAAGAAATTATTAAACCCATTACTTGGTGATTCGGTGGAGCCAGTAGTGGTTGGGGTACCGGTTGGGGTACCGGTTGAACTAGCAGATGAAGAACTAGTTGGTTTGGTGGAAGGAGTAACTGAATCACTTTGCAAAGTAGAAGAAGGAGGTTGGAAAGGATTTTTTTGGGCCAGTTGATCAAAAATGTTATTCAAAGATTCGGAAGAGGAATCTTGGTTATTACCAAACCAATCACCATTAACATTATTAATGTATGATAAGATAAGAACCGCACAAGTCAAGTTGATATTGAAATACATTATTGATACATAGGGGGTCGAATGAAAAAGAATGGATAAACAGTTAAAGTGGATGGGCGGCTAATTAAAGAATGAATGAAAGTAGGTTTTTAAAGAACGAATGGACAGATTATAGATTAATCAATGGAACGAGTAGATGATAAAAGATTTTGTCGAATACAAGGGTATATAAAAATGATCAATTATCTCTTATTGCTTGATGGAGATGGTTCGAGGGTAGGCTGTCGTTAAATGTTGATGGATAGAAGAGGAGGGTCTTGAGGTTTAAGTTAAACAACAAACGAGTGGTATGGGTATCCTATAAAGAAGAAGAAAAGAAGAAGAAGAGAAAGAGAAACTAATAAAAATCTAAAAATCAGGCCAAAACAAAAGGATTATAAAAAAGAAAAGGATTTAAATTTTAGCGAGTGTTGTAAAGTCTTTTTTGTGTTTTTTTTAGTTTTTGTTTTGTTTTTTTTTTTTTTTTACCTCTCTTTCTTTCTTTATTTTTTTTTTTCTTCTCACTCTTTGTTTACCTAGATATAAATACTTCTTTGTATAGATGAACAATACCAATACCGAAGGTATTGTTGTGTCTTATTACATGCTTCCGACCACTAGTCAGCTAGTCGAAGGGCCATCGAGGTGTTCTGCCAATAAGAAACAAAATCAGATTGAGCATCAGATTCAGAACCAGAAATAGAATCAAAAAAAAGGAACAATCGGTGGAGGGTCGTGTAGCCACGCCGAAATACGCGACGAAAAAAAAAAACAAGAGGAAAAAGACGAAGAAAAAGAAAAAAAAAAGTCTAATAAAAGTAAAAAAGTAACTGAAAAAGAACCGAATTCCACTGTAAAACTAACTAATTTAACCGATTTTCTCACTTTTGCAAATCGTCTAGAAATCAAAATGGTAGATGCACTGCTGAATTAGGTTAGGATACTAACGAAAAGAATAGTGATATCCAATTACAACCAACTTTGAACAAAAGATGCCGTACTATTATCATGTCAATTTTTTTTTTAATTAGATTATACAGTTGGGGAAGAAGGAGCCTAAGGTTGCCACCCTCTGGATATCCGCCTCGTAGTGCATTTCTTACTCCTTTACGAACATACCTGAGCTCACTTGCTTACTGGCCCTACTGGCTGGCGTTACTGACTGGCAACTTACTGACTGCTTACTGTGACTAGCGACTTACCTCGATCGATTGATCTAATCATCCCATTTTATTGTCTTCTTTTTTGTTTGTCATTTTTTTCCTCTGTCTTTTCTTTAAGCACAGCCATTCTTGAAATCCGTACCTTTTTTTCTTCTCTTTCTTCTCTCTTTTCTTTCTTCTCTTTTTTTTCTCTCCTTTTCCAATTCTCTTTTTAAGTGATGTCCCGTTTACGTAAGCTCGATCAGAGAATATTGCACCCACCAGAAACCGAACCTATTGATATCGATGATCAGAATCAATTGATTCATAATTTGTATCAATTGAATGATGCTAATCATCAGTTATATAACAAGGTATTATGCTATTCTATATTGATTGAGTTCCCCGTCAGCGTGTATATTAATTTACTTCTTAAGAGAAAATATGAAATTAGAGTATCTAAATTAATTCAGTTGATTATCTTATTATCACAAATACTTACAATTATAAATATTCTAATTAAAAGTGATTTATTTAATATGATTAATATTATAAACGGGTTATTAATCATAAATCTATGGTATTGGTTTAGTCAAATTGACAAAAATGTCTTGGTTGGTTTAATGATTGGGATACCAACGTTTAATTTGATAATGATCGTATTCATTAATAAATGGTTTAATGATATTTCCTCTAATTTGATGAATTTGAAAAAACTAAGGTACAAGTATAAACTGGTTTAGATAAAGAATTGCGGAAATTTAAAAATGGTAGCCGCCAAATTCCGCGATTGATTCAGATATATATATATATATATGTATGTATGTACGCGTATGTCTATTATATAACCTTAGCTAACTAATATGACTAACGTTTTGGTTATTGGGACTGGAGGTGTAGGTGCTATAGTTGCCTATGGTATTGATTATACTGGTAAATCCAATTTATCAGTAGTTGTTCGTCGTGATTATGAAAAAGTTTTACAAAAGGGTTGGCAAATAACTTCTTGTGACTATGGAGAAATTAAGAATTGGAAACCAGCCAATATTTTCCCATCAATTGAAGCAGCGAGAAAAATTGAATATGACTTTGTTGTTATAACAACCAAGAATCTTCCTGATATTACCCCATTACATGAATTAATAACTCCAGTTATAACCCCGGCCAAAACAAGTATTATTTTAATGCAAAATGGGTTTGATTTAGGAACTCCATTTATTGAAAAATACCCGGAGAATGTGGTGATTTCAGGAGTTTCAATGATTGGTTCTCATAACAATAATGGAACTATAACTCATATTCAACCGGATAAAACAACAATTGGGTTTTTCGATAATCCGAATTTATCAAAAGAATTTCAAGAATCTAAAACAAAAGAGTTCATTTCAATCTATAATAATGATAAGAATAGTTCGGTTTATAATTCAAATACTAAAGAAACTAGATATAGAAAATTAGTTTATAATGCTTCTTTAAATTCTGTGGCTGCGTTAACTGGAATTGATACTGGAAGATTGTTACTTTCTGGTGGGATGGAATCAATTTCAATTCCAATCATGAGAGAAATTAAACAAGTGGCTAAAGCTGATGGTGTTATTCTTCCCGATGATATCATTAATACAATGGTTCATTCCGATGATGGAGATTGGTATCAACCTTCAATGCTAATTGATGTTAAAAAGGGTAATCCGATCGAATTAGAAGTCATTGTTGGTAATTTATCAAGAGTGGCTCATAAATTAAATGTTCCAACTCCAACTCTTGATTTAGTTTATCTGTTATTGAAAGTGGTTCAATTCAAATTGAAAGAATCAAACGGTATCATTACTATTCCCAAAGAATTTCCAATCAGTGATAAATATTATGAGTGAATTATATTTAACTTCATCGTCAACTAATATACGATTGTTACGAGGATAACTTATACAGATGAAGAGTTTATCTATGCTTAATGGGTAAAATCACACGAATAAAACAAGAATTAAACGTTTTCCTGCGTTCGCATTCCTAAACTTAGAAACTACATGCCTAAACATTTGATACTACAGTGTAAACACCTCATCGTCTTTCATTCTTGTAGCCAGTTCGGGTATTGCCAAAGATCCCGCTGTCCAGTTGATCTTCTAAGGACGACTCGTAATAGGCGTGTGGGTGTTATAAATGACAATATATAGAAATCATTAACTATCTGAGCACAATCCATGACTGAAAGCTTTTGAAGAAGTCGGCTGCCACTCACACCGCAATCTCAATACGCTGATATGAAGAAACAGGAATTCATTAGTAATTGTAAATCATTTATAATGATAGTGACGTAGTTGAATAATTATACCGAAAAAATATTATTTTCTTCCAAAAAAATCATTTTTTTCAATTTTCTCAAAAAAATTAACAAAATTTACCGAATTAACATTTTTTAAAGACCTATTGCACCTATCCTAGCAAAAAATCACCAAAATCGATTTCTAGCCATCAGCAAACCAGTGGACACTGTTTAAAGCACCACCAGACCATCGACTACATCTACAAAATTCTCTAAACATAAACGATGGATCATTGAATTATTGAATTACTAGAAATACAGTTAACGGTTAATTGGCCACATCGTGTGTTGCACAGGAGATTTATCAAAAATCTGAGACAAAAACAAACAGCCGTTGCGAAAAAAAAAAATGCTAGAAGCAAAAAAAAAAAACAAATGAAATGACATAAAATGAAATGAAATTATTCGGAGTCAATAATTGTAGCAACGGCGGGATCCATGCCTCGGGCATCGTCATCCTTTATTTATTCATATGGATTAGGGTTACCTAGTGCTAAACGGTTTACAAAAATTCATACAACTCTAACAATTGAATTGAAAGCGAATACAAAGTTGAATCGGAAAAGCTTGAAAGAATTTTTTCAGTACTTCAAAGGGATTGGTGCAATGCTCGAAGAAGAATACCGTTAAGTCCCCCTGTACCGGCCCATTACTTACAAGCTAATGTAATTGACCACAAAGAAACTATAAAACCTGGTGGAAATATAAGTATAACCTCGCTTAAAATCTACTCCTCTTAATGTGCCCCATACACTATTTTCAATTGTGAATCTTTTTTTTTTTTCTATATTGCTATCAAGAACAATTTTTTTTTTTTTGATCCAGTTAGGTAAAGCCCTCTTATTTCAGGAGACATATACTCAGAAACTCCACCCGCCACATGTGCATTGTAGTTTTACAATCAAAAATCCATTTCCTTGTTAAAGTCAATTCACAAATGAATTGTTAATGATTTGTATTGTCTAAGAATTTACAGTGATTGGAAATACGTAGTGAAAGCAACAAGCTATGAGGAAAGACAACCAACGAGATGAAGGCTGCCAACAATGTGAAAATTTTTTTTGTCTCCTCTTTTTTAAGTATATTCCCAATGAGGGCTCGAGCCAAAGCAAGTTATACTCCGTTTTTACCAAGGTTTCGCAATTATTTACAGGAAACACGAGCAGTTTTGTCTCAGAAACAATATTAAAGAAGCAATGTAATACTGTTGACATTAACATTAAGCATATGATGAGCTCATACTTAGAATAACCAAAGGAGCGTCAAACATGATTCACCCTAGATTAGAACGGAGAGACACTGGCTCGTTTGAGTAAAAAACTGTGATCCCTGCGAAATAGCAAGCGCGATGAATTTTATCTGAGAGATGAGGGCGACAATACAAAAAAAAAAAAAAAAAAGCTTCTCCAAAAATAACAAAAACAAATAGAAGAAAAAATTTTCATATTAGATCAAACCAGAAACTTCTAGAAATGCGTGGGTTACTGAGGTACCTTAGAAGTTACTATGTAAACCAGACTCGCCTCGCAGTATCATGGGAAACAAGATAAGGTTTGTTTACTGGAAGAAATGGAAGTCTAGCTTGGTTTCACAATCACTCAATACTGCTCATCGTTAACCCAGGATGTCGCAATAATTGACTCATTAATAGTGGTTATCAAGATAAGAGGATTCCATAGTTCCGTGTTACGCAATAGAGAGGAGTCATAATTACACGGTTTTTTTTTTTTTTTTTTTTTCGTTCTCTGTGAGTAATATAACGATGTTTCGGATCAGATAAAGTTCTCATCTCCGCGAAACTCTTTATTAACAGGACAAAGTTTTGTGTGCGACTCGTGTGACTTCCGGTCGCAAATCCATGGTCGGTACAGCTGGTTTCAAAGCAGCAACTCACAGAGCAGAATGGTTCAGGAAAGAAAGGGTCTTTTATTTTTGATCCAGAATTGGGATTGTATCTTTCTTTTTTGTATTTTATTTTTTTTTTTTTTCTGAAAACATGGAGATTTTCTATTGTTCTGGTACTGTCTTGTCTGGCTATTCGACTTTGTTTGGTAAAAGTGGGAAATTGATGCCAAATGCTAATGGGCTCCATCGCTAAATTGGTGGGGTTACGATGGGGGAATACCCCAATTCTTGTAAGAGATTGGAGGAATTGGTTTATTGGTGTAGCGGGGGCCATTCAAAGTTCTTCGAGGTCGGTAATCAGTCAGGTTGGGAGTGGAGTCAATTAAATTGAAATAATACCTAATTGAAAGATTGATCCAAAGACCTTTGTTCTTACCCAGACCGAAGTATTCTCCCCTCTTACTCGATTATTACAGCATTATTACAGCATAATCATCGCCATAATATTACACTACAAATTTGAGAGTGGAGTAATTGTTTCAGAAGTGAAAAATTTTTTTTCGACCTTTTTTTGTGCCTTTAAGTCATAAATCTTTGTCTAAAATCCTGAAAGTCAATTCTTACCCAACTTAAGATTATTCGCTAATAATTATAGATTAAGTTAGGGCAATAATTGTCTATTAATGCTTTGAAGTTTGCGCGTGGTGTGAGGAAAATCATAAATCTGTTGGTTCTATAGAGAGCTCTTTTACTTACTTTTTTTTTTGTTTTTCTTTAATACTGGTGTATGGCTCTTTTTTTTTTTTTTTTTTTGGGAACCGGAACCGCTATGGTAATCCTTTTCCTTTTTCGGGAGGTTAATGAGCTGATTTACTGCCGGCGGTGGATACGCCGATCATGTGATCTGTCAATCCGACTAAAATAACAGCCCATATCATAGCAGAACCGAACATGATAGAACATAACAAAACAGAACATGGCTTCAATTGAGTAGTTCTAGACGTGGGCAATGAAGCTTTGGAAAATCAGATAAAAAGTGAAAATTTTTCACTTTGACAAATTTTGTTCTCAAATTACCATTCGCACCGATGTTTTTTTAGTTCTCGCTAAAAATTTGACAGCAGTTTTTTCCACGGTGGGCCCAGCGACCCTGGCAAAACCAACAGAATGCGCGCAAGTTCAAGTAATTTCCAGCGTCCGGTGCCTGATCTTCTGTAGAAATGAGTGAGGGTACGTGCGTGGGAGGGAGCGTGGGAAGGAGCGTGGGAAGGCTGTTCAGTCCCCGGGCTGGATCTAAACTCTCCCATAAGCCCTTTTTTATTTTTACTATTTATTTTTACTTTTTATTTTGCTTAACTATTTAGTTGTTGGCCCTATTTTTTTGATAGACCAGGTTTTTAATTCATTTTAATTGCTTGTTGATAGCCTGGGTTGTTGTTACCTAGGCAGTCATTTTGTCGAGAATCAACGGTCTAGATCAAATTCTCTAGACTCAATTCTCGAAGCCATGTAAAAAGGCTATCTGTTCTTTAATAGATAATATTCTTCAAGGTTAAGCGGGATAAAAAGTTTGTGTTAAATAATCAACACGAACATCACCAAGTCAGTAAAAAAAACGACTTAAGAACTGACGAGAACAGCCCTAATTAAATTATCTCGCTACACAAGGTATCTTACAGCAACGTGGAAAAGGCAAACGGTTTATACTAATGTGAAAACTCTTTCAAAACTGAAATGAACGGTTACTCATTGAGCTTCGAGGAAATATTGCAAAATTAGCGCCCACGCTGTCTCATCTCATCAGCGAGAAAGCGAATTTTGTTTTATTAATAACTGCAATAACACTAATCGAAAGAGATTCTTCAACCCCATCGTGGGTAGTAAACGATGTAGGTATATCCCGTTACTACTTTTCATTACGATACTTAAATTAATCGAGCTTGAAGAACTAGTGGGGTTTACAGATTACTCTGAAGGCGTCGGTCCTTTGGACCCAAATTTTCACTCCCATTCAACCCAACATCGGAGGGGGCCATAAAATTTTTTCTCTTTCCATTTGCTTCTTTTCTTCTCTTACAATTTCCCATACAATTTTTCAAACAAAAATAAACAAAAATCGGAGTGAAACACACTGTAGAAAAACTAAATCCACAGTAGCAAAAACCTATTCCGCCAACCACTGGCACGAGGCTACTAAATATTGCGAACCGGGGATCCACATTGTCCGCTTACACGTGTAGGGAAGAAGAATATCAGCGCGGATCACGTGCAAGCTCGCAGTGGCCCACACCACCACACCTTTCTCAAGTGGACCCACCCTCGGAAGTGGTGGGGGATCCCACACTTCCTTCCTTCGCGGTTACCATAACCAATCGAGGCATTGACCGAAATCAATCCTGATTACAAAGAGCCAGCGATTACTCACCTCGATGCGTCATGCACCTGTGCAAAACTGGAACAGGCTACTTTTAGTAGGAGCAACATTGTGAGTAACCACCACCACCACCACAGTTGTGTTTT